ACAAGGGGAAGGTTCGAGCGCAGGGGAAATTGACGCTTCTGGAAGACTCTCTGGGACTTGACCAGTCACTTGTGGCTCTGCTCTGAATGTGGCTGTTCAGCATCACGCGTTGTGGCGAAGTCGGCGTCGTTTTCGGCAGTGGGATATTCTGCTTCTGCGGCTGGACACACTCCGTACGTCGGTGTTCCCGAGTGAGTTTCCATATCTTCTAAGTTGAGTTGGGATTCATTAATCTCACGGATGTACCCGTTCGGGCGGACCCAAAGTATCATATCCTAGCAGGCAGCCGACTAGGTAGGCCATGGCTCTGTGTTGGTAGGCTCCGCCGAGAGATTGATTTGCTGGGATGCGTTGTATTTTCCTTATGCACGACCTCTAAGTATAGGCGAAGCAGTGAAACCCTGATGTTATGAAACTCCGAGGTTTGGGCAGGGGAGCTGTCAAAATGGTCAAACATCGATCGCTCATTAGTGCCATCCTAGGCACAAACTTTGTCGGCATTTGCTGGCTAACAAGAACCCTCATAGCGACCCATCATCCGAGCTTGATATCTGAGCGAGAGCTCACAATTCTTCAATTGCTGAGGGGGGAGGAAATACTTAGTCCTTTGGTCCACGTCTGTACGAGAGCAAGTTGCATTCTATTGGAATGAGATTTGGGTTATGTGGGAACCCACCAGAGAAAGAAAGGGAAAGAAAAGCAAAAGCAAAAGAAAAAACAGACATACACCGCATGTATGTCCGGCTGCAATGTGACACGCGCTAGGACGCTCTGGTCGTTCCATGCATTTTCGATTCCTCGAGTGTGGAAGATCATGAGTTCGAACGTGACAAAAAGGCGATGATCAGCTCTCACAAATCAGTCCCATCCTAGGCGAGATCCGACCGGGCAATTAAAGAGGACATGTTGGTCGTACTTCTACAAAGATCATGCATACGCAAGACCCGAGACCTGTTAGCTCGTAGGAAACAAATTAAATGCCGAGTAAAGGAAATCTGAAGCCGGTTGAATGAGCTACTAGAGTACGGTGAATACGGTGAAAAGCCAGTGAGCAAAGCAATGCTTGCGCTTGACAAGTTGCCCACGATGTTCGGAAGATACAAGCAATAAGGGGGAGGGGGGGGGGGGTTGAGTCGCCGCTGATCTCAGTGGCAACATGGACCAAATTGCCTGAGTGTACTCCGTAGTGACCGAGATGGTACTATTTCAATATGCTAGGCTCCAGAAAGACCAATCAGTTGACTGGTCGAATCTCCAGGCCTCATTCTTGCATGACGAATGGTGGTCCCCTCATAACTGGCATTGAAACGCCGACTGACGCGTGACAGATCAGAAACTTCAAGGTCTCACCAATGGACACCGGAACGATGGTCAACACAGCCAGAGCAATGACGATGCGGTGATGATCTTCTCGCGAAGCCAGCGACCGTTGGAAATGGGCCATGCAAGAACAAGATTGGCCACTTGCAGCGTTGAAGAGGTCTCAACGGCTGGGAGTGAGTCTGGGAGGTCATGCTCCCAATGACGACGGGGTTACTTTGTACGGGGCACACAAAAAACCATTGCGGGACCCTATCATATTGAGAAGCGTCCGGTGCTCCACATTCCAGTGAAGCTGCGGTGGGCTAGGCCTAGTCGGAGCGTTCCTGGATGAAGGCCCGAGTGGCTGTGGGTATCTGACAAAGTTGGAAACCCGAAAGGCTTGCGATAGGTGCGACGAGTGGCCGGCATTGGAGATCAAATTTCAAACTTGCAGACACTAAGCGGCGTCCCGACCGACGACTCGTCGATCCATTGTTGGCCGACATATTGCACCTTGGCGGATGATGTGCGTCAGGAGCAGTGATCGTCTGCCCAAACAACCTCCACCGCGTTTTGGTATTTTTTTTCCTCTTCCCTCTCTCTTTCGCACTATGTCTGGTTCGTGATGGAGGCAGTTTAGTTTTCACTGGAGGAGAGGGCTGTGAGGACGGTTGAAGAGAGAGAGAGAGAGAAATGTCATCATCATCACCAGTATCAGGAATGAGAAACTGATCTCATGGGAGGAGAAAGCGGAAGGGAGAGGGAGTCGAATCCACTCGCTCCACCGTCCAGAAAGCAGCCGCCGGTCAGGTGCCTCTGTTTGTGCCTTTTGTCTCTCGCCTGCCTCAGGCAACGTAATGGCCACGATCCGGGGCAATTTCCTCGAGATTCATTATCGATAACCGGGTAATAATCAACCTAGATCGATCCATGCTCCTACATTGAACGGGACTCCCCCATGAGCAGATCCGGCATTCGCTCTGCATCGTAAATTATGACTCTGCAGCTGGGACCAGGTTCGTCCAGGCTAGCAAACGCGATGGTCCTTTGCCGCGTCGAAGCAGCCGACGGACGAAATGGGTGGATTGGTTCCCTTTCTGAACCACCGGCATACAGCCTTCGGTGCAGAAGAACATCGGTCTGGGGCGATCATAGTGGTCTATTGGATCTCAACCATGGAATGGTGTAAGCACCCCCACGCTGGAAAATCTACCCAGGAACTTTTGTCGAGGGTTAAACTAGTAGCTATGTATTGGTTCGGTGACGGTCTGTTTTTATTTGATCATTATTGTTCTTATTATAATATTTTCCAGCCGAATTTTGGCCATTAACATTCGTGTTCTGAAGATAGCATTACTCCGTAGGGTTTCTGTGACTATTTTGGTTCTTTATTTTTATCTCATCTTTTTTTGGGTTGGGAACGAATGCTACCGTTCCCTCCGAATATTCTCGTCAACAACATACCGAGTCTTCAGCACTAATACAATTGGCCTATCCGTGAGGAGAGACACATGAAAGAGGTCTAGACGAGGTCGTTGGGACCAGAAGACGATCCCTCCTGACCAGGGCTGGTCGTGGCGTCAAGGTCGGATTTACATACAGCGCGTCTTGAACAGTGCACCCACTTCTCCAGCATGCCGTCGGGAGAGGAACCAAGGGTCGGACGAAGATCATGAATGGGGGGGGGGGGGGGCAATAATAGCGGAGCGGGTTATTTCCACGGACTACTATCTATACTAACTAGTCTGGGCCTGAGACTTCTCCCTACCGGCTTTTGCTAACTATTTATATTGTCTTTCTATAGGTAATCTGCGCCAATACTTACCCTTTATTCTCGGGTTTAGTTCTCTCTTCGTAACCATCAGGGTTTGGCGTCGTTATTGTGCTCATCTCAACGGCCTAGATGGTGGATGATGTGCAGTATGTCTTAATGCCGATGTGAAAGCGCTCTTCCCCCCACCTGCAGATTTACTGGTGCCGATCATTCAGGGTCCTGTGGAGCAGAGCGGCCAAGCGGTGGATGGAAGATGCCTGGTAACGTAGAGTGGTATCTCACCAGCCGTTTCACTTTTCCCACCGGCTCAATCTCGAGCTGAGCGAGAGATCCTGATACCCGGGAAAGCAGCCGAGAATCTGGTCGATCCCGTCGGCGAAGGTTTTGATTTTGATTTCATTTTTCCCTCTTTATTCCTCCGGTCTGAGGCGTTCCCAGGCACCCTCCCTCTCTAGGGGTAAACGCTAAAAAACAGAGGTACCTCTTCCACAACCTTACGTAGGAAACTGACTTCTGACGTTAGAACATTCCACATCGTTTTTCCCCCATTACGTCCGGTTCATGCAGCCTTTCATGCCTTTTTTTTTTTTTTTTTTTTCTTCGGGTGGACGAACGAACTGTTCGTGAGAGAAACTGATTAGATTGGTCGGTTCTTACCACCAAGGCAATCTAGTATATCTACTCCGTAGTATGAAGTATGAAGTAGGCAATACTATACTTTTCGGTTTCACACCGATCTACGTCCGCCTTGACTACGAAAGAGAAGACCCATGCAGAAAGATGTCGCCTCCAATAAGGTCAACTCAAAATAGGTGATAATTGAGGGCTCCCAGGAAGGAACGAAGGGCTGAGAGACAAAGATGTGAGGGGGAAGAGTAGGGCGGCAGGAGGAGGTTGTTTCCACAGGTTGAAGGGGGTTTTTTAATTTTAATTTTATTATTACTTTCCTTCGGGGAAAAGTATTATTTTTTTTTTTTTTTTTTTTTTCACTTTTTATTGTCTTTTTCTTTTTTTTCTTTTCTTTTTCAGAAAATAAAAATGATTTACAATTAAGAATATTTTATTTTTTTACTTCCATTTTTATTTTATTTTATTTTATTTTATTTACTTTTTTTTTTTACCCCCTCCATTCTGTAGGAACAAGCTCTGGTTTCCTAGTTCTGCTGGCTTCGTTCTCTGATCTTCTCTCTTTCCTTCCCCCAAAAGAGTAATGCTATGAGGGCAGTTATATAATTTCAAACCTCTTCCCTCCCTTTGCAACCATTCAAGTCTCAGATCCGATCAAGAACAACGCACCGCCCCCGTTGGAGATCTTCGCCATACACCCAACGAGTATCTTATCTTTCGTGGTCTTCGAGCGCCATAAATTCTAAGCATCGTTCCGTTATAATTCCATTCAATTCGTCCCAATCTATAAAACCCCAGAAATTATTATACTTCCTCGTCGGCTTTCGAATAATCCTAAGACATTGTCATCATCACCTGCATCTCCTCGACTCTCTATTGTCCCGTCCCCTTGCTGGTCCGTTCCTGTTCGATAGCTACATCCCTATCTGATCCCACCTGAGACCATCCCCATCTTCTATCCACATCCTCTTTTCGTCCGCAGGACCCCAGACCACCCGCGTCGAAGGGCGTATTATCGACTTCCTTCCCACCTTCTCGCTGATCCTGACTGTCCGCCACCCGCTGGATAGACTCGTCCGTGTCTTTTATCCAGAGACATTCGCGCCTCCTAGGAAACGGTGTCCCTGATCCCGGCCACCCACTTCCACCCCATCTCGCACCGGATTTGCCGTCGGTTACTACAGGAACTCTATAGTCTACATTCCTGGCCTTGCTTGGGTCTCCGAAGGCACGCGACGCGCCTCTTCTTTTTTGTACGCTTGTCTCTCGACCGGCCTCTCCTTTGGGAGGATTAGCGATGGCTTCTGCCTGTAAGTGTGATCGACCCTACTCTCCCCTCCACCTTCTACGGCCTGGAGATTTTGTTTATTTCACCTCGCCTGCCCTCCTCCATTCCCCAACCTCACCCTCAATCCTTCTTTATTCCTCTTCCCTTTCCGACAACCATCCGGCACCCATGGTCACCTTCCTTCATTCTTCCCATTGATTGTGCTTGCATCATCTTCCCTCGTTGTCCAATCACACTCTACACTCTTTCTTCCACATTGCTTGTCCAACTTGGTCTCTCTCTGCCTTTCTGTCTCTCTAGCCCTCTCTGTCACTCACTGCAGGACCCTTTCGTCCTTCCATCGTCATAGGATTCTATTTTTGCCACATTCCCTGATCTATATTCTCCTTTTGTGTCGTAATCTACATCGCATATACTGCACTTTCCTTGCCCACATATATTACTCCCTTCACTCCGGAACTGCAACACAAAAACAGCAACAGCGCATCCATCGTCTGGTCTAGAAGCAAGGATACTAAACAGTGTTCGTGAACAGGTGGACAGATTGAAGCACCTCGGAAAGACCGCGACACTACCGAGCCACGCGAAGATATGAGATCTCAGCATAACATTGATCGCCTTACCGTCGAAGTCGATTGTTCCTCTCTTGGCTCCAACGAGTGTCCGTCAATGAGTAATAGCTTCTCGCCTTTGGATTCTCCCACCCCGACTCCAACAAGCATATATAGTCAAGGCGCATTGGCCTCCCCGGGTTGGCAAGAAAGTGGACCGTACTCTGGGCACACCTACGACCGGAACCCCGGCCCCGCACCTATGCGAAGCGCATTCAGACTTCCCGGCATGGCATCGAACGAGACTATGAGTATGCCTTACGGGAGTATGGATACGCAAGAACGCATGCCAATGCCGGATTTTCTCTCGGGATACGATGAGAACGTCGAGCAGTTCTGGATCCCGTCCGACGCGGGAAAGACCTACGAGCCGGGCACACACTCGCTGCCATATCCGCCTGTCATGCATCAATATCCCCCTATGGCCAGGGGTGGCTACCGTAACCACAGTGCATCCTACCTGCCTGAATCGGCCACCAATCCCTGTCTATCCCGGTCTATCTTCCACCAGCCCGAGCGAGTCCCGACATCCATGTCCATGAACAACATGATTCCATGGATGGCGCCGCCCGCCGAGTCTATCCCCCAAACAATCGCTCCGTCACAAGTCGGTCCAGTAACGCCACCTCCCTCGTACTCTGATTACTCGACGTCCATGAACACCCTGAAGTCACACACCCCAACGACGCCGATTCGATCTGGTTCTCTCGGCACGGTATCGGGTACGGATACCCCTATGAGTCGTCTTTCGGGTCATGGGGACTACCTGGATGACTTCCAGCAGTCACCGGTCTATCACGACGGCCTACAACGTCCGCATCGTACGATGTCTCGGAAAGTCGCCCGAAAGCAGTCCTCCAAGCAGAGCCTTTCGCTGGAAAATCTACCCTCCATTATCAAGCAGGTCCAGTTCAAATGCAAAGAACCTGGTTGCAAGGGGCGGTTCAAGAGACAAGAGCATCTCAAGCGACACATGAAGAGTCACTCCAAGGAGAAGCCTCATGTTTGTTGGGTCCCCGGCTGCCACCGTGCCTTCTCCCGCAGCGACAACCTCAATGCCCACTACACCAAGACCCACAGCAAGCGCGGAGGCCGCAATCGATATGTTGCGACTTTGGACGACACCAGTCCCGACTATGATCCTGATTTCCGCGGACAACTTACACCCGATGGTCGGCCAATCTACGGATCGAAATTAGAGGAGCCACTGATCGATACTCGAGAATTGAGTGTGGATGCTTGGGATGATTGAAGAATTACGAATCAATAATCTGGGTGGATCGGGATATGATACCCTTGGGCACGACGGTGTGCGCCAATTTTCCTTCTATATTTAGATGGGCACAGACTTTTGGGTCCGGACAGACCTCGGCCGGTGCTTCGCGGCGTTCTTTGTAAAACATTTTTCGTTTCTTTCCTTTGTGACCCTCAAACGTTGGAACTCTCTTTTCTGCATACTTTTTTTTTTTCTTATTACCCTCTTGGAAAAGGCATTTTGGACTATACGTTGGATAATACTTTGGGGTATGGAAGACCTAAAATGGATTGGAGCCCTTGTACGATCGAGTATCGCTATGTTTGTGTCGTTGATCTGATTGATCTGTTGATTACCCAACACTATATGAAATAATATTTTTTTTTTGTTCAAGATCGAATCGGAATCCGAGAGTGAGCGGGATGAGGAAGACCACCGACTTATTGGGGGTGGATCAAACTCGATGAATGTTGCCAGTGCTCTTCACCTTGTTGATTGACCAATTTCTGATGCATCCGTTGTTCTGGTCAGATCGGGGCTTGGCATGGAATGGCAGATATACAAGGTTCAAGGTCATACGCCGAACTTCGTGGAGATCGCGTCGCCAGACCATATGGTAGGCTCCTTTTCGTGGCGGGCTTGCCTGAGCCTCTGCGTACAGATGCTGGACGTCTGGCCGATCTTGTTTGTAGGGCTTGCATCCCGTTGTTTTACTCCCGATGGGCTCCCCTCTCCAAGATATGTCATGTACCTCAATAGGTTAAGATGTCGCATATGTACCCCCGAAGTGGGAGTCCATACATACTCCGTACATCAGTTCGCTCTGGTGCTCAGCGCACCGCCGATCTGGATCCACCTGGCGCCGAGTGCCATTTGGCATCAGTCACTAAGTCCACATTCCACTTCCACGGCAATCTCCCTATTGGCGGAACATTCGGTCTCCCCCAAGACTTTTGGGCCAGGCTGTTGACATGAATGCCCCGTCTCCAGTCACATTGGCGGTAGGAAGTTTGTTGAACCCTGATTGATTTCCCAGTCGCGAGGTCGCATCTCCTTGGTTCCCCCTTTCCCTTAATCTCTGCCCAGCCCTAGTCTGGTCGAGGGAGAAGCCTTTAGTTGACATCCGCCCGTGAGCTGTCAACGCTTGCTAGTCCTGATCGATCCGTGGCACCGCCAACCGATCCCTCTTTCGCGCTACGAAGGACTAACTATGGCATCCACGCTAATTCAACCAAGGATCCCAGAAACCCGGGTTCCAGTTGAGCTTAACGGGCCATCGTTCCACATGCCAAGGCCCCATGGCTTGTCGCCATTTTCCCCTGTCGGCCAGCGTACCTGCTTTTCCCTAGAATCGGTCTTTGGATCGAAGTTTTTCGTCGTTCACCATTCAGGAGTATGTCTCAGCGATAAATTTATCGCTTGACATGATTCTTTGTTTGAGCCCAACGATCGAACTAGTAATAATCGTGGCCCGTAAATGAAAATGACATTGTGGATTGACCAAGGATGCCCTGTTTTTGGCCGGCTCCTCGAACGTCGCACAGACTCCCCACCAGAAACTATCGTGAAATTGAATACTCCAATTGTCCAGGGACATGGACTGAGCCATAGTTGACGGTGGGGGGGCAGGGAGAAACAATGGGTACGAGACTACGAGGCTCCCGTCGGAAGGTACGTACCGAGCACATCAGTTTCTGCCCCCACCGCGCATTCTCCGTGGACTACTCCGGAGTACACATACATACACAGACAGACTGACTATGAACTGGATGGTACCAGTGACGATGTTGGTCGCGACGTGCGTGGCAATTGGAATCAAGAATCCGTCCTTCCATCGCAGGTGGGGGTTGAGCCGCCGTTCATGACGCCAATCATCCATGCCCCAAGGGGATAATTTCCTCTCAGGTGCTTTGGGCGTTCCACAGGATTTGACTTTCGGGTGTTGTACATTCCACACAGTCTGGCTGTGACGATGTTTCCTTTCTGTGCTACATCACTAGTAGCTCCTCGTCACTGTGCTCTGGGGAGAAGGGAACCCACGACAAGGAAAAAAAGAAAACAAAATCTTATGCGGTGGCACAGCTGATCTGCACCCTGGGCGGGGCTGAACTATTTCTGGTGGCTCTCTTGGCTTGAGTGTTGATCACAGCACTTCCTCAGTACTATGGTACATACCTCTGACGCAGTACGTCTTCCCTGCCGATGTTTGTCTCACGTTGATTCTGCCAGAGACAAAAAAAGGAAAACAGCGCTGGAAGAGAGTGTCGGCTGGGACGGCATTTCCGGCACGCTCGTGTGCTGTCGGTTCAGCTGCCTTGCTTTGCCAGATCGGCCTCGATGTTTTTTTCTTCCCTCCCAGAGGCCTGGGTATAGGCATGTGCAGATACCGAGGCGGCATTTCATCGGCGGGAAATTACTCTGGGTTGCCATCGGTATGTGCCCTACCGAGTCGAAGTTAGTGAGTACTGCATCATGTACGGCGTTGCTCGTCATCACTTCCCGGTTCACCATCAATAAGCCGCAGCCGATCTGCGACCGGAATACCTACCTATTTACATACAAAATCCGCTACCGGCGAGGTTGAGTTTAAAGCTAGTAGGCCATCGAACGGGGCTGGTACCTGGCCCTGGTATGGCGATGGAGACCTACCTACCTACTAGTTACTAGTTAGCTACGTCTATCTATGATGACAATGTACATAGCGCAGAAGGTGTACGCACGAAATGTAATTATTGGTCTGTATCGAGCGTGTGGTCGAATCAGATATATCCGTTCGGTTTTTCTTCATCGCCGCCGGCCATTCGTCGGTAGAAGACGGTCATACTTGACGGGGCAGAGGGCGAGTGTGGCTTTGCTTATCCTCCGTCCCCACGACCACGGCCCTGCCACTCCCAAAATCCACTAAGACAGGATGGATGTACAGGGCTTGGATGCAACCCAGCAGAAATGGAACCCCAGATCGAGCCGACTCTCTGGCTCCGGATCCTCATCTCATCTGTATGTAACTGTGGAGGTCCCAGGGAACTATGGACTGCGTACGGAGGGGCGTCCAGATTCCCTGATTTAGCGTTTTATTGCATTCTTGCATCATGTAATAGTCGCTATTCGTATTTCTCATGGATATCGGGTCTGGTTTCTTTTTCTTTTCATTTTTAGCGCTTGTTCTGTGGGTGGGATTTTTGGATGGGTTGGGCTGGGATTAGTACAGTACCACTTCGCCGGGCAACGACAAAGTACAGTACCTAGTGAGGTCGTACTTGGTGGACCAGGAACTGTCTTAGATTCTGACTTCCAGCCCCCAAAGCACACAAAGTTCGCACTTAAGCTGGACCCTGCATCGAACAGTTGCAATGCATATCGTCCATTTACCAGGCTACCACCCTCCCTACCACCTTCTCTCCAATACCACCTTCCTTGTCTTAAAATTTCAAACCCTGCTCATAGTAAACAGGAACACCTTAGAGATGCAATGCAAATGCCTACCGCGAAGTACAGGTATGATCGACGAGGCTTGCACGATGTGGAAATTGAAGCTAAGTCCCATTGCTACGGTGAAACAGTCAGTACACTCGAGCATGTACCTAGTAGTAGGTACACCCACTAAGACAGCATGTAGAATAGTTATCCTGCAGCACTGCAAGTAAGAGGAAGGAAGGGGAGGGGGAAGAGATTGGAAGAGAAAAAAAAAAGAAAGAGAAATTCCCTCACCGACATCCAGCAGGCCATGTGAATTTGATTGTCTTCGTCTAGCGAACTCCGTCTTTCCCTGCAAGAGTACCCGCCGACCGCAAATAATCACGTACGCACGATCATCCACATTGCTACTTTTTTCAGATCTATGAGGAACGCAGCAAATTATAATGCAAATGGAGTACCGGTGAGCTGGTTACACGGCTGTGCAAAGTCGATCCAACCATTTTGGATCTGATATCATAAGTACCTGGTCTTCTTTGGATGTATGTATGATAATATTACGAGGCGGAAAAGACAGCTAGAAAGAAAATGATATCATCATGGCCAGGGTAATAGTAGATATCCCTCCTGCATCATGGTTGGTATCAGTCAGTGACTTTTACAGCTGTAGGTACGGAGTAGCGTCTGGGATCAATTGCTGAACGTGACCGACTGGGTTCTGCAGAGTTTTATTAATTGAGGCCCCCACCAGTTTTGGGATTTCTCTCTATCTCATCGCTTTTTCTCTGTCTCTCATGTGGGCCGTTGTCCTTCGTCTCGCGGGTTGGTTTCCCCTTTTCTTTGAGGGTCGAGCGCGATTCTGAGCTGCGATGGGATCGAGGTCATATGATCACATTACGATGGAATTCAGGTGGTGACGGGGGTGGCTTCTTCAAAGTAATCCAGTAGTGAGGTCAATAGTCTCTAGACTTCTCATGCTGGTCCTGCCTTGTTCCTGTAGGTGGCTTCATTCGTGTGATGGAGCCTCGATAGCGTGGAGTGATGGACACTCCGGCGGATGATTGTTCCGCACCCGCCATCTTAGTCGGCAGAAGCAGACTGACTGCCCGAGAAGCTCGATCGTAGCAAGATGCGACAAATCGCTCTTTGGAAAATCGACTCTCACAGCCGCAAAAAAGACGATAATCAAAAAGTAACAATATAATTAGATAGCTAGCATTTATGTGCACCGGGTGCTGAGTTTCTATAAATTTATTCAGACTTTTGGTGTTGGCAGCGACATGCGAGTATCAGAGCGCATACAATTTCTGTTCTTTTTCAAAAAACCAGACCCAAAAGTTCATCTGAAATCTGTGGTTTTTAGAGTTTGGGTCACCTGACCAGATCCCGGGCGGCATAGTTAATATGACAGCATTATGTATCGGCTTACCAACAGCACCCCTGCATAACTCGGTCCTCCGGTCTAGTGCGCTGACATAAGCACACTAACATAAAAAGCTGCCCAGAAAAATCTGCGGTGTCTTTCGACTTCGACTGCTCCGTCTGAGTATCCGGTCCAGCATTCACGGAGACGCGGAGATGCATTGATGTGTGCGCTCTGCGGACTCTGGTCTAGCTGTTGTCTTTTAAGACCTGGCTTAAGCCTTAAAATATTCATTGGCTTGGTTATGTTGCAAGCTGAGGATGTGTGGTCATAATGGTGATCATGCTGCAATGGAACTTGTTTCAACTTATGAAGAATCGCCTCGCTTATTACTATGATGACTCTCCTTCTTTTGGCATGATGCAGGACATCCCTGTGGATGAGTGCTATTTCCAAAAAAATTCAAGCTCAACAGTCTGAGTTCATTGAGGAGGCGATTTTTCTTGAATACTGCTTTTGTATCGTGTGTTTAGGATAGAGTACCGCCTCATATTTATCATTACAATGGAATATTCAGTATCACTTCAACTGTCTTTGACTTTTCTACGGGGTTTTCGCGTCGAAAGTTATCCTTGCTAGGGGTATCATGTCGAGTACAGACTGTTTTGGCAAATCACTATTCTCAAGATCAAAAGTCTGCAACTGTCCTAACACACTTCTTTCTTCTAATTGCTGCGCTTGTGGCTCTATTCTTCTATTAAATTCGTGGTATTGACCCTGCCTTCATATCTTCACGTCAGATCCAAACTCAGAAACACCGTCCCCTCCAGCGGAGTCTCATAGTAAGGCGGAATATCAACAAACCCCAGCCGTCGATACAGCTGAATAGCTCCCGCCATGAACGGAAGTGTATCTAGCCTCATCTCCGTATACCCCAGCTCCTTCGCTTTCTGAACGATAGCATCGGTCAACGCCGTCCCTAGCCCCATCCCTCGTGCCTCGGGAGAGACGTATAGTCGCTTCATCTCGCAGCATGCCCTCTGGCTCCCCTGGGTTCCAGACTGGGATTGGGGTACATCTTGATTGTGCGTCGAGCAGTCTGGTTGGAGAGGCCGAACAGCCACGCAGCCTAGCGGTGTCTTTGTTCCGTCCGCGCTGTATGCAAGTAGGAGCTCTCCTCCGTGGGCGGGGCTGTATTTGCCCGGTAGAGATTGGAGCTCTGCAGCGAAGTCTTGGAATGTAAGGTCGATATTGAGCCATTCGGTGTAGGCCATGAAGAGGGTTCTGGCTGCGGAGATGTGCTCTTCATTTTGGATGGTGACGATGTGGGATTGCTGATTGCTTGGTTGCATGGTATGTGAATCAGGGCTTAGGTCCGAGTGATAGAGAGTTGTTAGGGATTCTGGTAGGATATTGGTCTAGTGAATCGGAGTCAAGCGTAATCAGACATGCATCTGAAGAACTGGGGATTTCCCAGCGCAATAGGACGAGATGTGTCATACAAGGCGTGAGGCAGAACGTTCCATGGTGGAGTGGACTCAGGCCATCAGGCCAATAAGATTCTCTCCTTCGGTATGGCTCCCGTGGATATAGCCGTTTCTCCTTCTTCATTCTCCCCTGAAGTGGTCCATGTTTGCCTTTGAGCTTGATATGAGGCTCGATACCCACGATACTTGTTTATAATTAATAGGATTTGCATGATTCATCACTCTCAATTGACAAGGGGATTGCCCTGTCATGTTTATTGGTGCTAAACAGTGGCGGTTGATAGCATTCTGTCGCCGCTCTTCTTTCCTATCAGTAGTTGGTAGTTCCTATCTTGCTAACTAACTGTTTTTTGTTCGCATACTAATCGCTCTTTCAAGAATTTCTACTCTTCTTGATGAAATCCTCGGTAGAAGTCAAGTTCCGGTGATAGAGATCCCACAGTTGAGCGGCGGTCATAGCAACTAGCGAGAGAACATGCCCCTCTTCGTCTGCGCAGCTGGCACGTATAATCAATATGAAATCTATACCGCACTGGCCCGTCGTCATCGTGTTTTATTCACCTTTCAAATTTCTTCACCTCTGACATTATACAGCCGTGTGTTGATCTGGCCGCAGGATTCTAATCACCTGCGTCAATCCTAACAAAACACCCAAGCCTTCCAACGAATCAATCAGGTGAATAACTGGCTTGCGGGGAAAACCTACGATTATCTTCCTCGCGTTGGCGGAAAATAAAGGAAACACGAATCAATCGGCCGATCAATGCAACATCCTGATAGTTAGCGCCTCGAACTTCGCCCGCGATCTTCATTATCATGTTCAAGCTGACCATCCGCCGCCCTGCCCTTGAGCTTTACCCCGAAGGCCCCCCGACGGGATCATCGCCTAGCAACTGGTGCAACCCCGGTCGCTGACATGCAATTGGCCAGGTGCGGTGCCTGGCCATCTCCTAGTGTCTAACGGAATCAGGAGACGGGCGGGCCTCGACGGCGTTATCCGATCTGTTAGCTTCCTTTGATCTCCCAGCTATCGTATCTTCCGTCAAATCAGCGAGCTCTTATCAAGACATGTGCCGCTATCAACCATCGTGGGCTGCAGAACAATATTGTACCTAGCCCTCGGCAGTTTGGGGACCTTTTCGATAATAGTTAGGCCATCTAGCCTCCCACGAAGTGATATAAAAAGTGGGCGCCTGCCCGGTCTTTTTCTCAATTGCTCTTCCTTTTTCTCTTCACATCCTTGCAAAGCTCCAATTCTACATTTGCGAACCGACTGAGTTCTCAAAATGCCTCGTTCTTCATCCCTCCCCTCAATGGGCATGTTGGCTCTCGGTGCCATGCAAGTTGCATCCGGCGCCTTGGCTGATCTCCAGTCCTGCCCCAATGACACCCCTCTCAGCTGCAACAACTCGACCGCTGTGGAGGATTCTTGCTGCTTCAATGCTCCCGGGGGTACCCTCCTGCTCACTCAATTCTGGGATACAGACCCTGCGACGGGACCCTCTGATTCCTGGACTATCCACGGACTTTGGTACGAAGAATCATACAATCATGCCAGCAGACAAAGGCCAAGTGGAAACTAACGCACCTGCAGGCCCGACAACTGCGACGGCACCTACGAGGCGAACTGCGACTCGTCGCGAGAGTTCTCCAACATCACCGCCATTCTCAAGGAGCAGGGTCGTGACGAGCTCCTGTCCTACATGAACACCTACTGGAAGGACTATAACGGCGATGACGAATCCTTCTGGGAGCATGAATGGAACAAGCACGGTATGCTTTGCCCCTTGTTCTGGCTCAAGACTTTTGTCACATGACCTTCTGTCTAATGTGTACCGCCAAACAGGAACTTGCATCAACACTATTGAACCCAGCTGCTACACCGATTACACCCCGCAGCAGGAAGTCGGTGACTATCTCGCCAAAGCCGTCGAGCTCTTCAAGGGTCTCGACACCTACCAGGTAAGCTAAATAATATGACCGAACGATCCATCATCATGCAATGGAACTCTTTCCTAACCAGAGAAAACAAACACAACAGGCTCTCGCCGACGCCGGTATCACGCCTGGCTCTAAAACTTACGATCTAGACGAGATCGAATCCGCCCTGGCCAAACTCAACGGTGGCTTCAAGCCCACCGTCAACTGCAGAAGCGGTGCCCTGAACGAGGTCTGGTACTACTTCAACATCAGGGGCAATGCGATCGACGGCGACTATGAGCCTACTGATCCGCGTAAGTTTCGCGCTTCTCTCTCTCCCTCTCCCTCTCCTTCTCGTCCTGTACTAGATTTCCAGGGCATAGTTTGCTGATCGTATTCCAAGTCTCCGATTCGACCTGCTCGTCCTCTGGTATCAAGTACCTGGCTAAGCCTAAGAGCAACAACTCGTCGATCCCTGCGATGATGAGAAAGAGAATGAACCGGGCTGCTCGTTTGGTTTAGGTCTAGTGGTGGCACAGAATTGTTTCATGAACAAGTCAAAATGATGTACAGCGATGAGGTGTGATTAGATTTTGATGATGACTTGGTTTGTATGTATGTATGTACATGATATGATCAGAGCGAGGTCTGAGATGCCCTATATGAATATCGATTGGGGCATCGATGGATCGCCTATAAATAAAGGACGACGTATCCAACGAACAGGAGTGATTCGAATACCTGACGGTGCCAATAGAGATGCCGGGTTCTGGAATTGAAATTTGTTGGAACCCCTGGATTGCTTGCTTGTTCATGGCAATGGCACTCTTGCGGAGGCCGCGAAGGTAATGAATGCAGTGTTGTATAAGCCCAGGATTCACCACAATTGAGTAGCAAAAGGACTCGTGCGAATGCGGCCTATATGTCATTCAGAAGCCGAGGTTTTGTGCGGCGTGCAGCTATGTGCAAGAATCGCATCAACAGCTTGTTGGGTTTGAGTGCGAGATATTGCCGACAATAAGTGTGGCCTACCGGGCCCGCAAGCCCGGTGCGCCTGCTTATACAGCGAGAAGAAGAAATGGCGAGTGACGAATTACCGCCCCTTCAGCCGCGCATTTCTCATCTCTTCTTGACGATTGGCGCCCACACGGTCCAAGAAATCCATCCGGCCCAGGAACCCTTCCTTGGCCTTGCTGTGTACCGTAAGCTCGTCCTTGATGCCGGCCTGGTCCACATACGCCGCCCAATCCAGTCGAGATTTCTCAACGGTGTTGATCTTGGGACCACGGGCGTTCTCTTCCGTTCCGGCTGCCTGTGTCGTCGCAGCCGGTTGTTTCTCCCAACTCTTCTTGATGCTTCCGGTCGGGTTCGGGTCGAATCGCGAAAGTTTGCGAAGCGGTCTCCGCAGGTTCAGCGCCGCTTTCTCATTTTCACGATCCGCGTCTGCGTCAGACCCCGGCACGGTCTCTATGTCATTGCCGCTGGCGATGTAGATTTTGGCCTCAGCGGAATCCCTGGGAACCAGTTTCTCCTCGGTGATTATTTCGCCGGCGAATTTGTAGGTCCGTTTGATTTTGACCATTTCCTCTGCGTATTTGGCTTTGGGTTGCGCGGTCGGAGGATCTTCGGGGTGGGGGGCTTGCGTCGCTGTGTTGTTCGTGTCACCATCTGCTGCTGGGGGATTGGTCTCTTGTGTCTCGTTCTCGGGGAGTTGTGTTTCGGATTCTGGATCTGGCGCGTTCATTCTAGCCCATAGGGCGTCGACGTCGACTGTCGCGCCGTCGATCTTCGCGAGAGGTTTTCGCTCTTCTTCCTGTCTGAAAAAAGCCAAAGTCAATACCGTATATTTTTGTGAATCACTCATCGCGAATCAACCAAAACCAGGCAAGAGAAAGAGAAGGAAAAGGGGAAAACACATACGTGCGCATCTTCATCGCTCTCGTCCGAACAAATCCCCCCGGTCCACCCTCCTCATCATCATCAAAATCCATATCATCGTCATCATCATCTTCATCTTGCGCACCTCCACCACCGCCACCTTTCGCGTTCTTCTGCTTCTTCCCCTTGCTCTTCAGTTTCTTCGCTTTCGCATTCCGTATCATCGCCTCATCGCCGGACCCTAACTCCTCGTCATCAGCATCTTGTCGCTTCCCCGTCTTGCGCTTCTTAGTCGCCGGCTCGTTGGCGTTTGCCTCGTCGTCATCGCTATCGGAGGATGAGAGCCCGTCGTCATCATCTGGGCCTGCGGCGGCGTCGAAGTCCTCGTCTTCCTCGGAGTCGTATTGCTCGTCTTCGAGATCGACGTCCGGGACTGTAGCTGGGTCTGCAGACATCTTGGATTGGGAGCTTGGCTCAGGTAAAGAGACTGGCTCCGTGGCCAGTTGTAGGGGATGTTGAGGGTTGGATGAAGCAGATGGCCAAGGGAAGGTAGCGAGATGAGGATAGATATTCTGCCGGGCGGTGGATATAGAATTGTGTGGATTATGTCATTCAGATGAGCCAATCAGAGACGCCGATGACATCGCAGAATTAGACTAGCTCGTTACGGTATGTATAGTATATCCCTCATATTGACGGCCCATTGCATTCTGCGTTCTTAATATCAGAGCTATTTATTTCGCTCAAGTACTGGGGTCAAGTCTAAGGAAGTTTAGGCTCCGGAGACAGTCCAGGTCACAAGCAAGCGGTGCTGATGTTACTATATAACGCCGTCTACTAAGATGCCTATGAGCCACTCACATAACAGCTCTCAATTTTCAAAACAAACAAGCCCCGAGGAAAGTAATCGATCTGTTAATAAAATTATAGCAGGACTTTTCTCCGATTCTGTGGAAGACTTAAATGCATGAGGGGCAATCTACCAAGTCACAGCTTTTTATGTATGCTCCTATCCTAATATCTCCACGGTAAAATACAGCCTTCTCTGCATTCGATAGATCAAGGGAAGCTTTATTGCACTCTGTGACCGGCTGGATCAGAACTGGAATCCTTGTTTGGTGATGTTGTACATGAATGTAAGGCCAGTGCCCATCCAGCCATCAGCATTGAGACTGTACTTCTCTGGGGCGAATCTAGAACAGTCTATCTGCAAGTGATTCGAACCTCCTACGTTTCTTTCCAAACGCCTTCCACCCAGCCTAACTCTCTTTTGTGTTAAGAGATCTGGTCAGAACAAACTTCCAGTGAGTATCAAGCTTTGGTACCACAGGGAGTTGGGATTGGCCATCCAATTATTTGAAGTACCAATACACCTTAGTAGGCTTCCATCCGTGTACATACAGTGCCATTAGGGGGCTATGTGAGAGATCTCTGGTGTCAGGTCACGCCATGGTCATCTTGGTAGCACCGCAGTTGATGATATACCTCTATAATTACTGAATATAGCTAGCTTCTCAACTTGACTCACAAACGGGAACAAAGAAAATGGAAAGACCTTATCATACGGCTTGCATTTGACTTGCAACCGCAGCATATGACGAACATAGTTACACTATACCCATGGGGTCGACCCCGTGGGTCGACCCTCTGGGTCTACTCATCTACCCGTTCTTGGTTCTTTCTATATTGCCCGCCGACGATAGAAATGCCAGGTAACTATTTATGCTGGTCATTCCCACCTCTGGGATCATGTCCCCTACACGCTAAGTCTCCCCGCCTAGTTGACCGCACACGTTAAAATCATGGCACATTGTTACCATGCCTTGATGAGGATCTTTAATAAGATTATTAGCAAGATTCACAGCCATGAATTTCCAAATGAGCGGGTTGGCCTACGGAAGAATCTGGCACCACTTATTATGGACACCGCAGAAGCGATTGTTAAAGAAGTTAAGGGTTCTAAAGATTAAAAGTCCCCTTCGAAGTCTGTAAAGCTCTTGGTGATTATCAACTGTGTGTGCCTTTTTCTTAAAATTTCACTAACTCCAAGATACTAATTTTATGCCAGCCAGGCTCTTCGAGAAGAGCGATGAGATCACCCAGCTCAAGCGGGCTTGTACGATCAATATGCGCGTGCTGGATCATCTTGAGGATGGGCCAGATAAGTTGAGTATGAAAGCTTGGACTCTCAGTCTTCCGGCTGACATTGCTGACAAGGCTGATGAGTCCATGAAAGCGATCAAGCTTGCCAGGAAGGCCTATGAGATCCGACTGCAGGAAACGCCACGTAAGAAATTACAGCTATACAACACTGCATACAGTATGGGCATCTACCATTCCCATGTCAACCAGTACATGGAATCCAAGAAATGGTAAGAGTCATCCAGAAAATGGGGGGAATCCATGATGAAAAAAGATGGGGACCGAACTCGCGGGCTCCCATATTATCACACGGCGAGCTATGCCCGCTGTTTAATTAATCTCGGTCAATATGTCAGAGCACAGGAAATGCTCAACGAAGTCATGTCCCAAATCGACAGCAAGAAGTCCCCGGACTGGAAGACTAAAGGCTTGTAGGTTAAGTCTTTGTTCATAAGAGTTTCTGGGGCTAACATATCTTCAGTGTGCTGTGTTTATTGGCGTCAATAAATAGGCTTCGGGCGGACTTTGATGCCGCCAAACATCAGTATATTGCGGCCTAAAATACTGTAGTTGAGGGTGCTCGAGCACACGTTCATCCATCCAATACTGCATGTCAGCCCAAGACCGGATCTTGCTGTCCCGACCAGAAATTTGTCGAATCCATCCTGTAAGTAACATGAATCTGGATCCTATTTGCTGAGTCTCTAGGCATCTAGAGACCATTTCTTTAGGAAACTAACCTAGTCTATACAGCAAAGATATTCATGATGATTCGGATTTAAATAATGCAGATATGACTACTGTCGAGCACACCAGCATTCTGCTTAAGCTTTTAGGTTCTGTTTCGCAGACTAAGACTGATGACTGTCAAGTTGTGGAACGGATATTCTAGGAGGCGGCTGATAGATTTTCGAAAAGACGTCGGATATGCGCAGATTAGATAGAAGGCATACAATATACCATGGTGAGAGGTCTTTCGAGATGCAGATTGATTGACGAACTATGCGTCTATCAAGAATGACCTGAGAAAAGGCAATTTTCGATTCAAAAGTTTGGGATCAAGCATGACTTGCTAAAGCTACATCCTCGCCCTCAACTTCAAATCCTGAAATGGCAGGTCCAAGTAATCCCACATATAATGAAATCGATCACTCCCAAAGAACGGCTCCCCCTTTCCTTCCCCATTCACCACCCAAAACCACGGACAACCGAACGCGCCCTGCTCCTTCACAACGCGCTCCGTCGTCGTCGCCAACTCCGCCTTGATCGCGGGACTGGTGGCGGCGGATAGAATGGCCTCAACGTCCGAGCTTGAGGAGAATGACTTCGACAGGGCTATGGCGAGGTTTTCGGGCTTGGAGATATCAATATGGCCGTTCCACATCGTGTCGAAACAGGATTGGAATGCGGATTCGAGTTTTTCCTTTGGGTGGGTTTGTTTGATGTAGGTGAGGGCGCGTTGAGGCTAGTTTTGTTAGCTATTAGCTCTGAAGTGGATAAAGATGGAACTCACCAAAAGCGAGAGAATCGGGAAGAATGATGGTACTTCGAATTTATGTCCGAAGTATTTCTGAGCTCGCTGGCCGTCGAATTTCGAATATGCAGCCTTCGCGGGTAGAGTCCATGGGGGTTTGTTTCCTGATATAATGGAATCGCCGTATTAGGAATTTATGACCATACCATCTTTCGATCGATTCTCTTAATTCAAAAGAGAATGGAGGTAAAACGAACCGCTGCCCACGTTAATACCCCCTAAGAAGACGGGGATGTACCTTGATAGATGAAACATCAGCAACACGCTCCTTCTATAACTAGAAAAAGCAAAAATCATACTCAATATCGACACCCAAATCCGCCAATGCAGCTGAATTCTTCTGCAAATAGGAGAAAGCATAGAAACTGTATGGCGACACTGTTTACACCAACGAGACTTAGCATCAGTAGTCTCAAAGAAAGAGGTGCTGCTGTCGGTGACGTCAGAGCGCTTACCGCAGTCAAGATAGCATTCGATTTTCTTGCCCATCTTAAGATCTGTTGACTGTGGACCGAGTGCTAGTCGATGGTGTGTGGTTCTGGATTGATCATCAGGGAGATGTGGTGAGTATTTGTATCCGGGGTGGTCGGCGGACACGACTAATCTGTGGGGAAGCCGAGGATGTTCACCTGCAAATCGGCCGACGGGACCGACGGTGTATCCAGGAGTCAACGATATAAGCAGAAATATATAACAACATATTATTGATGAAACTAGTACAGCATAACATATTTACTGCTCAGAGTTTCCGGTCCATCATTTCCAGGACATAGAAGAAAAAAACACGCTCCTCGCAACAAGGCCAGGTAGAAGGGATACAGGCAATTGCGACCATAACCTCCAGGGCTCGGTCGCTCGTTCATATCTTCAGTAGCACATAGTTTCATCATGTTCCCGGGTATTTGGGCACCATCTCCACCTTCTCTGCTTGAGGCATATCCTGGCCTCGCTGTTTCGACACATTCCTTTCAAACCAGATCCCAGCCCCTACCGCAATCCCCATGACGATTTCCAATCCAACAAGCAGTCCCATCATGATAAAGGCTGCCCTGGTAGTTGTACAATCCCGCGCAAAATGGGACGGTGGCGTAATAGGTGTGCTATCGAGGTTGATCGAAGGGGTCCCTCGCACACTCTTCCATTTGCATGTCCAAGAGTGAAGAGTCTCGTGGTGAGCAAACCCCTTGGGAGCCGTCGAGCTTGGCAAGTGAATCGCGAGCACAGTTCCCACCAAGGCTGCTATGAATCCGGAAATCGCGACTACGGCAGCAAATAGATTCAGACGTCTGATATGGGAGCGGGGCTGCATATATTGTTAGACCAAAATATATGAGCATGCACAAGGAAAGGTGCTGAACTTACCGAGGGTAGAAGTGTCGTGACGATGTAAAGAATGGTTTGGAATGCGACTACACACCCACAAGAAAGCAGCGCAATTGTCGGGCGTAAATCGAAGTTCAGGGGCCACAGGAATAGCCAGGATCGCTCGAACGCGGATGTCCTCCGATAATGTAGTAGAGGAGCGGCTTCGCAGCCAATGATCGAGACAGAAACACCGAATATAATAGCAGAAAGCCCAAGTCTAATCCAGTGAAGGAACCGAGCTCGCTTGAGAAACGATGATTCCTCCTCGGCAGATGCACAGGATACGGAGGCATGGTAAGACCCTCCAAATGACGACACGGAATCCATTGTCGGGCTAAAGGAGCTTTTGTACAAGCCGAAATGAGGCAATCTTGAACCAGGTAAATATTCTGTCCAGAATCAAAAGAGAGTTTGTAGATTAACAAAGGCAGTTCAACAGCAATCAAACAGTAGCAACACAAAAAAAAGGAACGTATTTTGGTCAGTATTTGCCGGAAACACTACACCAAGTTTGAACTGAACGCCCGTGGAAAGAAATGAAATAGGTGAGCAAGTGAGCAAAATGGGAGAAGGGGGGAAGATATAGCAAACAGAAGTCTAAAAAGTACAGGCCTCGAACAGACAGCAAACATCCAGGAGAACAATCAAGTCGCCTATAATCAAGCCATAAACACACAGACCGAGTGTGATGTATTTTCAGACACCCAATAGGACCGTTTACCTACAAATTCGTCGATTCTGCAGGCCACACGGGGTACAGGGCGCTGGTTTGCTGCCAATCCCTGCTAATGGGCTAAGCGCCGAGGTCTCCTGAAGAATTATTCTTCAGGTTGGGCTGAACCTTGTCGATCCAGGCGCCTATATTCAGGGGCTGGCGCTTCCACTGAGTGAATCAGGCCGACCATCTGATTTACATCACATATTGATCATGTTGATCTCCGCAATGTTGCGCGTGGTGGTCAGCTCGTCCCACGGCACTCCGGGGAGGGCTAAATTGAGCAGCAAAGTCAACGACTTCGGTTAACATTATATCAGAGGCTCCTAGATATTATTCTGTCTTCATTTGTCAGTCCCTTGTTCAACCGGAACCAAGTAAAAGATGTGTTCATCATTTAATCTTGTCGCCGTTCAGAGACGGCCCATTGGAGTGGTTCTAAAAGTAGTGCTTGTTACAGCAGGTCCATTTCACCGTTCTCGCTGTTCATGTTTAATTTTAGACATAGGAAGCGTCGGAGGGTTTCACTTTGAGCAACTTTAAATTAAGCACCTTTAGAGAGGAGAAAGAGAAGAGAAGAAGAGAAGAGAGCACTGAAAGACGGCGGGATGCGAAACACCAGATCCCGTGACATCATGCTTCCCCGTGACCAATCAGCAGCCCCAGGGTGATCAAACCCCACGATAATAAAAAAAGAAAAAAATATCCGCGGGGGAAAAAAAACGATCGACTTGTTCTGTACTCAGCAGCCACTCTATCGCTGACTCCATTCGACCCGATCAGGATTGGCTGGAGCATTGATTCCTTTCTTTATATCTTACATTTCCTGTTTGACTCTGGGATTCTAGCCCCCCGTCGATTACCGTCATGCCGTTGTCGCAGCTGCAGGGCATCAAGCTCCCCGCCTCGGCGGACTTCCATGGTATGTTGAGACATTGTCGCGCCACTGTAGCACTCTGTCAATGTGCTTGAGCTATTCCGATCACTTTTGCCGTATGGAAATGCGCACTAACAATCCGGTGAAGTCCATCTTCGCGATGGCGATATGATGGAGCTGGTGACCCCCACCATCAGACAAGGTGGTGTCAACACTGTTTTTGTCATGGTAAGGGCTCGCCTTTAAGGAGCGGTCCGATGAATTGCTACTCTGAAGGTCTTGTTAAGATAACATGGTCTTTCTAGCCAAATCTTGTGCCACCCGTCACTACCGTCGACCGTGCTCTCGACTACAAAAAGCGCCTGCAGGCCATTGAACCTAACGTAAATTATCTCATGTCCTTGTACCTCCACGAGACGGTGACTCCTGAAACCATCGTCGAAGCCAAGAAAAGAGGCGTCACCGGTGTCAAGAGCTACCCGGCAGGCGTGACGACCAACTCCTCCTCCGGCGTAGTGGACTATACCCAGTTCTATCCCGTGTTCGAAGAGATGGAACGTCAGGACATGGTCTTGAACCTCCACGGTGAAGTCCCTTCGACGGGCGACGTGACCGTCCTTTCGGCAGAAGAGCGTTTCCTTCCCACGTTGCTGCAGCTGCACGAGCGCTTCCCAAAGCTTCGAATTATCCTAGAGCATTGCACGACCGCAGCTGCAGTAGAGGCTGTTAAGAAATGCGGACCCTCGGTGGCTGCCACACTCACCGCCCATCACTTGGCTATTGTTGTCGACCACTGGGCGGGAGACCCCTTCTGCTTCTGCAAGCCTGTCGCCAAAACGCCTGCCGATCGCGATGCCCTCTTGCGGGCTGCGGCATCTGGCAACCCCAAATTCTTCTTTGGCTCCGACAGTGCACCGCACCCGGCAGCCTCCAAGCGAGGAGACAAGATTGCCGCCGGTGTTTTCACCCAGCCATACACCACCCAGCTCGTCATCGACGCCTTCGAACAGGCCGTTCAGAACGGCGTTCTGAAAGATGAGGACATTACCCCCAAAATCGTCGAGGGCTTCATGAGTAAATTCGGCCGAAACTTTTACGGCCTTGGAGAGGAGCAGAAGGAATTCCTGATCCTCGAGAAGAAAGAAGAGAAGATTGCAGATATCCTCCAGTCAGGAAAGGTGGACGTGGTTCCGTTCAGAAGAAACCAGCAGACGTGGAGCGTAACCTGGTCCACATAATTTTCTAGTGACATTCATGTCAATCACTGTCGGTTCAAATGGAATAAGAAAAGTTGGCGATTTTGACCATTCTCCAGTAATTGTCTCGGCGGCAACGACTGTTATTAGTCGGACTTTTTGTCGCCCTGGCTTAGCAACCCTGTCACGGCCTCAAGTGCCTGTGCTTCTGTAATGTTCATCTTTCGTCCTGCGATCACCGGGTTGCCGTCACTGCCCACGGCAAGTTGCCCGGCTCGCTCCAGGTGCAGTCTAATCCGGCTTTCAATGTATTCCCTTCTCTCATCAGCCTTGGACTCCTTCGCAAGATCCACCGATTTCGGCAGCGCGGCCAACTTGGGCCGGAGCTGTGCAAGCATCGTCTTGAGCGCAGGGAGTTGAGATACGATGAAAGTCGTGTTCGTCGTGAGGGGCGTATGTTGGGTGGTAGAACCCGCGACACCGACCCGCAGTTGCTGAGCAGCGGGGCTGGCTGTCAAGAACGATAGATCCAGGTCTTTGCTGCTAGACGGCGCAGGCATTTCAGGCTCACCCTCCAACTTGGCCGGATTGGCCGTCTGGGTTGGACCCACAGTCGACAAAATAGACCGTAGCTGAGAGATAATCGCATCATTTCGGGCGCACTCTTCTTTCATTGATCGGTTGAGTTTCTTAGTCTCTTGGAGCTTTTTGCGCTGAGCCTGGATTGTCTCGGGAGTTGGCGTGTTTGGAGGAGGACTGAGGTCGAGGTTCTGTAGAATAGGACAGCGCATATTAGCATCAGGCGCGTTCATGTAAAAATCCCAGCCGAGCTCCGTACCTGATAATGATTCAACCGAATCCACCCCAGTAGGTCATCTTCCACCCTGAACGTGTTTCGCAACACGATAATTTCAAACTTATCGAATGCCTTGTCGACGGTAGCCTCGAGAAGCGTCTCTAATTGATGCAATCCATTTTCAATCTCCAGTCGCGCCTCGGGATAAACAACGTTGCCATCCTCATCGGTGTCGGGGATGGTGGAACCGTTATTTGCGTGAGAAAAGCCCAATCGTTCTGGGGGGGTTGAGAGCAGGCCAGATTCAAGACTTGAGATGGCCTGATATATCAAATTGTTGATGGAGTTGATAACGTCATCTATGAGAGACTGCGATCGCGTTAGCTGGGAGAAGCCAGGAGGTGAGGGGCAGGCGCATGTGTCCAGGTAATTACCGGCAGGAGGACTCACCAAAGGTGTATAGCTAAAGTGCTCAGCGAGCAGAGAATTCGTCGCGTCGTTCATCGTGATATGATGGCGGGACTATCGTGCATCTTCAGTGCAGAGTGAGTTGAACAGGCGAACTTTCCCTACGGGAGACGCGTTGCGCGGGAGTAAAATAGTTGACCTCCAACTTCCTGGACGCGGAATACCGACCGTTGGACTAAGACACGCTAGAATCAGGCTGTGGAGCAGCCATCCTAAGAAAGATGCATATGGAGGGGGTATCTAGGCACCACTCACTTATAATTTTTAAAATTCCTACTATCATAAGGATTTCAGTGGAACTAGAATGCATGTTTTGGGACTATGTCCAAGATCTGCCTTTCTATTAGCTCTGGCTTCTGTAGTCAAAATTTTAAATACATTTCAGCAACTATCCGATATGGTGTAGTGGCTAACATCGCCGTCTCTCACACGGCAGCCGGGGGTTCGATTCCCCCTATCGGAGATTTCTTTTTCCGATTTTTTTTGGCTTTCTTTCGCTCGCGTTACTCCGTGTCACCTGTCTCTGCCTTTTCCCTTTCCCCCCTTGTTTTTGATCCTTAATTTTCTATTTTTGTTATGTTTTCTCCTCTTTTGTTTCCAGCCCCATCGCCCGTAATCTCATACCACCAAATGAGTCATGGCAGCCAGTCGTCAGAGTCATCGAGAACAGCGCCCCTTCCTTTGACTCATTCGGCCAGTGCCTCGATTCGTTCAGTTCCACCTGCCTATTGAATTTGGAGGTCACTCCAAGGCTAATTTGCGCAATGGTTCAATATCCAGATTGATGCAACCCCGCCAGCATACTGGATGAATGCTAATCTTTGTTTTGGTGCCTGTGACTCCTTGTTGATCACCATGTAACCCAACACGGCTGCGGCTGATTGTTGTTTGAGGAGCCTTGGACTTGACCTCAGCGCGATTGTAGACTTTTGGTTAACTTATAAGTATCTTGTCTCAATCAAATAAAATGCCCTTCATCTTCAATATACCCTTTTTCAGTTATTCAATCCTTGGACCTCGAGATATCACCCATCATGGTGTCTGGAGTACCTACCCTAGCCTTAGAAGAAGCCCTCGATCGCGATCTAGCTGTCCGTGATCTTCAAGATAAGGATATCACTGCTCAAGAAGAGAAACATGCTCCCATCGAAACGCCTCAGCATGTCACTTCAGGCACGCAAACCCCGGCATCGATGGAAAACAGACTCCGTCCGGCAGCAGGTAATTAGTCTATAAAATCGTTCAGAGGTTTTGTTACTAACATAGACAATGCAGACATCATCAATCGCATCATCTGGGACTCCAATTATGACAGCGCAAACTATATCATTGGGTATGAGGATCGGTTCGAAGGGCGCTTGGAAGTTGGCATTTGTTCGTGGAAAAGGGAATCAACGGACGAGGAGTTTATCCCGCAGCATCGAGTGCTTTACATCAAACGCAGATCCGACGGAGAGATTATGTGGGATCGAAGGCGGAGGATTGATAAAGTGTTCCTCAGTGGGAATTCGGCTTTTGACTTTTTGGCCTTTTTGAGCTAAGCATCTGATCATACCTTTGTGCACGCTTATACCCATTGCATACCTTATGAATGTTATCAGACTGGAAGAAACAAATGCGGTAGTCGCGAATGATGGTCCTTTCTTCTTTGGGGAGGCTGCCTTCTATCAGGAAACTTCGCACGGCCAGGCAACCTTCATAACACCGTAACAGCGAGTCAAACAATCCAGCCCAAGCCATATTCTTCGCGTTTTTATTCGGCAAACCATTCGACTCGAGCCGTTCATCAGCAGCTTCGCAATATGGCGCAACGACTCCGCAAGCTCGATTTCTCGCGCATGAAGAAACACAACCATTCGAGCACGTCCTCTGCCAGCTCCCCTATAGTGCCGGTCCTTGAAACACCTGCTGCGTTCTCGGTTCAAAGCGTCAGTCCTGGGCCAGCCGGTAAGCAGAAGGCTTATTTTGGTAGACCTCATGTTAGACCGTCCGTTTTCGTGGAAAATATCGAGGATGATGAAGTAAATGCCTCTGCTGCTCAAGGCCACTCTTTGGAAAGCAAGAAAGGCCTAGCCAACGCCGATTGCGAAGAGGAGTCAATATCACGAGAAAAGACCCGCTACTTCGAGGAGATCTTCAGCATTCGCAACCCTCTGACCTCCACCAAGTCACGTACGAATCAGGAGGATATCATTGTAGTTGAGATTAAATTGCGCACACGAGTGAGTACTTATATTTCTTTTGCCTGCTTTCATGACATGTCTTCGTCTATTGAGTAACAGCGTGATACTGGTATACTGACTATACGTTAGGTCAAGAATGACGAGGAGTTTGCTCGCTTGGTAGCCTCTCGGATGGCCAGCATCTACCAGAAATCTGAGAGCCAATTCATGATCAACATCCAGCAAGATTCATATCTTTACATGGGCACTCCCAGGTTTCCGGCTTACTTGATCAAGATTTTCGCGCTGCCACAACTCATAGGGCCAGTCACCAATCTTCGCTGCACCATTCTCATTCAAGGGCTCCTCCAAGAGGTTGCCCTCATTGGTCCGAACAGAGGCGTTGTTCTATTTTATCCTATTCTCGAAGAGAACTTTGCAACAAACGGTGCCACCATGATGGGTGAAATCCCACGGCTCGATCGCCACAGCTCCGAGGAGCAAGATCAAGGAATTTTCAGAAGCATCACACGGTCCCTGAGCAGACTGAAATCTAGCAGCACTCACAGTGCACCTGCATCGGAGGCAACAACTTCTTCGTGGACTGGGGTCATAGAGCATCAGAGAGAGAAAAGCACCCTTAGGGACGATACATCGGAAGAAGAGACTTCCAGATCGGTCAGGAAATCCAGAAGCCGGCGGCAGCGTTTCCTACCTGGACGTGGTAGCTCGGATCCATCTCATCCAGTAGATCAGAGTGTGTGAATGAGTTGGTCGTAATTGTTCTGCAGTATCTTAGAACAACCAGGGCAGTGTGCAGTGCCGCTGATCTGCTTTGGTCAAAGTATGAAGGATGGGTCTCGTTTGTTCACTTTCTTTCGCATGTATTCTTAGTATCTTCTAGCCAACACCACCCAAAGTGTTGCCATGACAACTCTCTAGGCTTCAATACCTACAGACGCAATCCAAGAAATCTGAATCATTCAAATTCATTGACGCAATGGAACAGTCCTGTTCTACTGCAGTTGGTAGCAAAATTGAGGAGAGGGAAGGTAACCTTTTCGATGCTCCAGATGGAGCAGCTTTGATCCGTACGCTTTCCCTATCAGAGAACATGGAAATTGGCCGTTATCATGTTAATTACTCGCTTTTCTTGTGTCCTAGACGCCTGTAACTGCCAAGGTTGCTGGAGTGCCGGTATTGCTAGAATGTTTAAAACAAAGGTGAGTTGAAAGTGAACGTTCCGTTTAATCCTCTCACTTGAACCTACGGTCGCTGACACTGTCCCTGGAATTTGATCAGTATCCTGCTGCATATGCCGTCTACAAGGCCCACTGCGAGAATCTAATGAGGTCTCCCAAAACCACCACCGCTCCTAATGCCAGCGATGGGATGATTCCAGACAAGCGAATTCTTCTCTCACCCGAGGGAACGGCGCTCATCATCCCGCCCCAAAAAAGGGACTACGAAGGACCTCGTGGTAGTAAAAAACACTGGATCATCTGTCTTTTTACATCTCGCAAGTTCGGAAGGAAGGCCAGTCCACCTCCTGTCATCCTCTCTAACACTGAGCTTGCTGTGGTGGACATGAAGCGGCAGCTTGAAGAACTTCGGGCTGATGAGTCGGTTGAGGTGCCAATCAGTAGACTTTGGTCGTGTCGTTTTAACTCCGGGCTTTTCCGGGTCGATTGGAGTCTGTCGCGTAAGGTTTTGCAAGATGCAGGACTGGATGTTATCGTTGTTCGTCCGGAGGGCGAGGAGTGATGGTGTCGGTCTGGTGGGGATACTGTCAAAATGTATATCTTGATGGAACACTACAACCTGTGAAGGACTAGAGTTGGAATGGGAACGATTCCCAACCAGAAAAAGAGTACCGATCAAAGGAGTCAAATGCAAGGATTTCTTACCTTTTAATATATCAAGCTCTAATGTTGCATAAACAGCACTAATCGACCAGCGATGCAGGTATAGAGCTCGAATCACATGACTTCGCGTCGCGCTCCGTGTCGAGCGATAAGATCAGCCCAAATTAATTCCCCTCAACAACAAGAATCGCTCTCTAGTTTGGCCATCACCAACCAACGTCACCCACTATGCCTCCTACGAAAAGGCCGCCTCAAAACCAAAGGCAACGGCCCTTCAAGGTTCCTCGTCGCCAGACATCCCCCGAGGCTGGACCCTCCAATTCCAAAACCTCCTCATCGGCAGCAGCAACTAAATCGAAACCCAAGCCCAAAGCCAAACCCAAGACGACCACGAAACCCCCGAAGAATGCTACCGCCTCATCCTCCAAATCCAAACCCGCCACATCATCCTTCCGCAAGAACAAATCGCGCGCACACTCTGAAAGTCCCGCCCAAGACGACGACGATGCCGCAGCAGCAGCCGCAGCCGCCGCAGCCGCCGCGACGGACTCCGAACCAGGTTCTGACGCCGGCTCAAACTCCAGCCATCGCAGTCGCAGTGGAAGTCGCGAGCGCTCAGCGTCCGGGGAACCGGACTTCATTCTAGCGGAGATCACCAACGGCAATGCCGAAGAGACCAACGACGTGATTCTCAGCGAGCCCGAGATCCCGCCGAAGCTGCTGACCCGGCTGCTGCACACGCTCTTCCAGAACCCCAAGACCAAGATAGCTAAGGATGCGAACGCTGTAGTCGCTAAATACATGGATGTCTTTGTTAGGGAGGCGCTGGCGAGAGCGGCGTTCGAGAGAGCAGAGGCTAATGGTGAGGGGGCGTCGTTTGCGGATGGCTTTTTAGAGGTTTGTTCTTCCCTTTTCCAGTTACTTCTTATTTACCTAGCTGTCGAGGGAGACTCGGGGATACATTGATTGTTGTGCTAATGCATTATATCTAGGTCGAAGATCTTGAGAAGATGGCGCCCCAGCTTGTGTTGGATTTCTAAGGCTGGGTTCGAATGCGATATAAATATTGGAGTGTTTGCGATAGGAATGGAGTTGCATGGTTCTGTGGCCTCGGGCTGATTATTTTTTGTTTCTCTTTTAAGATACCACTAGTTGCCTGTTGATGATGCTATGAATTTAATACAATGGTTTGTATAGGAAGGCCGATATCCTTTGATAGTGTGAAATGTGCTTTTGGTCTAATGTTGTATGCATGACTGGCGTAAGTTCTAGTTATGTACTATAATGTATTATCAATGCTTCCGGCAAATAAATTCCGTAATGAGATATTTATAAAGGTACGTCCCCCACTGCCCTGTTTGAATCAACACAGTGCGCGAGAACTCCGAGCAAGAGAAGAAAAACGAAGATCCAGAGAGAGGGTCTATTTCAAACGCTAACCAGAGGATCCGGCGTTGCCACAGCTGAAGCTGGAGTCGATCCTTGAGGCGTGGCATCGGATTCGGCAAGGGGGTTCATTTTCTCCGACGGTGTTTCAGCTTTAAAATCGCCGTCCGTTGTAGTCTTCTTTTGTTTGGCAGTGAGGGCGCCGAGCTCCAGGGCTTCTTCGGGCAAGGGCCGGATGTGTGGTTGACAAATCCAATACGGCCTACCGTATTCAGCAATCGTCGCCTTAGACCCTTTTAGATCCTGATTAGGGGGCTCCTCAAAGCGCTCGGGGAATTGTTCATATTCTTTGAGGCCGTCCTTGATTGTTGCCTCGACAAGAGTGAGAACGTGCTCGAAGGCGGGCATGTCGCCGGGTCGTGACCGAGCGAGTGCGTCTCGGACGTTGGTGTGCGTAGAAACCATGGGACGAAGCAGCTGGAAAAGATGCCCTTGCATCACGCCCAGGCTGGGAGAGTTCAGCTTCTTCTGTTTCGACCTGTCCTTCTTCTCCTTCCTCATCTCCTTCTTTAGTTCCTTCTTTTGTTTTTTCTTGGGCGGGCCTTCGGTGACTTCTTCGGTGGTCTCAGCGACTGCTTCTGGAGTCTCATCCACGGGATCTGAAGGAAGATACAGAGGCTTTCTCTCTGGGACCGGCTGCTCGAGAACATATTTGTAAATGATGTCCAGATACCGGCGCAGAATTGCGTCTATCCGGTAACCGCCTTTGCCATTCCTGCCACGCCAGTACTCTCGTGTCTCGCTGCCAACGGGGGGAGGTTTGCTGAAGATCGCCGGGTCTGATAGATTGCCTTCCGCACTCATCACTCCATCCGCACCTGTGGCTTCAAGACAGCGTTCCAGGTCATCGTAGTTCAGATTGTTTCCATTCGCAAAGATCACCGTCTCCGGAGGCAGGTTGTCGCGAATGTAACGAATGTAGCTCCAATCAGCCACGCCTGTTTCATGGCCCTTCTGCTCCCTCCGGCGACCATGGAGTGTGATTATGCTTGCGCCGGCAGATAGAATCATCTTCGCATATTCCAACGTCTTCTCTTTTGTCTCCAGAATCCGAAATTTGGCGGTCACGGGTATCGAAAGTTCGGTATGTAGTCGGTTAATCAGCCTATATATGAGATCCCAGTCCTCCTGGAGAAATGCGCCGTAATGGCCCTTCTTCGCGATGCCCTGGGGACAGCCAAGATTCAGATCGACAGCATCGCAGTATGGTTCTGCATACCGTGCAGCTTTGAGGAGGTCATCGGGGTCATTGGCGCAGAATTGTACGAAAAGAGGTCGGTCTATGGCGGGGTTTCCATCGAGGTACGGAGCGCCGGGGTTTTGATCGGTCTCGTCGCGCGTGGGTCGGAAGTGTTGTAGACGGATGCCGGGTTGCTCGTGGAACAAGCGCGCATGGTACATGGGCGAGTAGGAAAGGAGTGGTTTGGGGTCATCGGGAGGCATGAATGAACGAGTAAGCATGCGCCAGGCCTATTATCTACGGTTAGTCCATTAGGGCAATACAATGTTTGTAGAGCATAGAGCGCGCTGACAAATTCCGACCGGTCTACCATAGGAGCAACGATATACTTGGGACTTCCCAAGCTCTCGTAGAAAGCTCTCCCTAATAATATCTGCTTCGGCTCCGACACTGAGACCGATGGCGCATTCTGCGCATCCGCGGGAGCCTGCGAAGTGGGCTGCGTTTCTGAAATTGCCATTTTCGCGAGATTTGAGGGTGTGAATCTGGGTGTGTATCGCCCCAACCACGGGGCAAGGAATCGAAAAATCCCTATTTTGGTAGAGTAAATCTGGACCGGAAGATGGTGAACCGTAATTGCTCAATGAATGACCGCCAAATGATCGGATTGCGGGCAACTTTTTTTCGACGGCGATTATCGCGGGGCGGAACAATAAAGAGCCGTCTTATCTTATCGTCGGTGAAAATCGATGATTACATCACTGGCACAGAAGAACTTGAAGATGAAGTATAATTGTAGGCGCTGATATAACTCATGAATCTGATAGGGGACAATGAGAGTAATCCCAATATTCTCAAAAAAACACCGAAAAGAGGAACTATGGGAGAGCCGTGGAACTTGTATACATGATTATGTCATCCACCAGAGAGGCTTGGCGCGGTTCATCAATAGAAAACAAGCCATGGCAACAATGCTGCTCTTTAATACCTGAAGCTCCCCATCTCCTCGTCCTGGCGGCCCAAGAATGCATGTTGTACTTGAACATGTGTGAACCAAAATCACTTCTATCCGTAAATATCCGTCACTACCCTGACGGCAGCCACTGAACCATCTGCTCTATTCTCACTAGAAGATCAGCGACAATGGACTCCACCGGCGGAACTGGGGGTAAACCTCCCCGTGTTTGTTGATTTGGAACCAACAAATTGCTAACAGATTATGCAGTATCGGCATCAGTCTCTCTCTCGGAAGATGGGGAGTTTGTCTCCCAGCTAAATGCAAAGGAACTCGTCTTTCACCTCAACCCGACATCTTCCGAGTTCCAAGATGTACAAATCGTGAAGGTCAAAGAAAATCTACCCAAGTTCTTGAAGATCTCGCGAGCCACCAATGGCCAGCCCCCCGGTTTGCCTACCCCCGAAGGCAAAGATCTTTCGAGGCAGAGAGTGCTATATGCAAGTGACACTCGAGTCCTGGTATGGCAGCTGGAACCAATGCAATTACATGCAGAAATCGATAGCATCGAACCCGGCGCCACAAACGTCGACTTTGGCGGCGATGAGAACGAAGTCATAGTATTCAACGCGTTCAACGCGAAAGTCTCTATACATGGATTGGATACAGGCTGCAGCCAAGTCATCAAGTCGCCTAAATTCTCCCACTACAATGGCTTCGGATACCGACCGAAGACCAGGCAGTTTGCCATCCTTCTCAAGCCTGATGCTGTCGATGTGCTAACGATTCACGAATTTCGATCATACGAGCTGATTGGACGGGCTAATTTACCTACGGTAGATGCCCAAGGCATGAAATGGAGTCCTGATGGCCGATGGATAGCTGTTTGGGACGCTGCGAGCGCCGGTACAAAGGTTCTCATATTTACCGCCGATGGTCAGCCTTTCAGAACATACACTGGCCCGCCTGGTACCGACATATCTCTCGACCTTGGTGTCAGGAACATTGAATGGGGCCCTGCTAGCAGCAACGGGTCCTCGGAATTTCTAGCTGTCGGAAAGGTTGACGGGACCGTTGACCTTCTCAAAAGCAAAACGGTATGTAACCGCTCACCTTTCGCTGTCTCACTGAGTCCGGACTGATCTCGCGAAAACAGTTTTCTTGCTCGATGACACTGTCGCACACGTTCCAATTGGATCAGAACACTCCTAGCATCTGGCGTGAGCGATTTACGACCGTGGATGGGGATCTTGAATATAACGAATGCGCAGGGTCTTCTGCATTTAGTGCGATAGGCGAGCCCACTGGACCCCCACGGGGAGTCTCAATCATGGCGTTTAGCTCCAGCGGGAATTTACTATGCACGGTCGATCAGTCGCGGCCTAGTATCATTTGGATCTGGGCTCTGGAGTCCAACGTGGTACTTCTGTCGGCTCTCGCTCACGAACATCCTGTGAGACAAGTTGTGTGGCATCCCTCGAAGCCCGAGTTTCTTGTCACCACAACAAACAATACAGGCGCTGCTGTGCGGCACTGGTCGCTTGACCGACAGCCTTCGATCGTCCGTATCCCGGCGTCTAGAAATGATGCAGGGCGCTACGACGTGAGATGGTTGCCTCGAGAGCAACGAGGCCAATCGGTCTTTTGGTTTGGGACACCAGATGAATACGTGCTTGGGTATATCGAGGACGAGATTGTCGTGTCGCAATTCAAGGTTCTTAAGTCTATCAGTAGCAACCTGAGGTTACCTTCTGGCAACTACGGGGCGAACATGAGCCGATGATTATGGATCTAACGGTGATTACGAGTGTCTGCATTTCTGAATATGAAAATATTTATGATGTGATATCAAACAAGACAAGCGAAGACTATGCACAAGGGTATCATGTAAAAAAGACACAGGACGTAGTAATAACTACCCAAGTACTCCGTACTTACCATATATTTGCTGCCTGGGGCATCCCGACGATATAGTCCTCACCGACCAATCACAGGCCCACCATCCGTCAATGCTAACCGAGGCGGCGCCTGAAAAAAAAAAAGGACAGCCAGGGCTTAGGGTTTAGATACACGTGACGACACCCTCCCCACTCGAATTTCGCACTTGGACTCGCACCCTTCTGGCCGTTGCTTTGTCGCGCAGTCACATCCGTCGAACAACCACACTAGATCTTCAAGATGGTGAGTGATGGCCCTCCTATCCAGGCGCATCGAAACGACTCAGAAATGATTTGGTTATACTAATACTGGCAATTTCTAGGCTCCCGCACGCAAGAAGTGGTCCAAGGGCAAGGGTATGCAAATCACCACCATTCCAACTCCCCCCCCCATCGTCAACTCGATCAACGGTTCCCTTTCGATTGTGGAAAAAGAATGAAAAAAGAATTCTATCTATCGCCTTTCTCGACAAGGAGGGGAACAGGTTTCTGGAGTCGACAACGATGATAGGAAATGATCGGATTAATTCAGGACTCGAATGACTGACGTTTTTTTTTCCGCCGCATAGTTAAGGACAAGGCCCAGCACGCCGTTGTCCTCGAGAAGCAGACTGCTGAGAGACTTAACAAGGATGTCCAGTCCTACCGTCTCATCACCGTCGCCACCCTCGTCGACCGTCTGAAGATCAACGGCAGCTTGGCCCGCCGGGCTCTTGCTGACCTCGAGGAGAAGGGCCAGATCAAGAAGGTTGTCGGCCACTCCAAGATGAACATCTACAGTATGTTATACCGATGACTTGTGATCACTTCAACTCCGATCGACGATTTTCTAACCGGGTGTTTCTCGATTTAGCCCGCGCCGTCACCGCCGAGTAAACGTTTCCTGACCAGTTCTTTTTCTCGCGGTCCCTTTTCACTTTGCTACGAATGATATCTCTCAAAATTCGGAAGTTTGGCTGGGCGAATGATGTATAGTGGTTCGAATCAATCAATTTCGGAGTGAACGAACGAAAAGTCGCGCTACAGGACGTGCCAAGTAAAACCTATGATCATAAACTGAAGCCTCAAGAGGCTCGTCTGTCTGCTCAGGAGGAAGATCTTTTCTGGGAGATGAGATGCGTAGGCCTATACCTTGAGCAGTATGAAACGAACCGCTCCGTTCGGCACGTAGATAATGTGCATTCTGATAAGTGCCCAATATCAGTCAATTTAACCCAACCCAAACCGAGAATCGATGACCCATACTATACAATTCGGCCTCAAAACCTAACTAGCCTAACCTTATCTATATACTCGTCCTCAGTTTCCCTGCTTCTGCTTCTTCTGCTGCTCTTTTTGCTTTTTCTTGTTCAAGTTCTTCCTCTTCGGCCTCTGCTGCTTCGCCTGCTCGCAAAGCTCCCTCGTCTCCTTAGGCAGATCCTCCAACCCCACGACCTTGCCCACCTCGAAATATTTCTTGTGGTTGCGGAAGAAATTCTCCCAGTGCTGCACCTGCTTGTGCACCTGGTTCCGGGCCATGCGCAGGTCCTGCTCCCGCCGCGTCTTCTTCTCCCCGCTGCTCAGCGTCTTCTCTTCCTCGGGGTCGTTCTCGATCGGAATGAACATATCCTCCACGCCCGTCATGTCGGCCGTCAAGTCATCCTGGAAACAACCGGTTACGAACGCCCGCGTGGCGTCGCGCCCTGCGAAGATGTTGTAGTGTCCGCCCGGTCCGTAGATCATCGGGTTGGCGGAAACATCGAAGATGCTGCCGTTCACGGCGAGGTAGATGGGGATGGACGGATCGGAGCCATCGTGAGGGGCGAGTTGGGCGGGCGTCAGGTAAAGAGGTCCTTGCTGAACGGTTTCATGCGATGGTTAGTGGATGATGGCGATGATGACGACGACAACGACGTAGACATAGACGAACATGATCAAGTCCATCCGGTCGAGTCAATTTCTCTCCCGGCCAATAGGAGGGATTTGAAAACAAAACATCTCTCGGAAAGGAATTGAACAAAGAACTTGTTGATCTTTTCTAACGTACCAGATATCGCATCAACACCGGCACCCTGGTATACCAGGGCCGGTATCCCCACAGCAATGACTCGGACGAGGTCATGTAGTACGACAGCCCGCAGGAAGCTACCGCCAGTGTGAGCACCAGGCGCAGGATATCGAGAACGCCGATGCCTCCGGCTTTGGAGGCGGCTGCCTCATTGCGTCGTCGCGGGGCGGCGGGACTGTCATTTCCGGCCGTTGGTTTGGCGGATTTGGTGTTTCTTTGACGAAGGTCTGACATGGTGGTTGTCAGCCTGTGTAGGAGTTGTGATGGTGGTGAGGGAGTGAGGAGTTTGAAAGAGAAAGTGAGAGGGAGGGGAGAGAGGGGCGGCGGAGCTGTTTGTAGATTGACTGATTAATGCTAATTTGCGTAGAGGACAGCTATCATATCGATTAATTCCACTTGCTACCGAGTATGTTCCGCGCGTCCGGTTCAGACTAGGTATGCAGATGGTGTGACATGTCTGGTTTCATGGCTATGGTCATTTCTAGCCTGTTTCTTTCGGCGCTAAGAGACTTCTCCGTACTGAGATTGGCGATAGAGGCACATCGCTGCATGTCCACGGAGTACCCCTTTTAGCTCTACGAAATTTGCACTCGCTCAATCGGAAGCTCTCCGGTCTCTTTATGAAAATTCGTGATATTATTATATTATTTCATGCATGATGCGACGAATCCCCGGGAAATCCTAATAAATCGCAGAGCGCGACCCCGACAAACCGATCGTATTCTTGCAGTCCTTCCATCCCCAGTATCAAGCCCCATATCCAGGACATACGGATCGTAACTACTAAAGATGTCAGTCAGCAAGAGGCCTTCAAGAAATAGACAACGTGAAACTGCATCAGCTGCAACGGCAAATCTCTCAGACATCCAAGGAAGAAATTGCGCACAGAGCACGTCTAGAATGGGTTCTCGCGACGGCTAGCGTGGAAACTGCGAATGTAGGAAATGATTTTCATCATCGAGATTGGAGATGGGGGTGTGAAAGTGCTGGTTGGAAGAGAATGCGACTCACCAAATTCTTGTTCTACAGTGGAATAGAAGAGCTGCTAGTTGAATCGATGTTAAGAAGTGGCTAGTTGAATCGATGCTAAGAAGTGCATATTTCAAGCCGCATAAAGCTTGGCCGCCCAGAAGGCTACTGTCATGTCGACATTTTTCGATTGGGGTCGTTCAAGGAAGAAGGTTGAAGAATGATGGAAAAGCTCTGGTGACGGTTTTTCTACTGAACTAAAAAAAAAAAAAAAAAAAAAAAGACGCCAAGTGGACCCACTATTGCTGGTTGCCTTAATGCCTTGGTGCGAGCACCCAATAATTTTAGAGGTATTATTATAAATTCGAGAAACATATTGGCAAAATGAAATGAGCTAGATTGGTTGGTACAAACGAGGCATATCCAACTCCGAAGAAGCTCATAACATCGAAATTCCAGCGATCGATCCGTGTACATACACTGCGGACAACGCAACCCTCTTCCTAATCCTACCTAGACTTCTGAGCCGAGGCGATGCAATCCCAGGTCGGATTCAAGTGCCTCGGGAATGTATCATACCAGAATATGATGGTATTCACAAAAAAGTAAGGCCAAAATACTACCAACGGACTATGGAAAAAGGGCAATCAGCTGGGAACTTGCTCCAAGCGATCGGACGCTTGTTCCTGTTCCTGCTCCCAACTGCGAGAGAAAACATCGTTGAGCGACTCCTGGAAGGTGCGACAGTTCATGTCAATCAGTCCCTTCTTTTCTTTGGATTCGGGATTTCTGATAACGGAAACTAGACAAAGATATCTAACAACAGTCAGCATACTCCTTCGCCTGTCAAGGCTGTGAAAACACACTTGTTCATTTCCATCAAATGAATCATTGTTTCGTCGTGGAGAACGACATGACTCTCTGCCTCCTGTGTTTGATCACCCTTGGGCTTGCGGTCCGGATGATCCCATGAGTATAGCTCAGAGATATCCACAATGACATCAATGTAATCGGAGCACATCTCATAGCAGGACATATCCACTGGACGAGTATCAGACGCAATATAGATCTTGCTCAGGACGTCAAAGAGATAAGTCTTTTCGAACCCACAGTTGTTGGCCAGGGTGTTGATCAAGTTTTCGAGAGTGGACAGGTTGGGAATCAGCTTCTGGATCACTTTACTGAAAGCTTCGAAAACGGAATAGTCGTAAATAGAAGTGAGATAGTAATGGACGGGGGCGTTCTCGTATCCGGCATCGCTCAGTTCGTCAGAAATTAGCTGCACGATGTCCTGGAAAGTGTCGGTGCGATACTCGTCCGAGAGCCCGTCAACTTTATGGATGAAGACCTCGATGTTGATGTTTGGGTAGTACTGCTGAACAGTCAAGATAGTACGATTTAAGCGCGCGACAGAGTCCAGGTAATCATCTTGGGCGTCGATGACCCAGACGAGCGCACCGAGGCTTCCAAAAATGTCTTCGAGGTCAAAAGAGGGCTCGAAATATTCCAGCTGACCCGGAAAGTCCCAGACCTGGAAGTCCATGAAAGAGCTGCCGCTGGTGTTATGCAAAGGCCTATGCGCGTGTGATAGATAAACTCACTGGATGGAATCTTTCTGGATGCGTGTAGTTGACTCTAAGAAGAGGGTTTCATTTGGGGGCATCTTATGAAAGACAACACTTGCGATGGAGGATTTCCCACTCCTGGTTCTCGTTAGTTCGGTCTACTGTAAAGAAGGGCAGGTTTATTTGCGATATTTACCGACGAAGACCCATCAAAAGGAGACGAGGTTTAGGATCTTGAGGTTTCGTGGCTGCAAGCTGGCCTGGCTTCGCCTGCCCAGGCTGTCCGGGGGAATGATTCGTGACCTGTAAGATACTCTCGAGCTTTAGTTCGGCACTGGTCTTGCAAATTGTAGATCTTCCTTGCAAAGTAGAAACATCTGAGAATAGATGTCTTTCCGGACCAAAGTCGATCCAACGACGGGGGTGAAGTGACGAAGGAGCCATCTTGCGGGCAGAGTGCAGATGTTGGAAGAGAGGAGAGTGGTGCAGCGATGAGAAAGAGGAGCATCAACATGCAAATAGAGGAACAATCCAGTGAGCTCTTGCTCTTTAAGGCTTTGGGTCATTGCTTAAAATCTCCCGAGCGCACGGCACGTGGCATAGAGATGGACAGGGGAGACTGGACAGTGAAAGAGCTGCCTAGCGTGCAATCGAAGGGGGAAGAGCAATCGACGAACAACATTAAAGCAAACACTGTACATCCACTCCAAACACCTATCTGAGGGATTTCAATGTGTCCTTCAAGCAACCAGCCGCGCCGAAGCTACAAGCCGCTTTGGTATCCAGGGACATTGGGCGTGATGTGCATTAAAGAACAGCAAAACATATGAGGCAGCAAAATTGACTCGACCAGTCACAGGAGAGTATAACAAGACAAATTCTCCTCCATAGGTCGTTTGAGGGGCATTTAGGGAAAAAGTGAGATTTTCTTACCTCCATGAGTGACAAACACCGAGAAGCCAACTGATTATTCAAACGAACGCTCGGCTGTGTGAACGTAGTGGTTCGGAATTGACTACCCAGCACGCCGTGAGCAATTCAATAATAGCTCACACCAGACGAAGTGGGATAGCAGAAAGGACTTACCAATGTCGCTTAAAGTTTTAACGGTGTTCAAGGGGATGACCGAGATAAAGACAGGATTCAAGGTGTCACCCGAGCGTGCAAAGAGTTGAGGAATCACGATGCCGAGAAATGGGAAACCAACAGCCCACAGCTCTGTGCAGCTACCGTGTAACACTGGCCCAGGAACTTGATCGGATTCGGGGAAAGATCTATATCCATCAAGGATATTTGAAGGTGACTTGCTGCAAGGGACCAGAACCAGAACGAGAGGGTCGTAGTTCAACACTTCCAGGACATTGTCATTGAAGCTTGATCATTCGGTCGGAGACAATTGGAGTCACAGCAGAGGAGGCAGTTCTCACGACCTAATCATACAAATGAGGTTGCCCTATACTACCCCGATGATGATGTGGGGGAAAGCTTCTTGGGTGCGTTGAACAAGGGGAAGCGAGCAACTTCTGTCGACGGGGGTGTATTATGCTCGCCTGCTCGGAAGGATCCAGGCAGCCGTGACTAAGAGGAAATCGAAAGCGATTTAGGGCCGATGAAGAGCTAGAGATGGCGGCGAGATATGATTGATGGACGAGGATAAGAAGATGCGGTGCGTTCTGGCGATCAGACCGGGAACCCCGACGGGCTTGGCGGCATTATTCGCTCGGCCTCGCTTTTCCGCCTTTTTGTGCCTCTTTCTCTCTCTCTCTTCCACTTGCTCTCTTCCAACTCCGACTTTGTCGACTGATCAACATTTCCCGGAGATAAATCATTCCCACGTAAATGTGGATCGACAAAATCATTCTTGTATATGTTATCTATTTTGCAGTCCGAATTGCAATGTAAATGCTCTTCAACTAGTGGACTGGGATGTCATGGTCGAGTATCCGCGAGAATATCGGGGACCCCCGCACGTGAACGTTGCTTGTCCACCTTACCTGGTTGATTCTCAGTTTCATTCTTCCTTCACCACTCGATAAAATCATCAATCCCACAAATGTCTTGGACGTGATACCTAGCCTGATTAAGAGCAGGAAATTAAACGAGGACCCAAACTTCCAAGAAAAGACATGCAGATTATCTGGAGGGACACGGCAGACGCCCGAGTGTACGAGGCTGCACGTCTGGACCATGTCTTCAACCAGTACTGCCCAAATCGATTCCCATTGGCGATTGTCAAGGCGACTAGCGAAAGTGATATCATTGCGGCCGTGCAGCTGGCCATTCAGCGTGAATGTCATGTCTCGGTGCGGGCAGGGGGCCACTCATTCCCAGTATGGAGTGTCCAAGATGACTCGATCTTGATCGATATGGGCGATTGGAAGCACCTCAGGGTTGATCCTGTAAAGAGAGTCGCGATTGTAACGCCTAGCATCACCAGCAAGGAGCTCAATGATCGCCTTGCTACCCATGCCTTGATGTTTCCCGGAGGTCACTGCGGTGATGTTGGATTGGGGGGCTTTTTGCTTCAAGGCGGAATGGGGTGGAACTGTGGAGTATGTTTCTCCATCAGGCAGTACCTTCTCTTGTCATGCGCGAGGCATTGTTAACGGTTTACAGAACTGGGGATGGGGCTGTGAGTTTGTCGAGGCCGTAGATGTTGTCACTGCGCAGGGCCAGCTGGTCCACTGCAATGCACAGCATAACCAAGACCTCTTCTGGGCTTCTCGCGGAGCCGGGCCAGGTCTGTGTCTGCCACTCGCAGATTTTATTAGTCTCGACGTTCTGACTGAAAGCATAGCATTCCCGGGCGTTATTACGCGATTCCATGTGCGTTTGATACCACTGCCGCGAGAGATCCGTTCCTCAATGTATATCTACCCTCAAAGACTATACTACGAGGCATTCGAATGGGCTCTTTCCTTAGTACAGACGTTGGATGGTGACACAGAAATCACTGCGAAGGCTAAATATGACGATGGGTCGCCGGTCTTCGCGTTTTATTTCACTAGCATGAAAAATACCGAAGAGGACGCCATACACGCGCTCCAGCCTGTTCAGGATTCCAGGCCTGTAGGCACGCTACATGAATCGTTCTGTCTGAAGGATAGTCTGGATAATCTTTATGAGATCATGAGCCTGCTGCATCCTAAGAACCACCGGTATCGTTCCGACAATGTGTACCTCCGAAATGATGCAGATGTGCCCGGTCTTTTAGAAAAGGCGTGTTTTACGCTCCCGCACCAAGATTCATATCTCTTTTGGACTTCGATGCGTCCATGGAGTAGAAAGGAACTACCCGAAATGGCGCTCAGTATGCGATCAGATCACTATCTCGCGGTTTACCTTATCTGGGAAAACAGGGAAGATGACCAGCGGTGCGTGGAGTGGTTGCAACAAATCATGAGTCAGATTGAAGGCGAATCCATTGGGTCATATATTGGAGATTCGGATTTCGATCTACGCTTCGCTGAATACTGGACGGCGGATAATCACCAGCAGCTTGTGCGTATTCGAGACAAACGGGATCCCGATGGCCGAATAAAGGGGGGATATTTTGGAGATGGCAAGAGAAGCATTGCGAAGAAATAGGCGGGTTTAATACACATAATACTTGTCTTAGGTAGTATAACAAAGTTATACTTACACTCAAACCTAGCATAAGTTAGCAGTCATACGGCACATTTAGGTAAAACTTTGATACGTCCATGCACATGAGCTCCAAGGTACCCAGGACGATGCTGCATGTCTATGAGTTTGATAGGTTCAAGTTTGGCTGAACTGCTGCAGGATCCAAGGGTAGGGATGAGAGGTGCATGCAGTCATGTGCAGTTCTCTACCGCCCCACCCGTCTTGCTTGCCAACCTTTCCTCAAGGACTACCAATAGTTGAGAGTACCGTCGATTTACCGATTTCTTCTAGCTATTTTCTGGCAAGTTGATTTGAATATGCTCTACACTCACGCAGCCATCATTACTGTCGATTCTGATCGACGCATCATTGAAGATGGTGCCATCTATGTCCAGGGAAATGCCATCCAGGACTTGGGCAAAACCAACATTTTACTTGTCAAATATCCTCATGATCAGCAATATGATCTCAGCGGACGGATTGTGATACCAGGGTTGATATCGACACACATGCATACTGTCCAAGCGTTGATACGGGGAACAGCAGACAACAAAGAGCTACACAGCTGGCTCGACTATAGAATCCGTCCACTGCAGCACGCGATGACTAGTGAAGATGCCTATGTGTCAGTGCAACTTAGTATTGCCGAAATGTTGAAATCAGGGACAACATGCTTTCTAGAGAGTATGGTATGCATCACATGGTTCTACTTCCCTCTTTCGTCGGAGATTAAGTAGGCTTCTTATCGCAGACCGAACTAACCGGCCCACAAACAGTTTCTCTCACAGCATAATTTTGATGGACTCTGTCAGGTGGTTCAAGAAAGCGGTATCCGAGGCTGCTTGGGTCAATTCGCTCCTAATCCTGCCAAAGAAAGTAATATGCCAGACAACTCAATACCCGACGTGGTGGAGGCCTGGAGAAAGTGGAACGGCGCTGCGAATGATCGAATTCGGGTATGGTTCGGGGTCGCGTCGGCGGGACTGTAAGACCAGCTTTATCTGAGCTTGACAGGAGGACGCTGAAAAGAATCGTATTCAGGGCTCCGCATTCTCAAATGAAAGAATTGGCCTCCGTCGCCCTTTCTTATGGGATTCCAATTACAATGCACTGCGCAGAAACAAGAAAGCAGTTCGAATACTTCGCTTCTCTGGAACATAGTCCTGTCTCATGGGCTGATGTCACAGGCCTGCTGTCGCCATCAACTGTACTGGTTCACATGGTGCACCTGGATAAAGACAAAGATATCCCAAGGCTAGCGGAATCTGGCACCCACATAGCGCACTGCCCAACCTCAAACGCCAAATTAGCTTCTGGCATTAGCCCCGTGCCGGAGCTACCTGCTGGAGGAGTCAATGTCAGTCTTGGTACAGACGGGGCTCCCTGCAATAACAGTTGTGACATGCTACAAGAGATAAGACTTGCTGTTATTATCCATAGGAGTGTTTCATATGACCCGGCTCTGGTTCCCGCAGAAACCGCCCTAGAGATGGCTACTATCAACGGAGCGCGAGCTCTAGGTCTTGAAGACCTTGTTGGTAGCCTGGAAATCGGCAAGAAGGCGGATTTCGTGGCCATTAACACGGAGAAGTCGCAACTTCAGCCATACCTTAACCCTGTCAGTGATGTGGTCTATGTTGCGACTGGAAGGGATGTGGATGTGGTGGTAGTCGATGGCCAATTGTTGGTGGAAAACGGCGAATTATTGACCATGAGTGAACACCAGATTCTGAACGAAGCCAAGAGAAAAGGCTCAGAAGTGATCCAGAGAGCCGGATTGGAAGAGCAGATAAAGTCTCCCTGGCCAGTACTGTGAATTATAATAGTGTTTCTGAAGGTGTACCTAGCTGGTTGCTCAGTGCAAGGCTGACCGCAGAAAACAGCAGGAAACGTACTTTTGCTTCCTACCCCGCTGACCCAAGCAGACTGGTCTCGATGATGGCGGAAGACCATCTACAGTCGCTTTGGCGGCTCATGAAGCGGTATAGTATTCGATTTCGACTGCCCGGGGAGGATCGGCCCGCATTGCACGTGGACACGTTCAACAACATCAAAACGCTGGGAAGTTACTCGTTCGATACATATTCGGCTGGGGTGAGCATCCGATCTTCCAATGAGCCCTGGAAGCAACAGATCAAATTTCGGGCAGAATGGCTCAATCAGCGCGCCCAGAGTTTGTTTTCCTAAGAGCGCAACGAAGCTGGTTGGCGCTTTGAGCTGGAGAATGACGTTCTCATGAGGTTCTCGGCGGAGGTTGCTTGGTAGGTCTTTTTGCACAAGGCTTTTGCGAGGACGGGCGGCTTGCGTTGTCAAGTAGCTTTGCCTGATCTTTGATAAGCTATTTCGCTAACATTTGACAGTCCAAAATGCCGAGCGAGAATATGGCAATCTGAGATCCAGGCCACCTTAAACAACCCTCAAACTGAACATGCGGAAGAACTCGATCGACGTAGAAGACAGAGGAAATCATGCGAATGCCCCCAAGAATTTGTGGTATATGATGAGCTTGTCAGATCACAGCTTCCCAAGCAAGCTCCTGACTGCGTCGTTGGCTTACAAAACACCAAGAACTTCGATACCTTGTTGTCGAGTCCCGTTCGACCGGAAATTGCCAGGGATGAAGATGACACGGTCTCAGACATCCTTCAGGTGACTCCTTTCAAGACTCAATCGGACCCGCTTCTGCTCCCATTTTGCTCCTGGAATCAAAGTCCGAAACAAGTCCCAACGGATTTGACGCCATTCAGGTGCAGTCGGCATTCCCGATTAATGCACTCTTGCAATTGCAAGAAGGCCTTCGCTCATACGTCAATTGCTCGTCTGGAGAAAATAGTTTTGAGCCTTTGGTCTGGTTTCTGGGCTTCCGGGGCGACGCATGGAGAATTTATGCGTCCCATCTTGTTAGAGGAGCTGACGGGAAGCCAACACAATATGTAAGTCAGGTCCTGGTCCGGTACTTTGTACCGCACAGTACGCGATCGCAAATTCCGGCCATTCCCATAACGAGTACTGGAGAGCTAATTCTCTTTGGGAAAGGCTGTAACTTTACTATGGTCGGAGACGTTGATGCATAAAGACCATGCATTGCAATTATTACTTATCGTCGACTACATAATGGACTAGGCCAGAGATATCTACCGCACCGCGATCTTGAAACAAATAAAATCGTTGCTCACCGGGCAAGCCTTTGATCAGATCAGCGTCGTCGACAGTGAGATATTTTCTATGCGCAGGAATATATCTAACTGGATTCCAGGGCCCCCAAGCACAGTATTAGAAGAGGATAGGGAGTCAGATTGTCCTGTGGCAGAGGAATGGTCTTCACAATCATCACTGGATCATGAAACAATGCTCAAATTTCGGATTCCAAACTCGAAGTTTGGCACTGTCCGTTCTGCCTTATTGACAGAAGATCAGTTTGACTGATTTTATCTGACAGAGAGCCTACTTCCGAGTTTCTTAGAGGTTATTGGGGGCCGACAGAACAATGCTAATAGCACGGAAAAGGCGGCGCGACATATTATAAATTTTGTGGCACAATTTAACGATGTTCTAGTGATAAATGAGAACGACCTTCATCTTCTCGAAATCCTTTGGACTGATACCTCTCACTCAGTACCAGAAGGAGGAGAAGCAGAAGACTTCTACGCGCTCATCGAGTGCAGCTGGTATATCACACCATCTTGGGAGATTACACGACAACTTTCATGCTTCGCCATCTCCAAAGCTGCTTTTCGTGCCTTGAAGACTTATGCAAACTTCTCCGTACGCCGCAAGGGCATCGAAAACCTGGACCAAGCCGAACGACGTTGTTCTCAGAGAGTTCTGCAGGATTGTGTCGAGTGCCTCCGAACAGGATCTCCTTGGTAAGTGCTTCCAGCCGCTATTTCCAATACCTCGGCTACTATTTATCCTCTGCCTGTCCGCCGCAGAGAGGACTTCGCGCCACCGGTCGATTTCCTTGGCCTCGTGTATACACGCAATGACCATGTCAGGACCTTCATCATGAAGTACTTGAAGCGAAACCTGTGGAAACCCAAACGATACACAAAAGTTCCACGCAATGAAATGAGGGCTGCTCTTCGTGAGGGGTACACAAAAAAAGAGGTTCTTGCTATGAGGAATGAAGGTCCACCCAAGCATGGTGATATGTCTTGGAAGCGCAACTCGATGCAGCACACCCGCATAATCGATGAGGAGCATCATGCCCATGATCGATGCCCACGATGTCGCCAGAGTCCGCAAACAAATATATCGCCCTTTGCTCACGGTTATTTGGATACACGGATTCAACCATTTCTATCCGGCTATGGCACAGTTTTGGTGGTCGCAATGGATACAGCCGCACGACCCCCCGATGATGCATGTGTTTTTGCACTGAGACCGATTGATGAGCTCAACGATAACGCGGCTCTCTCTATTATGATTGAGGATCTGATGCAAGCGAATCTTGTCTACCATACGCTCAAGTGCGGACCTACCGACATCCAACCAGGTTATGGTATAAGGCAAAATTTACCCTTGCCATACCGCCAACCAAGGCCATGTGAAAAGGCCCTTGTCCATCGCTGGATTCAAGAATTGCGCAATGAGCTATTGCAGGACAAACTTGGCATCCCCGAGGGTAATACTGACATTTTGTTATACTACCTAAGCATGGGGCATCTAGAGCGCGAAGCATCGATATTGGAAAAGAAGTACAGAAATCATCAATTCGGGCGTGTTTTTTCTATGGTGAGAGAGAACGAGCAAAAGACAATCATTTCTCTGCTCAATCCCAATAGAAAAGTGAGTCTGTCTGGGGGAATGATTGTTCCCCTATTTACTACCTGGGCTAGCGGGAAGGACTACTTGAGGAAAACGTATCCAAAGCAATATCGGTTATTCTCTCAGAAAAATGTTTCTCATAGACTTGAGCCTCAAGGCTTGGGAGCTGAGGTAATCGAGATTGATTGAGGGTGAGAGAGTTCCGTTTCATTAGGTATCAAATGTGGGAAATGGCGTATCATTTAGGTATCAGCCTACCTTACTTTACCCAGAGATAAATACGCCGTCCCGTCCGGCTCCATGCAAGACTTAAGATACAACCCATATAGGTCTTATGAAAAAGCCTATGTGAGTGATTATTTTGGAGTAGATTTTAATTTAGCGATATCCTATTTGAGATACGACATACACCCCTAGTATAACCGGTTCCATTTTGAAGCCTTTGGATTTGGCCATGCGATTACATCATCCACGGGCACGTGGGCCCACCCACCGCCTTCTGCATCATCCTCGGCCCAACCTGAGGCATCACTAACGGTCTGCCTTTTCCCATCCAGATCAAGTCCTCATTTCTTAAGAGGAGGGCAGTCTTGCCTCGTGTTTTGTCATCGACACCTCTGCGGAAATGACAACGCTTATTCCTCGCGAGCATTACTCCAAGGAAGAGCTTGACCAGCTCTATCCTCGGGATTTGAAGCTGCAGTTGGTCCAGGTGGTAAGGGTCTCCGTGAACTATCGGCAGCCCCCGTCGATTGCGAGCTAATCAATGGCACAGTTCCTTCGTCATGGTGAGGGCCTTTGGAAATTTGGTTGGACTTGAATGATCTCCGGAAACTGATGATACAACCTCCAGGTGAACGTACGCCGGTATCTTCGCGCTTTCAAAATGTACTGTACATCGGAACAAGCTCCCCTCTCAATTGATTGACACATGCTGATATCCTGAAGGCAGGCCTTGCTCCATGTAATTCATCCCTTATCCTTACCCCATCGTCTGCGAAACCGCTAGTCTAATCCTGCTCCCCTGTCAAGATTGGCCGTACTGCAACGTCGCACGTCAAATGATCCAAATGGCGGCAAGCAACCAAGACGTCTCCTCGTGGAACGGCTTCCAATGGCGGAGAAAGATGGAGACCTTTGGAGACAATGATGAATCAGTGGTGGCGGTTGGCGCGACTGGTGATATCGAGGGTATCTGGCAAGTCTTGGATCCCATCGCGAGCACGAACCGGAGGAATGCCGCATGTTACTGACTGATATAGTCAACATGGTGAACTGACAGACAAGGGTCGTGAAACCACTTTTGCTCTCGGCCAGCGCCTGAGACATCTCTACGTGGATCAGCTTGGATTCATGCCACAGATCAAGACTGATACCGAGGACATGTATCTTCGCACCACGCCTATCCCGCGCGCTCTCGAGTCCCTTCAACAAGCCTTCTGGGGCATGTACCCTCCCGGCGCTCGCACACAAGATTTCCCAGCTCCCGTGATTGTTGCTCGTTCTGTGTCGGAAGAGACGCTCTTCCCTAACGAGGGCAACTGTCGTCGATTTAGACAGCTCGCGAAGCTTTTCGCCGACAGGGCCGCACTTCGATGTACGTTGTTCTTCTCTGAACGTTGATCTCGCGAGGATCAAATACTATAATGGGAGGCAATTTTTACTTACAATCACTTCCAAATCTACAGGGAACGACACCGATGAAATGAACTACATCAACAGTCTTCTATCAAAATGGATGCCGGAAAGCTCCCCCAAGGTCGCCGTTGACTCTCATCCTCGTCTGTCGGGTATTGCAGACACCATCAACGCCAGTCTCGCTCACGGCCCCGCCACAAGACTCCCCTCGGAGTTCTACGACAAGAAGAGCCGACAACACTTGAACACGATTGCCGTGGACGAATGGTTCGCCGGATACACGGAAAGCAACGAGTACCGGAAGCTCGGCATTGGAGGCCTGATGGGTGACGTGGTCGACCGCATGGTCAGCACCGCCGTGGACGGCGGCTGGCGCAGCGAGACCTCGGCCTCCGGCTCCTCCACCGAGCACGGCAAGGCCATCAAGTTCGCGATGAGCGGATGCCACGACACGACGCTGGCCGCTATCCTAGGCAGCACGGGAGCCTTCGACGGAATCTGGCCGCCTTTCACCTCTTCCATTGCCATTGAGCTCTTCTCCAAGGCCAAGCAAGGATCCGGGGACAACGCAGGAGTCGTGCTGGAGGAATTCTCCAGCCCTTCCATCGCCACCAAAAAGCCGGGCTTCTTCTCCTTCCTGGGCGGTGGTTCTTCGTCCAACAACAACACCCCGCCTCCGCCGTCTGACATGGCCCGGGCCCCTCTGTCCTCGTTCCCTGACTCCGCACGCCAGACCATGAAGCAGCACTATATCCGTATCCGCTACAATGACCGCCCCGTCCGCATCCCCGGTTGCGCCGCTAAGCCCCAGAACCATCTTCCTGGCGACGATACCTTCTGCACACTAGACGCGTTCAAGGAGATCGTTGACAAATTCACCCCGAAGAACTGGAGCAGTGAATGTGTACAGAACCTCGGCCAAGGTCTCTATGGTAAGGACGAGAAGGAGAAGATCCAAGCTGGTTTCTAGAACAGGACGGACGTAATTGCTTTCTTGTATAGTGTAGTTTCTTCTTGTCCCTCCCCCTCTTAGTATCTATCTATCTACACTCTTTTTGCTCGCTTTGGAGAGAATACATATACAAAAAATATAGGGGGAAAGGGGCGCTCAAAGAAAGGCTAAACAGATGATCTAATCTTTTTTCTCGATACAATATTTTTACTTTTTCTTTCCTTCTATTTTGTGGATGTCGACAAGGATTCTCTGATGGAAGAGTAAGGATGATCTATTTTGAATATCAATATCACCCAGAAACAACAATCCAGGCCCTGTTTATACACACGCCGATAAATATCAGGATTTCACAAAAAAATAAGAGAGATGCAAACACAGAAGCCGGATGCCAGAAAAACCAACCCTCTATCAAGTAATAATAACAAAGGTATAACCAATTATGCTTTCAGGCCATCTATCTATACAGTAAATGCAAAAGAATAACAAAGGCTGGTGAATATATACTTCCCAGTCCTCCTACACTCTCCCCTATGCCTAGTTCGATTTCTGCGACTTGGACCGAGACCGGGTCATGGGCGGGCTGTAGTTCTTGGGAGGGCTCTGTTTGCGAGGAGTCACCGGCTCGAGGTCGAGTTCCTCGTAGTCGCTGGTGTCCCATCCGCTTTCACTCTCGCTGGCACTCCAGATCGAGTGTTTGGACTGCGGCTTCTCGTCAGCCTTGGGGGCGGGCGTCGGGGGGGCAGGTTCGGGTTCAGGAGTAGCGTCATTTGCTTCAGCGTTCGCCTTAAAGGAGGCCTTTTTGGCCTTTTTGCCTAATTTCCCGGGCTTGGCGTGCTTTTCCATTTTCTGCTTCATGATCTCGGCGGCCTGCTTTTCCAGCATCTTCTTATTTTCCTCCTGCTCCTGACCGGACATGCGCTCGAGGATCTCGTTCAGCTTCTCGATCGCGGGAGCATACGCTTGGGTGAGGGGCATCTCGCCAACGCGGATGCGCATGTAGTCGAACGCTCCGACCACCGGGACATCCACCGGCTTCGCCTGGGCCATGAAGTTGTCCTCGAACATTATGGGAGGCATGGAGCCCGGTATAAATGCGGGCTCCTCGTCGTCTGGAATGTCCAGCTGGTCGGGCTCTTGACCAGCCGGTTCTTCGGGTTCGTCCGTGGGGCGAGAGTCGGTTCGTTCGACATGCGTGACTTTCTGGTATCGCTGACTGAAGTGGGTGAGGATGATGGATTTGGCTTTCATCCGGCGACCCACTTCGAGGGCTTCGGCAGCCGTGCAATGCTTTTTGGCCAGGGCTGATCCCGCCATGTCGTTCTGGAACGTGGCCTCGTGGATCATCACCGTTGATCCACGGCCGATGGCGGCGAAGGCTGGAGAGGGTCGGCAGTCGCCCGAGAACGAGACCTTGAAACCGTCGGGGAAGACGAGGGTGGCAGCCATGGCGCCCTTGCAGTGAGACACTCTCGTGGTCAGGAGTTCGGAAAGCCCGGTTGCTTTGCGGAGCAAAGGGGCAAGGGAAGACTTTTCTTCGTTGAAGCTGAGAGACGAAGTTTTGGGTTTTCCTTCATCAGTGTCGTGCCCGGGGTACGTGCCATCAGCCCGGCAGTGACGGTAAGCCAGTCTGGACTCGAACGAACCATCACCGCCTTCTCTGGTGAACGTATAGGTCGTCAAGGGCACGATCTTGCCGAAGCCGTAGTCCTCCACGCTGGCATACTCTTGGAGCCACCCAATCATCATGGGCTCTGAGACTACAAACAAGCGTTTTTCTTTCAGGATTTTGGCCATGTCGGTCTCAAGCTCGTCGGTTTCGGGAGCTCCGTTGGGGTAGTTTTCCTTATACCAGGCCTGGATGACAGCCGCGGTACCTAGATGATGGTCCGCGTGAAGATGGCTGATCCATACAACTCGCAGGTTCTGTAGGACCTCTCGCAGCTTTTCGGGCTCAAAAACGCGCTTTAGCTGACCGAGTGTATTCTCACCACAGTCGAGTAGATAGTAACCGTATCCGGGCACGCTGACAAGAGTACTCGAGACATTGCGATACCTCGACGGTACCGATGAGCCCGTGCCCAATGTGAAGATCTCTGCATCACGCCCAGGCAGATCCCGTTGAAAGTCGCTCAGTTGTTTCTGGAAATAGTACTTTTTGACCCGCTTGTTAATTGTAGCCACGCGTTTCTCAACGGCCTCGGGCATTTTCCGCATCACCTCGTCCGCGTTGAACCGCGGTGCCACTAGGGAGGAATTGATCTTGGTCTCAGGCTCCAACTCGATAATCAGACCAGGCTCCAAAGGCTTGAATGGCAGTGTTTTTTTGATCTCGGCCGTAGTCGTCGACTTGGCTGTGGAAGTTCCAGGTTGCGGAAGGGTCACATTGTCGTGGATCGGAATCGGATGGTTTTCGCGTCTAATCCGTGCCATACGCACCGACCCGCTTGCAACACCGGCCAAGGCCAGATAGTTCGGGTTGTAGTCGGTACTGGATACTGTGTGTTTGCAGTGGGACATACGTGACATGAACTCGCGCAGTTTGGGATGTTCCCCGAGACCGGGGCCAAGAATCCACACAAAGGCCTCGAGATTTGTCGTCACAGAGGGCGAATTCCATTCTGGCCGATTGACCAGGTTTTCTATGTAATCAGGGGTTGGCAGGTCAATGAACGCGATTCCTTTGCCGAGTCGTGGCGGTCCAAGAACCATGTCTGGCGTGATGACCGTATCGCCAACGGTCACGCTCTCGCCTCCTGCCAACTTTCCAAAGGTCGGGCCATATGGGATACCATATGCCTTGGCCTTTGCGGGGTCAAATTTGCCCCTGAAATCATGGTTCCGGACGATATAAGAGAGCGCTTCGTCACATCGCGACGTGGACGGGATCCTCTCCACAGCTGCGCCGGGCCAAGGCTGTCTGACAAAGACATTGATATCAGGGAGAGGTTCATCGCCTCCTGGCATGGGACCCTTATACAGATCGAATGACTTTGTTTCCACATTGCGGACAAACATCGCTGCGGGCATATTGACCTCTGCCAGGGGAGTCTTCACCAGTGCGTCCATCCTCCAGGATGAGTTGAACATATCGTTCACGATAGCCTGTTTCGTTATCAGATCCTTGGCGCGGGAGTCTAATTCATCGGAATCTTGCTCTTGAAATTCATCGAGACTCCTCTTCCTGGGGCTTTGTGGACTCCCCTGGGGAGACGGCGACGAGGGGCGGATAGGCAAGGCCCAGACTTTGATGTTGTTGTCCGACCACGTTGGCTGCTCGAAGGGATCTTCTGCATCCACCGAAACATTCTTCGAGACGCTCTCGGTGTCGTACTCCCTTGTGAATATCGGCATGCCCTTTCGGAAAACGAATCGCCGACCAGTGGTCAAGGTATGCGTTAAATTTCGGGGCCCATGGAGAGTTAACGAGCCTCGCTGGAGTACCGTCTCGCCGCCCTTTATCGCCATAGGCAAGCCATGAATCGTCCCTTTGTCGTTCTGGGCCTTACGCTCTGCTTTCTCGCGTTCGCTGGTTTCCAGCGCACTCTGCGAGGTGCCGACCACGTCGGACACCGTCAGTATCATGCCAATCAAGCCACCATGGCTTTTCCACTCCGATCGCCCCGTGATGAATACATCGGTGAGATATGCAAGTCGGACACCGCGCTCCATACAAGCCCGCTGGGTACCCTCAGATACTTGTCCGAAGACATAGCGCTTGTCTGGGAAGTTGAGGATGAGGCAGGTACCCGGGGTGTCGTAGGTCGGGGTCGTCACGACCTGATAATTGATCTTCATGGGTGTGATTCCCGTGACCGGCGGAAATTCGAAGCCTGCAAATTCGTATGTGGAAGGATGGTATATCAAATGGGTTGCCCGGGGGGTTTGAAAGCCTGCTCGGTGCGGAAGAAGTTTTGGTGTGCGAAATACGTAGGATCCTGACTTCAATGGCTCCGGCTGGTGCTTCGATCTGTAAGTCCCAACGTTCCGGACTGGCGTGGAGGAGGGGATCGATTTTCTGGCGGGAGGGGGCCGGACGTGGGGTTTTCTGACCGGAAGAGATCTAGCTGAATGGCGACGTTCGGTAGGCTTGTTCTTGCTGAGAGGTCGCGCAGAAATTGTTGAAGAGCGGCGAATCGAGGGAACAATATTTCCGCAAAAGGCTTTGCGTGAGAGCCCGCGGATTAAGTGGAAGGAAGCCAACTTGGCTAAGAGGAGTAGAAGATTCTGACTATAAAGGGGAAATAGTAGAGAACATTTCCAGGTGAGGTTTTCGCAAGCTCACGTTGGGGGATTATGCAAAGGGCGGGTGGAGAGGAGGAAGATTTCGGTGGTGCCTGAGGATGGGAGTTGATGCCTCAGAGGAGCCTCCGTCCCATGTGACCGACAACGAATTTCCAAGTACATTCAAGGTCTACGTTAAATTGTCCCTCGTACAGTACAATAAAGAAATGAAGCCAGGTGTCTGCTTTTTGATTTGCTTGATTTCTAACTCTTAGATTTGTTTTCAGGCAGTAAATGAAATCCTTAAAAATTATCCAAGTTCCCAGATCACAATCCCAAAAATCCCAAACCCTGAAGAATACAATCCCAATCCATTCCGTGGAACCCCAATAAGACAAAGGAAACAAAAGTAAAGAAAAAAAAAACCCAAGCAAAAGAAGACAAAAAGGCAGGTTTAAGCCACAGCGCAGTATATAATCACAGGCTCATGAACAAATGAAAGGCATATTGGTGTCTACACGAAGGACTCATGTTCAGGTATCTAGAACATTTGAAAAAAAGTAAAGAGAAAAAGCATAACAAGAACTTTACAAGCGGACAATTGTTCACTCAAGACAGAAGGGGGAATCATGAGAGGTGCGAAGTGAACATCGAGACACGCTGGAATGAGGCTTCCATGCTGTGACACAAGTGAGCAAACCGCTGAGCGGCAGCCTTCGATTCGTTCTCGACGACGAGCTCGAATACAGGAGATGACTTGTCAGAAGTAATACCTTCGAAGGGCTTCTCCAACGACGATTCAGGGACGGAAGCCGGCAGGTCAGCGAACAGAGCAAAGGCAGGATCGGATTCATCGATTTCAACATCCGTGTTTTCCACACCGGCATCGGTCGTCTGGGGCTGCTCAGCCATCGGCGGGCATTCGAGAACGGGCGCCTCGTCCTTGTTGCTGGTGGTCTCCGGGAGAAGGGAGCCAAAGGAGCCCTTTCCAGACAGGATCTCCGTGTCAATGACTGGCGGCTCGGGGACTTCGAGGACAGCGAAGATGGGCGTGTTGGCGTAATTCATATCAATGCCGGAGTTCCAGCCACCGTTGTTCAGGCCCATAGCAGAGACGTCCAGCCCTTGGTTGGGAACCATAACCATCTGAGGATTGTGTTGCATGGGGTAGTCCTGCGGGCTGTGGTTCGGAGGGTTTTCCTTGGGAAGGCTGGTCTGCATCTGGGGCTGCGACATCGTGGGAGCTTGCTGCTGCGCCTGTTGCTGCTGAGGCTGAGATTGCTGCTGGGGTTGGTTGGATGTGGGCAAGCCGTTGATACCTTGCTCATCAAGGAACTGAGAGAAGTTCGGAGATGACAGGAGCATGTGGGCAAGATCGGTCAGGCGGGCATTTTCCTCGAAAAGAGCACGGTTTTGCATGCGGAGATCGTGGGCCTCGTTGGTCCGAGCAGCCACCTCGCTCTCGAGCTGGCCGATATATTCTGGGATCGGTTAGTCTTTGTTAGAATATCAAACGCAAGGTATGAGAACGTACCCTTTCTCCGCGATCGGAAAGCGCGAGCAGATACTTTGTTGCGGAGCTGGCGGCGTTCCTTGCTGCTCAGTTTCTTTCCTTCCTCGCTGGCAAGCAGTCGCTCATCCTCATCCATATCCTGCTCGTCTTTCTTCGACTTGGCCATCTGAGGCAGAGAAGACGGGGACGGGGAATCGTCAGGAGATCCCATAGCGTTCTGTCTCATTTGCTGCAAGAGGCGCGAAATACGCTCCTCAACGACAGGGTTGGAGGGACGAGGTTGGGGCTGCTGGGCTCCTTGTTGCATTTGCTCCTCCACTCGGCGTTGCTGTTGCTGTTGCTGCTGCTGCTGCTGCTGTTGAAATTGTTGCTGGCGGAGCATGTGATGGTGTTTTTGCTGCTGAGCAGCCTTGGCCATGGCAGCCTGTTGCTGATGCATTCCGGGGTACATGCGACCGACCTGAGTGGACTGGCCAGCAGGGGCGACTTCCTGACCACCCAAAGCACTCGGATCGACGAATTGGCTCTTGTTGGGGGTTGGGGAAAAGAAATAAGCAGGCACGGCACCCATGTTGTCGGATTCCAGATCCATTTCTGAAGGGTTGCGGGCGGGGACGGCATTGAAGTCCAGGGGGGCGTCTTCGCGCTTCAGTTGAGCACCGGCATACATATCTCCGCTCATCGCGAATCCCGGGCTGGCACCACCTAGGTTCAGGCTGTTCATGTGGTTGTTGAAAGTCATCGCTTGGGCCAGGGCCCCGGGCGGCAGACCGGTCTGCTGCTTGTGTTCATCATATTGATGACTCGGGCCTTGGAAGGCGATGGGTGATTGACTGTTCGAGGCAAAGCTGGCACTGCGGACATCACCGGCAGTGAAGTCTGTGCTAGGAAGTGTAGGTTGAGTGGTCAGGGCAGCCTTAGATCGGGCCGGTTCCGTGTAGGTAAGCTGGTCGAGGTTGAGGAAGGTATCAATGTCTTGATCGTAAGAGGGGGCGGCAGCCGGATGTTCCGCAAGGGTCGCCATTGTGAGAAATCTTTTCGTTTCGTTTATTATGGGGTTGAGAAGTCGAATGTCCTCCGGTAACCAAAGCAGTCGAATTAGACTAATCCGACCGGAGACCGCGTAAGGTTGATTGAAGATAACGAAAGACTAGAAGTGGGTTTGGCCAGAGCTGGGAGGAGAGAGAAAGTATTAAAAGCCACCAGGGAGATACACGAGAAGTTGACAAGTGGACCTAATCCGGACCAGAGGGGGATAAATAAAATAAAATAAGATAAAAATCCAAGAAGGGTACGTATTTGGTGGCGGGAGACCAAAGGTTGGTAGAGGGAGGTATAGAAGGCGAGGTAGGTAGGTCGATGGATAATAGATGGAGAGGTAGATAGAGATGGAACGATGGACACCAGATGGGGGATGGAGGGATGGTTAATGAGGAACGAGAGAAGAGGAGTTGGGAATAAACAGGGAGAGGGAGAAAGAGAGAGAGCAGAAGGAAGGATGGAGTTCGCGCCCGGGCGAGAGAGGAGAGAGGGAGGGCGAGCCAGGGGAACGGAAGAGACCAAGTGGGAAGTTTCTCCACGCCAGGAATAGAAAAAATGGAAAATGAATTTCCAGTCGACAGAGGCTTGCGCGTCCTCCTGCTGACTCAGCGCGATGGTCTTGCCCGGCGCAACCGGATTGGCCGCGGACAAGCCCTAGTGGGGCCTGCGGTTCACGCTAGCCCCTTAGCAGGAATCCACCGATCCCTCGCGAGGGAGGGAAAAAAAGTCCTGCACGCCGTCAGGATGTACTCGGTATCAGGATCGCCGATAAGATCTCGCGGGCTGTTGACAATCATCAGGTACGCAAATTCAATTCAATGCATCCCCGGTTGCTGGTGGGTAACGGTGTAGACACTACAGAGTTCGACGGCGATGGCCTCAACCGGGGGGTTATCCCGGTGCATCTATCTACCAGACAACGGTGTATACACTATAACTACAACCCATCTCCGGCGGTAATATCCCGTTATGCCGCGTCTAATTTGCTTCATACAAGCATGGTGGGTGGCTTCGAGCCGCCCCCTGGTTGCCCAATACTACCAATGACGATGGGCGATCGTCTGCAATTTCCAGCCTGCCTCCCCTGTGACGTTTTGCCGTTTCAGGCCTGCTCCTCCGGGGCCGTTGGCCACTGTCACGGCGCTGGTGAGTACTCCGTAGGGATCTTGTATAAGGGGGCGTCTTAGGGCTTTACACACCTGATCCCTACCCCTCAACACCGCATGCATCAATTCTCTCCTCCCCTCGATATGTAATAAATGGGGGATACTCCTGAACCATTCAACAAGATCATAATCCAAGCCCCATTTCTGCGACTCCCCTCCGTATGACGTCGGTGGCGACACACTGGCCAATCAACGGGGGATCGAGTGGTGTTGTGCCTGTGGAATTTCGTCTCGGCCAACAAGAATGAAAAGGTGCCCACATGTGGTCGCCCCAAGGGGGGATTCCGTTCCGTTCACTCTCCAGACAGCACCTGAGCAGTGAGCACACATGCACATACTACACTCTGGCCGGTGGAATGTCCAGGTATTATTCGTGACCATGGATAAGTCACCCTCCTCATACCAATGTTTCATACTGCTGACCCGGGAGCTGCCGTCCTACTCAATAGTAGTAGGGAGCACAAATCACGGCGTTCTAGAAGGACAACCGCCCAAAGTGGGTGGATTTTCTCGAGTCTCGAGTCTCGACCCTTTTTTACAACTTCAGCCCACCGTCCAGTTCCATCTGCCTCAATCCTTCTCACACCTGGTGGATTCCGGGTGGACATCGGTGGGTAACGCCATCACCACCGCAAACAAAGCTTGGCGCTTACCGAGGATCGCTCAACGGCACAGCCTCTCATGCTTCCCCTTTTTCAGTCTAGGGGGTCTTGCAACTCTGAAACTTGGTCGACCATTCGGCCTCATTGGCTGCCAACCCAATAGCCAAGCCCTTACGCCGGTCTCCGTTCACCTGAAAATCGCTCTTTAAGTTGCCGCCGGTCGCCTACGCTAATTTAGTATTCCGCAATATTCCCCTGGGTTATGGCCTGCCGATAACGGCTATCAGTATCAGAGCCCTGCAAGAACGCCACTTCCAAGGGTTAGCGTGAGGGCAAAGTACTCTGTAGTCTGTACTACGGAGTACCACTCAGTTGGATGGATACAGTAGGGTAGACCTGTCCGTTGTTCGACCGTTGTGCTCGAACTAGACATCCGCTCGGAATAGCCTTGAATTAACCTCGAGAGTACTCCGTACGAAGTATACATATCCCACTGCGCCTCTCGGTCGCCTTGAAACGATCGGTATGAACGACACCGGCCGGATTCTCCCTTTCTAGTTTAATCCGTGCTGTCAGCGCTCTTTGGACACGATATAGCGAAAGCCCCCTGCCACTCCCAGCGACATCAACGGAGCTAGAGTCCTCCGTTACCGCGTAAGCTGGGCCAGGGAGACTTGGGATCTTTGTAGCCTGGTGAGGTCTGGGCTTGTACTGTACCACGTTCTCACGGGCATTGGATCCGGTGGCCGACAGATATACAAGTCTAGAACTCTGAGGTCAATCTGTGCTCACAACATGAGAGACTACCCGCAATACCGGGTCTGATTCTCCACTTCCAGCCCAGTGATGTATCCATGAGGACTCTGTGACCTACGGAGTATGTCCTCTCAACAAAAGAAAGGCTTAAAAAAAGTCGTTCTAAGATCTGCTCCGTACTCAGTCATGTCCCAAAAACGGTCCTTGTTCGCGCCTCACAGGCTTCTGGTAAATCAGACTAACTAAACCAGACTAGAAGGCTTCGAGACAAGCCGGTGGTCGGAAGATGTCCGTTAAGGCTAATAAAGTATCTCCTCCCGAGTCTCTAAGCCTAGTTCCCTTGCACTACTCCGTACTACCAAATTTTATTCCGTTGTTTCTCCGGTGGTATTCGCCAGAAATCCCAGAAGAAAAAGCTTGGTCTACCAAACCTTTGGAAAGCGGGAAAGGCCTTTGAGGTTCAGGTCGGCAATATGTGATCATCAGATCTGCTCCCGAATATGATCAGTAACATTGATCACAAGTATACGGTATACGCACTATGTAGCAGCGTGTGACACTTCTTAAACAACCGGCAGGGAGTGGGCAGATCTCAGATTTGCTTCAAGATCTGTTTGACTATCGGGGAAATGGGGCAACAACAATATCACTTTCCATCCTGTGCTCCGTGCAAACCAGTACAGTATTCCCGAGATAGCAGCTGCATTTTTGCCTCCCCGATCGTTCGAGGATTTTTAGCTCAGTCTGAAATCTCCGTAAAGGGAAATGTACACGGATCGTGGACCATTTCAGCCAAATTCCTAACCCTAACGAGAATTCAAGACTCCTTTTTTCTTTCCCACCGCCGCCGTCGTGTGCATGCCACAAGAACTATGTTTCTAATACATTGCAGTAGACGAGGGCAAATTCTTAACCCGGGGAAACTCGCTAGTCACTAACTATGGGGTACTAGTACTGACCAGAATTGTCTCTGCATGTAAAGACCACCTCACCTGCTATTTTAGGTATTATTTATTATGGTTGCCTTGTTTTATGTATGCACTACTTTTGATAGGTCATCGCCGGTCCAGACCTACTAAAAGTAGAAGTGCCAGTGTGGCGATGAACCCCAAACTTTATTTGTCTCGCAGTCCAAGTTGGATATGGCATGTTCAGGCCCGTAAACAAGAAACAATGTCAAAAAAAAAAAAAAAAAAAGCAAAATGAAAAACAGCGGTGGCCGTTCGGCATACGGTGTAGGGTTTGGGTTCCCATGTTGTCCTGGCGATGATGCACATTCATACTCCGTGCATACAGTGCATACAGTGCTAAGACAGACTACCGGCAGCCATGCTGGCTCGTTCGTCTAGGTAGAAATCTCGCAGGGTCATGTGTTGCAATGATCATTTATGCACATGGATGACAACACAACTTCTCCGGCTATTTCACATCCCGGAGATCAATATTATACAACATATTTGGCAATACGGAAGATATGTCGACCCAACTTCAACAAAACCTTGAAATCATATCATATCGTCATACATCGTGAAAATGTAAATTTCACGTCTTCTACTTTACTCGTCGGGATCGACCAGGTCGTCATGGGTGAGCGAGTATCTGGTACCACGCCTTTCAGTAGTTTCAGGGGCTGCCCAGGTCGCGGTTTGGGCGCTTCCACTCGAGGCTTGATCGCCCTGCGAGGCAGGTTCGCGCTGACAGTTGTGGTCAGAATCTCAGATAGGCCAATGTGATCTAGTCAACTCAGCCGCACCTGTACTTTAGGTTCCAAATTGGTAAAGGTTCCCTGCTGATTGTTCTGAATGTCCTGTGCAGCGGTGTCTTCGGGAACCTTGACGGTTGCGCGATTTGAGAATTTTTCGCGGTTGAATCTCGAGGTCATATTGATCAAATGATACTAATAAAAATAATATTGAAGACGTTCAGGAAATAGAGATTTCAGTCCTCTAATCAAACGATTGAACCAAGTCCAAGAATGTTGGGAGCCCAGAGGTCGACACATTTATATAGGGTTGAAATGCGGGGGTTGAGGTCATGATGGTGTCGTCTTGACGTCGATATCAAATGCAAAGCGGCGCGACAAGCCAATTATACCTCCGAGCTCTTCCAGCTATTGCACATGGTTAACTCTGTTTCTTTGTTATCCTTGACGGTCAATCGCCACGTTGAAGTCAAATGAAGCTCCTCCCGTGGTTTGCGATGCGCTTGACTGCATCTGGTAATCTATGATCATGTCAACGGTGTCGGGTTGCAATTATTCGCGGAGTTGATTGCGACAAGCGGGGTTTTCAAGTTCGAATATGTCTTTTTATCCTGTCGATGGGCTGGATGGAGATGTTTTTTGCCTGTCACGATCCCAGGATTCGATTGTAGATCGCTGGTCTAGGTGTGGCTCTTCAATATCATGTTTCGGGATGTGGACAACAGTTGCCTCTATATCAGCATCCTTGATCTTATTCAATCAAAGAAACGGAAACTCTTGGCTATCTTCATTATGGTTCCTGATAATTCCGTCTAAAATAGAAATAGGAATAAGGCGAGGATCCAACCCTAGATTTCCGACAATATATAATAACTGGCTAGTCACTATGGCGCTGTTGTTTTTGTCGAATCTCATGCCTAGGCATCTTGGAGAATACTTATCAGTTTAAAAAAACATTCAAGAAGGTTTTTTTTGCGGTGAATGAGCCCATGAGGTCTTGGTTCGACGACTCTGGGAGTTTTGACCTCATGGGTTAGAGGCAGTTGAGAAACCCTCTACAGAACTGGAAAAGTCGCTCTAGACTGCCAATTTGGTTAAAGGTCTTAGACAGTAATATCGATTAATAGGATACAGCAAAATAGAGCCTCGTAATTTTCCGGTTTTTTTTGTTGGTAGTTGTCACGGTATACTACCACCAAGGAGAACCAAATCATACAGCGCGGAAAATCCGACCGTTGGAAATACTTCCCAAGCAAAGGATTGCTCGCATGTTATTCGTAGATTATGCCATGAGTCACTAGTGAGTCACGGTCATGCCAATCCCCATAAGAATCGGTCGGATCTGGTTCTTCCAGAGAAGCTGGCGTGCAACACGAGCCTTGATTCCTCAGGCCAGTACCGAGTCTCGGCTATTCCTCTTTGGGACCCCGACGCCTCCAATGCAACAGTTGGAGTTGACCCTTTGATCATAATGTGCAGTGACTCAATGTCCCTGGTGGGGATGCTACCATAAGACTTTCAAGGTGCAGTTCGCTTAATGAGTCGAATGCCTGAACGATGTCTTGATTGGTCGATCTGAAGGCACCTTGAAGAGTTCCGTCACCGTGCTTTCCATCTGAAGATTCTTTTAAAGGGGCTACTCCTAGACAGGTGATACGGCCATCGAAATTCTATTGTTCCATGAGCATGTAGCAGCTTTCAGAATACTCCATTCTTCTTACTCTTATTGACAAATTGGGATCTGAGAACAATTCGATTCTACACCCTACCATTATGACTGCATCGATCATTGCGACTTGCAAGCAGACTCGGTTTCATCTACTGGACGATAGACCATCGCAGGAGGTAAACTTTTCTTTTGTACACATGTTTTCGGCTCCATTGGTGGCGCTTACCTCATTCTCGTCAATCTCTGCAGATCGATGTCGAAGGACTCACCATTGCAGTTTCGTCTGCACGAGATACGACCAATGACCCCACGAAGTCCAAGATCAAAGGGAAAGCGAAAACGAAGTCTGAAGCCAGAGAGCTCATTACAGACGGACATCTGCGCCTCAAGGCAGGTGTGCACTATGGGTTGATAGGCCGGAATGGGACCGGGAAATCAAGTAGGCACCGGCCTATTTAACGTGATAAAAGGGGACCTGGCTAATAAGAATTGAAGCATTGCTTCGAGCGATGGCTGATAAGCTTGTTCCGGGCATTCCGCATCCCACTCGCATCGCAATTCTTCAACAGACTGATTCCGCGGTCCAAGGAAGCCTGCAGAGCGAGAATGAGGAGAGTAAAGATAAAACAGTTCTGGAGTATGTCATGAGCAGTGATCGGCATAAAAATGAACTCGTTCGAAAGATTGATTGTAAGTCTGGTTATTGAGGATCTCCATCGCATGTCTAATAGAACGGTATTGCCAGTACTTTCCAAAAGCTTCGAGACAGACGATCCTTTACAGCCAGTTCATGCAATTCGCAGAGTTCAGCATGACACGATTGAGAAGCGGTTGTTTCTGGCACAGAAGAATGCGAGTTTGAAGAGTGGAGCTAGGGGCCTACAGGCGCGAAAAGATTTGAAAGCAATGGAATCAAAGCACGAAGAATCGCTCAAGTTGTAGGTGTTTTGTCTTAAACTCGAGTGAGTCGCTCTAACTTTTCCAGAGTACAAGAGCAAAAAGAGTCCATTGGAGCCGAAGCAATAAAGGAAGATACGCAGGCAGCGGTTGAAGCCCTTCAGGATTTACTGTCCCAATTTGAGGTCGTGAGTGAACACGAGCAATCAGCTGATCGTCGTTAAATCTGACATATTCAGATGAATTTGGTAGATACGGAGCAACACGCTCGCCAAATATTGATAGGTCTAGGCTTTCAAGAATCTGCATTTAGCAAGCCATTCCTGACTCTATCTGGTGGCTGGCGTATGCGCTGCATGTTGGCGAGCGTCTTGATCCAGAACCCAGATATCATGATTTTGGATGAGCCGACAAACTTCTTGGATTTGCTGGGGGTAGTATGGTTGGAAAATTATCTCCAACAGATGCGTAATAGCTCCCCAACCACCATGGTTCTCGTTTCCCATGACAGGGATTTTGTGAATGCCGTTTGCGAAGAAGTCATCATTTTAAGGGACGAAAAACTCTCTTATTTCAAAGGGAACCTCGCGGCGTACGAGAAAGACTTCGAGGAACAGAAACTGTACTGGGGTCGCATGAAGGAAGCGCAAGAGCGCCAAGTCGCTCACATGGAAGCCACTATCCGCGAAACCATGAAGGTCGGGAAGAAGACCAACGATGATAACAAGCTGCGCATGGCTAAATCGCGGCAAAAGAAAGTCGATGACCGCATGGGCTTGCAAGTCAACGCAAACGGGGGTCGCTTTAAACTGAATCGTGACCTTGTCGGCTACCATTTGTCTGCTCGGGCCGAAATTGAAGTTCCTACAGATGAAAAGGGTGACTCGGTAACTATACCTGATGCTACTGAGTTGCGCTTCCCAGGACCTCTGATTTCTTCGGAAGGGGTGATCTTTCGGTACAAACCGAGCGACTCTCCGGTATTGAATGAAATCGACCTTGTGATACACATGGGCGACCGGGTTGGCATCATGGGTCTGAATGGATGCGGCAAATCAACACTGGTTCGCCTCATGACGGGAAACATGGTCCCAAGTCGAGGGAAGATCTCGAATCATTCGCGGCTGAAACTGGGCTATTACGCACAGCATTCGATAGAAGACCTCCAAGCGGAGGGTCAAGCAGATCCTACCGCAACGGCCTTAAGCGTGATACTGAAAGAAGCCAACGGGCAACTCGATGAAGGCGAAGCCAGAGGCTTGCTGGCAACCCTTGGACTCCAGGGTAGGATAGTTTCACACGTGCCGATATCTCGGTTATCCGGAGGACAGCTTGTGAGTATTCTGAGGGAAACACCCTTTGACAATCGCTAACTTGCCATCTCAGGTACGCTTGTCGTTGGCGAGGGTGATCTGGAACTCACCACATCTGCTCATATTGGACGAGATAACCACCCATTTAGACTTCTACACCGTCACAGCTCTTGCATCTGCACTGTCGACTTTCAGCGGTGCTATCCTTCTGATCTCCCACGACCGATTTATGGTGCGCTCCGTTATAGAGGGAAAGCGAGACACAGAGCATACGTTGGATGACGAATTTGAGGGCGTAGAGGGAGAGGTTGAAGAGGAGCACAGCAGACGACGGGTGGTGTATGTTTTGAAGGCAGGGAAACTCCAAGAGCAACCGAAAGGGGTTGAGCAGTTCGAACAAAGCCTTGTTAAGAGAGTTCAGAAGATGATGCCGACCCCAGGATAGACTTGCATCTTAGATAGTTAACTATAAACTAACTAGTGATAACTAGTTAACACTACTATGGCATTACCTAGTTAGTTAGGTTAACGTATTTCACTACCGAGCGCCGCACCTCCCGCCAATTCCTGCCCATGGGCTAAATACTAGAGCCTTTATCAATTAAACAATTGCATTTCTGTCTAAAAATTAATTAGGAACTCGATTAGGACATTGCAATCGCCTATGTCCTAGATTATGACAATCACTGCAGCGCGGTGGCGCTCGTACGCGCGGCCTAACTGCAGAAAACGCTGGGTCTATAGGAAGCGCATCTTGAGCTTCATGGACCTCATTCTCGCGCTGAAATCGCTCTAGACCCTCTTGAATAGCTGATCCCTCTGTAATAGCTAGCTGTCTAGTAGAACGCTTTCTTTTTTGAAGCTGCTTTTCATGACAAGCGCGTAATTCACGTATTTCTTCGCGTGCAAGAGTAAGCTCATTAAGATGTAATTCATGACCTTTAATAAGCTTATCAAATCGGGTTTCTAGCGAAGATGAAAGGCTCTGCGTACGCGCTTTAAGTAGCTGCTTCACGGCAGATGCCTGCTTTTCAAGCTGCCTCGTAGTGTATGGTGTCTTAGGCGCTAAATTTGTTGATCGACTGTCTGGTAGTGTAGGGATTTTTAGTTGAATATTCAACTGACTGAGCATCCTATCTGGATTGAATGGAACCAGGCCAGTGCCTGCGAAGCTATTCCGAATAGTCTCTGCTTGAAAAGCGCATTCACTAGCTTGTAGAAAGGCCTTTAGAAAATCAAGTTTATCAATATAATTGATTCCTAAACGTGCTTGTTTCTCCACTAAATTCCTGTACGCTTTTTTTAAAGGCGCAAAGCAGCCCACGTCCAAAGGCTGAAGCTTGTAAGAAGAATGAGCTGGCATACAGATAGGAATAATATTATTCTCACTGCATGTCTGGTCGAATTGAGGCGTAAGATGGCTGCCATGGCCGTCGAGAATAAGAAGACGATATCTTCCAGTTGTACAACCAGTAGTAGTAGTAGGAATAAAGAGATTTTGAAGCCAGCGCAGGCCAATCTCATCAGTAGTCCATCCATTAGGACTAACTTCAATCCTACTATCGCGTGGGAGCTCAATATCTTGATACTAACTCTCTATATGGACTTTCCCTTTGAAGATCACACATGGAGGAAGGGCCCAACCAGTAGAGTTGATACATTCAATCGAAGTTACCCATGCTCGATTGCCTGGCTGTACGAGAGATGCCTTTCCATAATAATCGGCTCTAGTAACTAATTGAGCAGTAGCTACTAGACCTATAGCGAAGCCAGTCTCGTCAAAATTGTAGATATCTTCCTGTGCGATCCCATGCTACATTATAGTGATTTGTACGCGATCAAATCACTCCCTAATAATCTTAGGGTCTTCGCATTTCGCTCGTCAAAAATTGTAGCGTCGAGTATAGCGTGTTTTTAGCTCATTACGTCATTTAATAAATTTAGAGATCCAGTTCTCTCTGACTGTTTGAATTGGCATCGAACCGCGCGCAGTAAGAAGAATATCAGCCATTTCTTGTATATGGGACGGCCGGGGAGGCGCTCCGCGTCGATCCAGCGATAGAATCCATTGTACAAGCGATTCCTCTTCATTTTGAGTCAATTTATGACTATTGGCACGTGTTTCTGAGCGTGTTGTCTTTCCGCGTAGTCGATCTTGCAAGGTAGAACGAGGCACATTGTAAATACGCGCTGTTTCACGAATATTGCAGATTTCCTGATTTTTTAAAGCAGAAATAGCAAGTAGAAGTCTTCCCTCCTGCCCCGCTAAATTTCTCGAATTTTGACGCGCTTTTGGAGGCATGAAAGATGGTTGAATTGGGTAGGGCGATAAAACGCGTAGATTTTTAATGAGGTGGCCGACTCGGTGGTGTGGCCGACTCGGTGGGGAAATACGTTAACGGATCCTGCACGGATGAGTCATCCCCACTCTTCGGGCGGGGATTGATAAGCCTCCGCTGCGACGAGCTCTTACGAAAGAGCGCTATCTCTCTCCTCTCTCTCCATCCCTTCTTAAACCTTTCCTACGCCACCCTCTTATATATATTTTACTTCTACCCCATGTCCTCTTGGGGAATACAGGAATCAGCCCTGTGCTGGCCACCGTTAAGCAGAGTTTTTACTGAGAATGACTGAATTCATGTTGCCCAGAGGACGGTTTGTGCCCTTGCTCTTCTCACCGGTCAGGTTTCCCCGCAACTCTACTGTCCGAACACCGCCCGGCGGGAAACGAACGCCTTCGCTCCTTCGACCTCATGGCACGAGCTCGACGACCAAGAAACTCGAGAACGGTGATGCTCAAAGTGCGTCGGCTACATATTTTCCGAACCCCGACACCACTCGACAACCCGCGTCTTCGCGCTGGACTGCTCTAAAAACTCCAAAGCCGTTCTCCGAGTTTCTGACAGATACCTTCAACCGTCAACATGATTACCTTCGAATCAGCGTCACTGAGCGCTGTAACCTGCGTTGCCTATACTGTATGCCAGAGGAAGGAGTGCAGCTTTCCCCGCCAGCTCGTCTTCTTACCTCCCCCGAGATTGTCTATCTCTCGTCCCTCTTCGTCTCGCAAGGTGTGACCAAAATCCGCTTGACCGGCGGAGAGCCAACAGTCCGGAAAGACATAGTCCCTTTAATGCAGTCGATCGGAGACCTACGGCGCAATGGTCTTCGGGAGCTGTGTTTGACGACGAATGGGATATCGCTACATCGCAAGCTCGAGCCCATGGTGGAGGCTGGACTGACCGGCGTCAACCTTAGTCTTGACACGTTGGATCCGTTCCAGTTCCAGCTGATGACAAGGAGAAAGGGCCTCGATGCCGTAATGAAGAGCATCGATAAGATCTTGAAACTGAACAAGATGGGCGCGGGCATTAAATTGAAGATCAACTGCGTTGTGATGCGCGGGCTCAATGATCGGGAGATCCTCCCGTTCGTCGAAATGGGGCGTGAAAGCCCCATTGAAGTGCGCTTCATTGAATACATGCCCTTCGATGGTAATAAGTGGAACCAGCAGAAGATGGTTTCGTATCAGGAAATGCTGGCAATCATCCGCGAAAAATACCCAGCACTGGAGAAAGTGACCGATCATAAAAACGACACCAGCAAAACCTACCAAGTGCCGGGGTTTGAAGGCCGCATTGGATTTATCACTAGCATGACACACAATTTCTGCGGCACCTGCAATCGACTCCGTATCACTTGCGATGGGAACCTGAAAGTTTGTTTGTTTGGTAACGCCGAGGTCTCATTGCGCGACATTATCCGCAAGGAGAACAACGGGGAACCAATCGACGAGACGATATTGAAGGAGTTGCGACTCCTTGAAGCCGCCGAGCTGGTGGCTCTTGGTGAGCAGGGTGGCTTGGTAAATCAGAGAGAGCAAGAACTACTGGACATCATTGGCATGGCGGTCAAACGGAAGAAGGCAAAACATGCTGGCATCGGCAAACTGGAGAACATGAAGAACAGGCCCATGATACTCATTGGTGGGTAGGCGCAACCCTATGCTATTTTTTCTACGGTGGTTTCAGGCGAACAAATGTTACGAATGATGACATCTACGAATTTAATGGAACGGATTCAGTTTCCCTAGACTATAAGTAGGCATTGATTCTGCTAAGCTTTGGTCTGGTTGTACTTGGAATGCGTGCCGTTCTTTTTCTCTCGGGCATACTAATAGATAAGAATAGATAACGCGCGCATGGAAAATTCCATTTTTTCATACGGACACTCAACGATGCCATTGAGGAGGGGTACGCCTTGGTTCAATCTTCCAACATACATGATTCAACCCGGTACATCGAGCGCAACGCAAATCCGTGCTTATCATGGCCGCCGCGAGACCCCAGGTACAACCGAAACGGGCGATCAGAATACGGGCGAGGCCGATTCGAGCTCTCTTCCTACTGCATCTGATCCGGATCTGCCGCATCTTACACCTTCACAAAATGTCCACATGACCAAGATCAGCAAAAAGCCAGTCACGGAAAGACTTGCAACTGCCAGCTGCATAGTGAGCTTCTCCAACCCCCGCCCATGGGAGTTGCTTCGCGAGGGCCGAGGGACTCGAAAAGGAGACGTGTTCAGCGTTGCTCGCATCGCCGGTATCATGGCGGCCAAGAAGACGCCTGATCTCATTCCGTTATGTCATCCAGGTATCGGGATCACGGGAGTTGAGGTAGACGTCAAGTTAATTGATCCCTTGCCGTCCGAGAAGGGAGCGGACGAGTCGACGAAACATGGGGCAATGCGAGTCGTGGCTACGGTGAGCTGCCTCGGCCGAACGGGGGTGGAAATGGAAGCCATGACCGCGACAATGGGAGCTGCGCTGACGGTGTACGATATGCTCAAAGCCGTGGACAAAGGGATGGTGGTGGGCGGCGTGCAGCTGTTGGAAAAGAAAGGCGGCAAGAGTGGACATTGGATTCGCAAGAACGAGGTGAGCGAGGTGGAGTCGGAGGGAAGATGAATGGAAGTATCTAGATCTGTATGTATGTATATAACTACTATATATGCATAATTCCGTGAAATGAATCACGAACCCTGGTCAAACATGCAGTAGTGGCCAGCCTTATGGTGGAAAAGTCAAGAACAGCGCTAAGCGGATCGTCAGCCGTTGTTCATGACTCGATTCGGTTCCGCTCCACCGCCATCTTGCCGCGACTTTATTTTTCTTTTTTTTTCCCTCGTTTCCCTCTTTTTTATTTTCCTTCCTCTTTTTTTCCCTTTCTTCTCTCAATCATTTCCGCAACAATCTTCCAATACAGACTATCATCTTGACTTTGAGAAAACCGTTGAAATGGAATAACACACGCTTGTTGTCCGTTAAAACCCAGCCAAATCTTCCCCAAGGAGACCGAATAAACAACTTTCCACATTCCCAATCACATTATTCATGCAACTAGCTTGTCTTATTGCCTACCCCAGCAGTATTTGCATTCTACGCTCTATATTTCAGTCAAACCAGCAGCCTTCTTTGTGGTTTAAATCCATCACGCTCAATCACAGTTTCCATCAGCTTCAAACAATGAACCATAGGACAAGGCCGAGATTAAGAACATTCCATTTTTTCCAAAATCCCTGTGGGTAGCGGTGTGCTGCCCCGATCACCTACCTTATCATCGCCGATAGTCCATGATTCTGCACTCTCTATTTTCCGATACATCCCACCCCCCTGTAGCCTTTTCATAGGCTCAAACCTTATTGGAACTGTGATTTTTCTATATCACTCGGTCTATATTTCTGGGATCACTTGCATTGAAAATGACGGGTACATATAGCCCTCCCCCTTCTACATTCTTGTCAGCACTCTCCTGGAGTCTCCCTTGCTAGAAAAGCCATGCAGACACCAGCTTGTTGTGCAACAACTAACTCCATTCTTATAGTTCAAGGTCGTTTTCGGCCGCTTGCCCAATGCCTGATGGCGTTGCTGCCCCCATTTAATTTTATCACCCTCCACTATGCTCACTTTCTCGTGACGCCGTTAATATGCAGCGCTATTTTCTGGGGAACTGCAACTCCGTCTCGCAGCGTTGCATACGTCGATGCCTTATTCATGTGCGTCAGTGCGATGACAGGGGCTGGTCTAAACACCGTAAGATTTGCACTGCACAGGCGACAACTTATAAGCTGACCCTTTGTTCTCCAGGTGGACTTATCTTCACTAAACTCTTTTCAACAAAGCATTCTTTTTGTGCTTCTGTTCCTGGGACATGCAATCCCCATATCATGCACGGTTCTATTCGTCAGGAAGAGAGCTTTTGAGTTGAAGTTTCAAGGCATTTCAAAGGAACGGGCACAAAAAAGCCTATTTCGTCGATCGGTCTTGACCGACCCAGCCAGAGCGGATACCGCTTGCAATGAGCATCGCCAGCAATTAGCGGCCTTGAAAACTCATGATACCAAAGTCCCTGCAATGACCGGCACCGTGTCTATAGAGGCTTCCGCCATCCCAGAAAACGACGACCGTATTCGCTGGATGGATGATGATCAGGTTACGCTCGGCCATTTGCGACCACGCTCGCACCACCATTCCCATCGAATGTTTCCAATGGTGGGCATTGGAGCTCGACCAGACTTGAACAATCACCCCAGAGATGTTCCCCCAAGCCTGGCTGTACTCCAAGACAAAGAGGATGAGGTCTCCCGCTTCAAGGGCATGCTCCAGGGGACGCAGAAATATTTTGCATCGAAAGGCCTTATCTCCCGAAACTCTCAGTTCCATGGCCTGTCCCCCGAAGAACGGGAGAAGCTTGGCGGTGTTGAATATCGGGCCATCTCTTTCTTGTCGGTCATAGTGTTTCTATACTGGTTGTTGTTCATGCTTTTTGGCATTATCGGAATGGGGGGCTGGCTGGAAGCAAACCATCCGAATATTGCCCGCGAAAATGGCTTGTCGCCCTTCTGGACCGGGGCGTTTTTCGCCGTATCGGCGTTTGTGAACAGTGGCATGTCTCTTTTGGATGCTAACATGACCGCTCTGCAAACAAAGTACTGTCACTAGCCTCAGACTGCTGAACTTTGCTGACCCGTCTCTAGCGTTTATCCGCTCATCACCATGGGGATGTTGATCCTGGCCGGCAATACACTTTATCCTTGTTTCTTGAGATTCATCATCTGGACCATGAGGCGGCTGATCCCCAACCGACCGAATTGGGAAACATGGAAGGTTACCCTGGATTTCATTTTGGACCACCCTCGAAGAGTATGTGAAACGAGAATGGTACCCGTAAAGTTCATGCTAACAACATACCAGGTATATACAAATCTTTTTCCCGCTCGACACACGTGGTACTTGCTGGGAACTATCATCTTTTTGAACGGCATTGATTGGGCCATGTTCGAACTGCTCGCAATCGGCAATAAAGAGATTGAGGCATTGCCGACAGGCTATCGAATCTTGGATGGACTATTCCAAGCTTTGGGTACGTTCTCGCTACCAGGCCACATCGTATTCTGCTAATATACATGGATTTGAAGCCGTTCGTGCTGGAGGATTCTATGTGGTCACTATTGCCGACCTTCGCCAGGGTCTGCTTGTTTTATATGGTAAGGAAATATCTGGTAATAAAGGCTTAACTTTAACTAACTTTGGAATTCGCTAGTTCTCATGATGGTTAGTATTATCTGCCCGATAGGATATGTTGATACCATGCTATCCTTGTTAAAGCCTTTACTAACCAGCTATCCAGTATGTGTCGGCATACCCTGTCCTAGTGACCATCAGGTTTGTCACACCTCGCTCATGAAATTACGATTGGGTCTTGCTAATATGGCCCAAGAAACACGAACGTATACGAAGAACGCTCTCTTGGAGTTTACGCCCACGACGAGCCGCACGAAGCGTTCGAGTATCGCACCTACTCCAGTGCAGTCATTGATCTGGTCCGGCACCGGCTCCTCGGTCGAGAGGGCGTGTACCCCAAAGAATCATCGCGCAGCTATTTTGTCCACCAGCAGTTGCGGTCCCAGCTCAGCCACGATATTTGGTGGATTGCTCTTGCTGTGCTGTTCATTGCTATCGCCGAATCGTCCAACTTCAAACGCGATCCCGTCGGGTACTCGACTTTCAATATCCTATTCGAGACTGTTACCGCTTACGGCTGCGTCGGTGTCAGCGTTGGCTATCCCGGCACCAATGCCTCCTTTGTTGGCGTGTGCCATCCCATCAGCAGGCTGATCCTTGCGGCCGTCACCATCCGTGGTCGGCATCGGGGTCTTCCCGTTGCGATCGACCGCGCAATCATGCTGCCTAACGAAAATCTTGCCTGGGCGGAGGAGGAAGACGCTGCTCTGAGGCGTGAACAATCGCGTACTTGGGGCGTTGAGAAAATGCCTATGGGAACTGTGTAACACAGCACGTTGAGTACCTTTCCTGCCACTTCGTGCGACTCAGGGAAACAGGTTTCTGTCTTTCCGGTGTGATTATTGTTGGTTCGCATAATTCCTGTGCAACCACGACACATAAAAGTTTTTGACCTTATTCTATTGTTTGTTTCTGCCTTCTTGCTTATTCTATCGTTTATTACTTTTCTGAATTTTTGCAAGTTCTGTCTTGACGCGAATTCGTGTAAGCTATGTATGTATGGATCGTTATTCATAGTGGTATGTATGCGTTTTCTCGGATTGAGTTATGGTATTTGCAATATGCATCTTGCATCCTAAGCAAATTATATACTGGCATTATTTGTTTTGTAGTTTTCCAAATTGAACTTTTGTATTGGTACGAACAAAATGAAATAGAACTCATGTCCCACATGGCTATTATCGTTGGGACCAAGGTATAGGGAACCAGATACCGATAGTTACATACAAAGGGGGGGAAATAATAGAATAGAGTAAAGACGGGCAGATGAGCAAGTTTACTCGTCTTCCATCTCCATTTCATCCTCGTCTTCATCTTCCTCCTCTTCTTCCTCTTCCTCTTCCTCTTCGTTCTCATCGCCAGAGGAGTCCGCATCCTCGCCGTCCTCCTCACCGTCACTTTCATCATCGTTGGCACTAACCGCCCCCTCGTCCATGTAAGCATTCTTATCGGCTTCCTTATCCTCGGCTCTCCGCTTCTCTTCCTCACGTCGTGACTGTTCCACGAGGATGGCTCGCTCCTCACGCATCTTCCTCTGCGACTTGACGAACGCACCCAGCGGGGTCGACTCCCACTCCACATCCTTCAGGAAAGTCTCTACCTCCGCCCGGCTTCGAGGGGTATATGTGACGCTGAGTCTGCGCTGCTCGATCCACTTGGCATTGGCCTCGACCTTCTGCACCAGAAGCAGGATGCTCTGGTTGACCTTGGCGTTCTTGTTGCCGCCGGAGCGCGAGCTGACCTGCTTCAGCCAGCGCTTCAGGGAGACGACGACGGGAACGGAGAGTTCGGGGAAAGCGATGTGCTTGGTCCATAGGACGAAGAACTCGGAGAGGAGCTCGGCAACTTGCTCGCCGACGCCGTCCTGGTAAACACGCGTACGGAGGTAGGATTTCGGCGCGCGGATCGTGGTGTTGAAGTCGAGTTGTTTGAGAGTGCTGGATTTAGGAGGCTTGCGCATCTCGGCGAGGTTGAGAACCTCGACGAGCGCGGAGGCGAGGGGGATGTAGGTTCCCGTGGCGCGGGAGAGACGAAGGAGAGATCGGATCATCTGGAAACGAAGGGGGAGGTATTGCGCCGTGGGAATGAGGCGCATCGCACCGAGGGTGATCTGGACAACAGGGTAGATGAGAGGACGCACCGCGGACTGCTTGCCGAGCTTGGCTTCGACGAGGCCGTCGCAGTGCTGGGAGAGGACACGGGACCAGAAGTCGAGCGAGTGGACGTATTGCCAGTTGTAGATGGTCTTGTACGACTCCTTGGAGGTGTTGGTAATGCTGCTGCGGAGATGAATGGCGAGTTGGCGGATGAAGTTGAAGCCTGCGGTGTAGGAGACATTCTGGTCGATGCCCCAGAGCTCGGCAGCCGAGTTCTTCATTAGGTTCACGCCGGGGAGAGTGTGCACGGTGGTGTTTCGGCTACCCTTCACAACGCCCTCATAGGAGGCCTTGAGAACAGACTCCTTGAGTCCAGAATCACCGATCACCATCAATCGCCGCAGCAGAAGGAAGGCTGTGATTCGAGTGGCTTCTGCGGTGGAAACGTCCGCCCAGATCGCGACAATCGTCTTCACAAGAACCTTAAGGAGCTTCCGGAACTGGAGGAGGTAGGGAAGCATAGGCTCGACGGAAGAGAGGGTCAGCTTGAGAGTCGATTCATCGGACAGATTCGTGAGCAGCTGATAGACGGAGGACGTGTGCGACTTGATGAGAGGCGTGAGGGTCTTGAACTTCTTCGAATCGAGAGACAGCTTGACTTTGCCGGACGCGGTCTCCTTGACCGGAAGATGATGCGAAAGGACCTTAGGAATATTGCTGAGAGCGGTGACAAGAACCTGGTGATACACTTCCGGGTCCGAAATCGAGTATTTTTGCTCCTGGGCTTCCACTTCGTTCACGTAGGCCGCAGCACGGAAAGCAAGAACGGCTTGCCGCATGGCCCGGATAGATTTCTGTTCTTCCATCAACTTCTGCCACTTCTGGACCATTCCGAGTGTTATCGTATTGCTCGTCGTTGTCTCTTCCTCTTCGTCCTTCTGGGCCTTCTTCTTCTTCTTCTTCACCGGTCCTTCATCCTCCTCTTCACTCAGCTCGTCGACTTCCGCTAGGTCCCCGTGATCACCGAAATCAAGCAGTTCCGAATCGTTTTCTTGCAGGTACTTGTAGAACGCCGGGTCCTTCTCTTTCAGAGCTTCCAGTTGGCCCTTGTGCGCCTCAAAGTCGTCCACCCCGCTGGAATCGGATCCCTCCTCGTCGTCGCTTTGAGCGGCCGGTCCGTCTTCTTCCTCGCTACCAGAATCTTCAGAGGCTTCTTCATCCTCCTTCTGCTCTTCCGATCGCTTGCGCTTTCCGATTTTCGGGGTGACATCCTTCTTCTGGGCCTTCTTTTTGCCCTTGCCGGCATCGGCGTCTGCAATGTCGAATCCGCCCGAAAAGAAGTCGTCCACGTTCATTTCTGCAAAGGCGTTCTGCTTCTTCTTCTCCTGCTCGCGACTCTCCTCATCGCCCTCTTCTTCATTCTCCCTCACTTTGGCATTGTCAGCCCTGCGCTTATCTTTGAGCTGATTGCGCTGCTTGATCTTCGCAAACTCTTTCCGACGTTCGAGCACATCCTTCAGGTGCTTCTTCTCGAACTTTTTCGTCGATTTCTTTTGACCTCCAGCCATTGTGCCAAGAGTTCCCGATCCGACGGTATGGATTGGGATGAAATTAATAGGACAATGAAAATGGAGTGGAAATGAATTCCAAAGAGAGCTTCCCTGAGGTGAAATTTTTTTTGGAAAAAAAAAAAAGAAAATTCGGGAAGATTGACGGGGCAGAAAATGGCGGTGCCGACCGGCGTAAATTGGTGACCGCCTTTCATTTCCCCTCAGATTCCCCCGACATGGAATGTACTCCAAATGCTAGACCCATATATGCTCCAGAACATCGATTGTGGTCTCTGTCCACGGTAACTACTCGTCATGTATGCTCAGCGTCCTCTGGCGTATGCGCCGACACCATATAGCTACACCCCTAATCCGGCGCTGTCAGCGTCCATCAATCTCGATGAGGTACGATAGAGTGTCCGGCCTGTTTGGTAGGCAGCTGGGCTAACTGCGTCCTCGCCAGGAAGTTAAACTCGCCTCGAGCTCTGCGGAACGCGATCTCTACGAATCCTTAGCCGAGATTTACAGTATTATCGTGACTCTGGATGGCCTAGAGAAGGCCTACATTAAAGATGTCGTGACAGAAGTCGAGTACACGGAAACATGCACTCGCCTACTAAAGCAGTACAAGTCTAGTCTAGGTGATGATGCAGTCGCGAGGGAGTTTGTCGATCTGGAAACATTCAAGCGGACGTGGGGCGTGAGTACTATGTCTGTGAATTATGGCAAATCTTATAATTTAACCTCTCATTTCTCCGATCTAGCTCGAATGCCCTCGTGCTACAGAACGTCTACGCATCGGTCTCCCCGCGACGGTCGAACAAGCCTCCCACTCTACGCCGGCAGCCAACATGGGCGCCGCAGCAGCTGGTCCTGCGGCGGGCGCCTCGGGCAGTCTGATTTTAACGGCCACGGAGAACTTCATCACCTTCTTAGATGCGCTGAAACTAAACATGGTCTCCAAAGATGCTTTGCATCCGCTGCTCTCGGAAGTTATCCAGTCGGTTAATAAGGTGACTGATGGGGACTTTGAGAACCGAGGAAAGATCATCCAGTGGCTGATCGCTTTGAATCAAATGCGTGCGACGGAAGAGCTGAGTGAAGAACAAGCCAGAGAACTGGCGTTTGATATCGAGCAGGCATATCAAGGTTTCAAGTCCACATTAGGGTGAACTCGTCCGATCTATCATATCGTAGTTGGTTAATGCGGGGAACCGGCGTTAATAGCGTTGTCGTTGAGCAACCGGGGATCATTGTCTTTTTACGATACTCTTCTTTTGTTTTTGTTATTTCTTTTTGCCCCTTCATCGATGAGATAGAGGAACGAAAAAGATAAGTTTAGGCCGGAGCGGATCCGATCCGCGGAACATTTGCCGGCAGGCCTTTCCTTTTTGGGCGATCACGACTTTTTTTTTGGTGCCTGGGGCCGGACATCCCCCAATTTTGCCGTTTGCCACAGGTTCGCCGTTTATCCTCCGGCTGGATAAGAGAAGATCTGGTCCTGTCGGCGCGCCCATCTTGGAACTTATAACACACACTTTTGCATTTGCTCTGCTACATTCGCCCAACATGATCAGTGCTGAACCCGAGGAGCCTCTCCATGGTAGGTGTCACACACTCTTGAGTGTGCTCCTTGATAGATAGGCGTGATAGGCACTGATAAGTCCTTCTTCAGTGCTCGACATGCCTCAAATCCATACCAAGCCTTCCGGCACCGAGATCCTACGAGCCCTCGACCTCCTAGCCATTAAACCACGCACTTTCGGCACGACTTCTAAAATTCAGGAAGCGGCGAAGGTTCGCAGCGTTCACCCGGCCGGTATAACCCGTTATCTAACAACGATCATCTCGAGTCCGCTTTCATGGCTCGATACCGACGAATTGCGAGAGGCAGTCTGGGATGCCACCTCGGCTCGACTCAGCGAGCGGTGTGGCCGAACTGGTACGCGGGAAACGTTTCCGTGCTCTTTCTTTACTGTGTGGTTGGCTCTAACCCCTGGTTTTCCAAATAGCAATGCCTGCCATGTCCCGAGTCTTCACTGTGCAAAACCTCTCGGGCGAAGAACTTACCTTGACCCTGCACGAGCCCTCCTTGACCGCTGATAACCTGGGAATGAAAACATGGGTGTCCTCATATCTCCTCTCCCAGCGACTTCACTCCGTTCTGGAGTCCACACCGCCGTTGGTCCCGTCCACGGCCACGATCCCGAAGACCGACCGGACTCTGCGCGCGCTGGAACTGGGATCGGGGACCGGACTCGTGGGACTTGCCTTTGCCGCCATCCACGGAGAGTCCGCTTCCGTCCATCTCACCGATCTCCCCGTCATTGTTCCCAATCTGGCCCACAATGCAGCTCTCAATGTCGAACTGTTGACCACATCCAATGCACGAGTCACGACGGGAGTCCTCGATTGGTCCGTTGATCCCGAGCCGCTCCCAACCCCCGAGGAGAAATATGATCTCATCCTAGCCGCCGATCCTCTATACTCGCCCAAACACCCAAAATGGCTGGTTGATACGATCGGTCACTGGCTCAGTCCCGGACTCGATGCTCGGGTCGTCGTCGAGATGCCGCTGCGGGATGCATACCTACCCCAAGTGCAGGAGTTCCGACAACGGATGACAGATATCGGGCTAGCGGTGGTCAGCGAGGGGGAAGAGACCGGGTATGACGACTGGGAGTCGGCGGACGGGGGAGCGCTTGCAGTCCGGTGTTGGTGGTCCATCTGGGGGTGGAGCGAGAAGCTCTAAATCGATCACCGGCCCTCATCACTCTCCATCCGTCATGAATATGGCAGGATCCACGAAGTCACGAGAATAAACGATACACGAGCGACGATAGAGTATCAGAGATACATGTCGCGATAGATAGATTAGAAGGTTAGACAGGCACTAGATGTTAGAGATCCTCAGAATGAACATTCAAGTTTGATTAATTAGCAAAATCAAAGTTTCTATGTGTTTGTACAAATGTGCATATGAAAAGAACGAGGTCGAAAGGAGACTTTTGAGGTGAAGGTTGACCGAGTGATCGAGGGACAAAGAGGGAAAAGTTCACCTGAACACCCGCTCCACCTCACGTGTGGCGCGCCAGTCCGATGACGTCGCCGGCCGCCATCATTTCTTCTGCTCGGGTCTATCTCCACATTATCAAGACAGACACGATGAAATGAAGGAAAACGTTTAGTGATGTCCACAAGAAATTGATCTACAGATATCAAAATATTTACAACTCCAGTTCTTTAATAAATACTCTGCCAATATCTCAAGTTCTACTCCTTCCACCGACACTTGACCCCTCCCCCACCACCAGACCAGCTCCCAGACATTATCAAAAATGGTCATCGGTCTGTTAACAATAGCCGCCATCCCAACGGTAACAGGCGTTTCGCTAGCCAGCAGCGAACAGCGCAAAGCCAACCAGCGCAAGGAAGACGAGCGGCGCATGCGAAAATTCCACGTCGACGTGGAAAGCGCCGGCGAGACACAAGAAGACAGCGAGGTGAATGGCAAACGGTTCGTGGTGAGGGATGAGAAGGTAAGGACTTGCAAGTCCACTATTATACCTATGATATACAAAACTTGCCGATCCAACGTCTCTGATTGAGGGCGCGGGGCAAAAAGACGGCTGGCTGACTGGTCGCGCATCACCAACTTTGTAGATCTATCTGGACGACCCCGAGGAATCGAATCGCACAACACCCTCCCATACCACGCAAGCCTTTTACATCGAATACCCCGAGTTAGACCATATGAAACATCTGGAGCGAGGGAATGGACTCGTCACCAGTGTGACGCACATCCCGCCTCTACTGCATTGGATCTACGCGGACAAGGAAACGCACCAGCTCAAGTACGGGAACCGCTCGGGGAGCGCGGAGCACGTCGTTGGGCCTTGGGATTGGACGGATGAAGAAAAGACGATTACCCTGGAAGGCAACCGGCAGTTTGTCGCAGTGCAGGAAGAGGACGGGGCGTGGGCCGTGTACTTTGATCGAGATCGAGACGATCTAGAGGGCGTGCTTGAAGAACAAGGGAAATTGGACAATGCATTTGCGCCGATCAATTTGAAGAGGTCAATGGTCCCGCAAGCCGTGCTGGATCTACAAGAGGCGAAACTGGAGAAGTTCAAGCAGCTCCAGGCGGCCTATGCGGCGCAGCAATTGAGGGCTGTTCAGCAAGCAAAAGCGCAGCAGGCTCAACAAGAGCAGCAAGCGCAGACTAATGATGATACATGATTTATTTCTATATGTCTAATGATCACCGGGTATTCCACTCGTTCTTGATATTGGGAATCATAAAAGCTTTTTTAAATGAAATGTTACTGTACATGATGATAGTAAGGGAACTTGGCTTCTCCAAGTGTTGTCAGAAACTAAACACCCGGAAATCCCTAATCATCCAGGCCATCCCAGCTGCCACCGTCACTATCAACAGGCTCTGCAGCAGGGTTTCCTGTAGACTTCCTGTTGCGACTAGCCGTGATAGCACCTTTCTTCTTATTCTCCATCCGTCGTTCAAAGCCACTCTTGGTGCTGATCTTGGTCCGGTTGTGCTTTTTATCGCCTTCGTTAACGTTGGAGTTTGTTTGTCTGGCCTTGACACCGTGTTTTTTAAGCTCTTTTTTGTTCTTCTTGCTAAGGTCGGGCAAAGAATCCAACAGCCACTTTTGGACGGACTTTTCGCCCTCGGTTCCTCGTAGTTTCTCACTAACATCGATGATGTTGGCAATACTCTTGACGTAGGGAATGTCCTCTTTCGTGTAGTAGGTGACTGCAACGCCACCTTCGCGGCCGGCTCGTCCGGTTCTTCCGACTCGGTGGACATACACTGCCGCAGAGTTCGGGATATCGTAATTCACGACACCGTTGATGCCTCGGAAGTCAACTCCACGAGCTAAAAGGTCCGTCGTGACAAGAATCCAAATCTCGCCTTTACGGAAGTCCTTCATGATCTCGGAGCGCTGGCCGTCCGACATTTCGGAGTGAAGAACGGCTATCCGGGAAGAGCCACCGGCCTCTGGAGGAATGTCGTAACGTAATTCGGATTGTAACGCCACTGCTCGGGGAATGGTTTGCGTGAAAATCAAGAACGGTGGGCGAAGGCGCACATCGGAGGCTGCCGCTGCCGAAGGACGAAGCAGCTGTCGGAGACCCAGGAGCTTTCCTTGTTCCGTTGCAGCATAGACCAGCTTGTGTTGGATGTTGGGGATTGCGGAGTCTTTCAGGCCGACGACGAGGCGGATCAAAGGGTAGGATTTGGTTTGCGCAGAGGTCTCTTTACGCTCTTTAATCAACGATTTGGTAAGATCTTCGATATTTGACCCCATTGTAGCAGACCAAAGACTCGCACGAAGCTCTGGGTGCGTGCATGCACGCCAGATATCAAGAGTCTGTTCGCGGAAGAGAGGGTCAAGAAGGACATCTGCTTCGTCCAGCACAATGTTCCTCACCAGGGGCAGGGAAGCCAAGGGCTTTGTTCGGTGTTCGGTTAGTGCATTGACTAGAAGCAGAGGTGTTGTAACAATGATATCGCTCTTGGTCACAGCCGCCTTGTTCTTGCTCTTCTTTTCCGGAGCGTTTCCTTCGTCCTCCGACTCCGATGCATCTGAGCTGTCTTCATTCAGAACATCATCGGTACCACTCGCAGACTCATTCGTGCGTTCCGCCACCTGCATTCCCTTCTTCATCAGCGTGATCTTCACGCCGGTTCCCTGGACCAGTTTTCGCCCCTCGTTGACAATCTGCCCCGCAAGCTCCTTGGTCGGGGCAACAACGATAGAGAAAATACCACGTTCTTCTTGCTGCTCGTGATGGTGTCGAACGATCTTATTGATGACTGGAATCAAGAATGACAGGGTTTTGCCGCTTCCAGTAGGCGCTACAACTAGAAGATCCGGCTCAACCGTTTCTTCCGTCTTTGGCTTCTGGGGCGCGGTAGGCTCTCCGAGCAGTAGAGGGAGGGTTCCCAATTGCACCTCCGTAGGTACAGTAAACCCTTGTTCGGCGATGTTCTCTGCAAGGCGCCTCGAAATCTTGTACTTGGAGCGCAATTCCTTGAAAGAGACAAGCGGTTGCGGGAACAGTCGGCGTGCCTTCTTCTGTTCCTTCTTCGTGAGAGTCTGAGACGCTTCCTCTTTCTGCTGCTTCTTCTTCTTCTTTTTCTTCGGCTCTTCGGTTGGTACTTGCACCTGCTGGATCTCTTCCAGGTCACGCAGATCCGTCACCTTGATCTTGTGCGCATTCAGAATAGTTCGGCGCTGCACTTCATCCATAGAGTCGTCCTCCTCATCTCCAGAAGCCTCATCCTGGTGAGACGATTCGACCTGGTCCTTCTTTGTTGCTTTAGCTACCGAAGAGCCTTTCCCGGATCCAAAAAAGTCTAGATCCGCTTCATCTTCAGATCGAGGCTCATCATCCCCCACAGGGCCCCTTTTTCGCTTTTTCCCCGAATTTTGCTCTGCAACGAGCTTGTCGGCTTCGGCATTGTGGAAAAGCTGGGGGGTCTCGGCCTTGCCCTTGGAAGGAAGAGTTTGCGCCGACGATGAAGCCGCACCAGTCTTGAACTTGGCGGACCGCGTTAATAGCTTAAATGCATCCATTTTATTACCGGTGCAGGAGAATTAGACGACCATGCAAGCTGGCGCTTGTCGAGCAGTTCACTACTCCGGGGGGTTAAATCAAACTGGTTGAACTATAAGGGGGGAAGAGAACGTTCCAATATAAAAAAAAGAGAGAAAGAAAAAAAAGTCCGAGGCAGAAATTCTTTTGCGCACGGACCAATCAGAGGGGAGGAACCGCCCGTCGTTTTGTTTGCCGGTTTTTGCAGGTGTCAACAGATCAAAACAGCAGAAATCAGTGATTTCCATGGGATTCAGCAAAGAAGAAAGGCAAAAGCTCTTCATAACCATGCCATTGACCTCCTCACGACTGTAGGACTGTTACTTCCCCCTTCATAACATCTACAATGTCCATAATCATTAGGGGGCCACTCGCTGCACTTTAAACCTTCTACAATGGCACTTCCTATTAAAATCACGGACCAGCGGATGGCAATGCGCCTTATCATACACCTATATCGTTTTTCATGGAACATGAATATCTATTACTCACAACTATGCGGACTGACATCTATACGAGGATTTTTGACAACCATAGAAACAGAGATAACGGCGGAATATCAAGCATCGACACAAAAGAGATAATGAAATGGGGTCTCCCAAAAATCGCAGGTTTACCTCAGACAACAGTTATATTCCATCGTCTATCATACAATAGTACAGCACGCGGGAAAAGAAATCGAAGAAAGGACAGGTCAGGACATGATTGGGTTGTGATTGACCTAGTGATCACCGTGGTGCTCAGGGTGGCCCCGGTAGCCGACAATGTTCATTCTGCCGATCATCTCGCCGACAGTGAAGAATCCGATAACCTCCGCAAAGGTGACACCGGCCAGAGCGATCTCCTTCTTGTTGGCATTGCGGACGCGAGCGACGATATCTTGGGGAGAGACGAAGTTGGCGTTCTTGAGGGTGGCGGGGTTGCGGAAAGCATTGATCAGAGGCTGGAAGTACGACTGGAAGGTAGCCAGGTTCCTAAGGATGGGGTGTTAGTGGAAGAAGGTCGTCTTATTTTGGCGATAACCGGAAATGCTTACGGGGGAGTCATGTTCTGTCCGCGGAACACCAGCTTGCCGAGCTCAAGTCCAACTCGCGTGTAATAGACGGTAGGGGGTATCATGGCTAATGTAAATAACGACAATGGTTAGCAATGCCAGGAGAAAAAGACGGCTTCGACGGAACAGAAGTGCAGGCTTGTGGGCCTTATCAAGGAGCCCAGGAGAGGTGATGGCAGTTCATCACATCAATTCATCTTGCCAATAGGAGATCAAGATGGACTGAAGATCTCAGATGGGAACCCGAAGGGGAGGGTTGTCTTACAATCAACGAAGGAGATGACTTTTCCGGTTCTTCCACCGACCTTTCTCAGGGCGCTGGCGGCGTTGTTGAGCGCGGGACCGGCGGACGAAGAGACACGAGAGAGACCCTCAGACGCCTTGGAGGCAGCCGAAGAAGCAGCCTCACCAGCCTTGGAAGCAGACTCGGAGGTGGAGGAGGCGTGCCTGACAGCGGTCCTCCGGACCATGAACTGCGATTGCCGAAGCACGGCACGGGACGCCGTGGCGGGCATCTTGAAGACCACTGGAAAGAGAAAGGGGCTCTAAAAGGAGAGAATGAAGTGTAGAGGTCGCAGATGAGGGACAGAGGAGTCCAATGGCGGAGGGGTCAAGAGCCAGAAGGAGGTCGTCGCGCAATTGCAGGACCAGAATCTGAGATTTGACGCTCGGGAAGTTCAGGGAACCCACCCGGTCACGTGCGGCTACTATGGCATCAACCGCTTTTTGTGCCCGGAGTTCCGTTGTGGCATTCCGTGTTCAACACGACAAACCATTGTGAGGATCCATAGGTATAGTCAGACAGCTTGTTAGTGTTTTTTTTCCAGTCAATCCATATTCTGCACAAATCATAACCTTGTCATCTTTCTCGCAACATCGCTGTATACCTAAAACCACAAGAAGGCGTGCACGGTACCTACAGTCACCTGACCCACCTAGTACTCCGGAGCAGATCTCGAATCATCCGTATCGAATCTTCAAGACTCGTCCATCTGGACATGAACCCCTGCATGATCCACTTGTCTTGTAGTGTGTCTGCTGGTTCATCTGTCAGTCCTTGTTTACTTTGGCATCCAATATCATGCCGTGGTCTCTAATGTCATCGTTAATGTCTGTCTTGCTCCGTTTCGGCGGAGGTAGACTGGACTATCGCCATATTCAAAGTACCAACGCCCTATCCACCTAGCTTTTTCTCCGCCGTTTCCGGTGCGATACAACTAGGTACTTATTTATAAGCATCGCATTGCTGTGTCTCGTTCTCCGCAATGTAATGTTCACAGCATTCGACCGAAGGTGACGCGATGTACCACCCGATAGCAGCGAGTCCTCATCCTCAAGAACCCGATATCAAGCGCCGGAAGCTTCGCAAAGGAGCCAGCAGCTCCTGAGAGTGTAAACGGCGGAAGGTTCGATGTACATTTGACTCCGCCCCCGACAACGTCTGCGTCAACTGTCGACGACGTGGCACCACCTGCCTGAGTCAAGAATTTCCAGAAGCAACAGACCCCTCTAGCGATAGAGGCCTCCCAATCGGTGCTCGTATTGGCCGCGTTGAAGCACATATTCAGCGTTTACTTCACCCGGAGAGAAATCTCGAAAATAAAAGTATTGAAACCGGTCAAAACGGGGAGGGAAGTGCGCTGCCGTCCTTGGTCGGCGTTTCTAAGATTCCACCCTTGCAAAATTCAAGGAGAGCGGAGGTCAACCGCTAATACATAATACTTATACTTGTTGATGTAGGAAAGCAGTCGCCCCATTTAAGATATTAGCTCCGAGAATAGTGATTTAGTTGGAAGTACACCATGTCAACAGCAACATACGTATACGTCAAAGTATGCGAAACTCTCTCAGGCTTTGTATGCCATACTGCCCACACCCGAAGATGCGGAGATAATATGGAAGGCCGGTGCTCACGTCTCCATTTACTTTCACCAAGTCATTTTGGCCCCCTACCTCGATATCAAGCGCAACGGTCTGGACTTCTTAGATGCAGTGCGCCCCAGATCCAGTAGGCATCCGATGTTGCTGGCCAAAATTTTTTTTTTTTTTTTTTTTTTTTTTTTCATTGCCACCATTTTGCAGTATATCAATCCCGAGTCCTACGGAATGATCGACACCATGTCTGAACAGCCACGGGTCATGGCTAAGGGACTTGTTACCACTGCGGCCACCCAAGTCACTGCCCACGATGAGCTCTTGGGCAGCGTGGATGGCTTAGAATGTATTATGATGGAAGGTGTGTACCAATCGAAATGTGGAAATCTCCGACGTGCCTGGCCCTCGCCCAGTTAATGGGTATTCACCACACCGGCACGCATAAAGTCAACACGATTGTCCCCAGAGCCAGGATCAATACACCGTACTTATGGTATCGCATTGTATGCACTGATCGCTTTCTCAGTCTTATGCTAGGGCTTCCTCAGGGCTCGCCAGATCGAAGCATGGCATCAGGGTCAGCATTTGCTGGGGACACAGACGTCGGCCGTCTTGAGAGACTTCACTGTGTAATTGCATCCCGAATCCTGGAGCGTAACGATGCAGACCTCGAATCCTGCAACTTTGATGTAACTCAGCAGATTGATGCCGACCTACAAAATGTCTCCGAAATGATGTCGAGTGGCTAGTGGCTAATTCCCAACTTGGAAGCTGCTGCGACCAGTTGTGATGGCCAGACCGTCTTTTGGGAGATGCTGCGACTAGTCAGCCAGCTCTTCCATTATAACATGCTCAATCAACTGCACCTTCCATTAATGTTACGTTTCACATCGACCGGGTATCGTAATGCTTACTATTCCCAGATGACGTGTGTCAACGCCTCGCGTGAAATTCTCTTGCGCTTAATGTCTTTCGCAGCTTCAACCGGCTGCCATACTGCTGCCGTGCAGTTGATTTTTTTGCTCTAGTGGCTGCTTTAGCTCTCCTCCTTGCTCATCTCGACAGTCACCGACGTTGGAATCTCAATAAGGACTTGAATGTTCTCGCTCATTAGCGCCCGGTGGATCGTGGCATGATGGAGGTGATTCTCAACCATATGGATCAAATTGGCAAACTGAGTACAGATACTCTAAGCGCTCAGAGTGCTAGCTTACTTCGCCGTCTGTTGGCCATTGAAGCCGAGGCTGCCGCGGGAAGCGCCTATACCACGCACCGGATACGCATTTTAGAAGGCCAATCGCCGTCCCAGATCGCTGAAACAGAACATAATATTCTTCAAATTCCAATTCCATACCTTGGAACGGTATGCATCGCACGCGAGGGAGTTATATCCAAAGAATCGCCGCCTGCTTTGACTTATCACTTTTCTGTCCACCCGCCGGCTGAAGTGGAACATAACGTTGACAACCGTGATATGGACACAGTGTGCTCAGCCACTACTTATCCTGATATTGAAGTTGCGACGCCATATGTATTACCCCCCACAAATGTCTGGCCAGCACATCTGCCGCAGCAGTATCCGCATCCTGCTCTCACGGCAGACGCGGGAGATTGGGCGTTCCAGGGCATCGACATGGCTTTCTTTAGCAACCTTATGCGAGGCTCGCTTTCAGATACTGCGAAAACCATGTGACCGTAGCAGGACATTGAACTAATAACATATCCACGCCAAATATACTTATATTGTTTCGATGTATGGCTGAAAGACTGCAAATCCTCATGCTATCTTTCTCCTTATTAGGATGCTGGTCGTCGTACCCCAACTTTCCCCCATAATCCCAACCCCCTGAAATATTTTCAGTTATACTATTCGGAATAACCTGCCTCAATATTTCGTTTGGCCACTAGTTGCTAGAGAGGCTTCCGTCTCTACAGCCAGAAGCACAAAATTAATCATGGAATTAGCGCAAAGGTAACCAGGATCCCTAGATATTCTTGGTTCGATCAACGGTATCTCAGCCCGATGTTACACTTATACCCGTCGCAACTGTTACAGCCGGGTCGACATGAGGCCTTGTGACAGGTAGCCGTACAACACCGTCGAGGGTGTGGCCAAATGCTTACCCACTGTCAAGATCAATCATTCAAGGAAGCATATGCCCGAGATAAACAGAAACTTCTGTTACTCGTGAAATTTGTGTACCTCCATACCTGAAGAACTTTCGCTGTGAGCTTCTCAACCAAGACAAGCTTTGTTGTATGGGTGTTAATAAGAAGTAAGTCCTATTGGAATCTTGTTGCTATTAATGATGCCACAAATGGTTTTAGATTCAGGATCAATAATCCGACAGGCATACAATATTCTTAGTCTTCTTGACAACATCCTTGCGTTGTATGTATGTGGTTGTTGTTGATGCCGCCCTGGCAGGCCATCGGTCGAAAGCCCGACGAGCACACATCTGCCTGAGGCAGCAGTCAAACAAGTACTTTAAGTTCCTCTACTAAGTACGCGCAAAGATCAGTAGGCACACAGAAATCCAGATCCCTTGTCTTTCCTTCGACATCCTCGGATCGGGCTACGTGGTAGCTTTACTCGAGGAAACCAACATTCGATCTCATCTGCAATGCCATTGGCATTAATCACCCGGCAGCTGCAAGCCAGTTTAGCCTGGAATCGAGAAAGGAATTAAGCTTTTTCTAGAACATCCATGCTAAAGGAGCTATCATCGGACTCCCAAGCACCTAGCTTCGTCCGATCTAGCTCCTTGAGCTATGAACCCGCGTTCGTGAAGACAATTACGGCGACGTTGCTCGTTTCTAGTAGCTTCATGAGCTAATCGAGCATCGTATATCGTAGGTGTAGTCAATTACATGTTGAAGACATCGAATTCGAGTAACCTCTTTCTTTGTAGAATAACGAATCCCAAGGGATATAAACATTGCTATGTGGACTAGCCGACGAACAGGCGATGTTTCACCACAAATTTCTGTTACAAGGCTAAATTACTTTGGCTTGTCAATGTGGAGGGCGTCGATGTCCAATTGTTTGTTTTTTGCTACCTATCTAATAGATATCTATCAGTCTGCTCGTACGGACCTGTTGTATGCCTTTAGTAGTACCCCGTCCACGCGAATCTTGGCCGGACGGGAACGGTTAAGAAATTAAGCAGCACCAAGATGTGAATACGAAGCCTCGGTACCTGGAAGATCAATCGAACTTGACGACCGACACATCCGCCACATTGTGGTTACGGAGAAGCTGAGTGGAGTCGCGTTGGGGGATTCTCCACCAAAGAAGGCGTGGAATCCACCGGAGAATTGCCACTCTGGGCCAAGGGCTCAGGGACCGATAAGATGAAGCAGAAATCAAGGCTAAAATCCTCGAACAATCCCCAATTAACCGAACAGGGAGTACTCTCGAGTCTTGCCAGAGATGGTTTCACCATTCTCGATGGACCGGTCGGTGACGTTAGTAGTGTCGAGCATCGAGATAAATCATACTCATACCTCAACATCAAAAGAAATCATAACAATTAACAACCTTGAGAGGCTACTGCAACGGTATCACCTGGAGGGGTTAAACCCGTACTGGGTTGGAGGGGATTCATTATTCATTGGAATCCGAATCCCAAATCATAGTGATTGTTATTCAATTACCCCCGCGTGGGGCAATTTAGCTGGCCCGGATAAATTGATGGCCTCCACAATCCACAATCCACATAGTCCCGCCCTCCATGATCCATCCTGGATAACATGCAGTCAATCATGGTTGGTTCAGCTGGTCTGCCGTGCGCAATCCAATCCTCAGCATCCGGTCACGTTGGCGCAATGGAAAATCTTTTCTCGTTCTCCTTTTCAATGCGTCATGGAGGGGCAGTTTTGCGCTGGCACTATTAAAGCTTGTGACGTCCCTCTTCAGCCCCTCCTCGTCTTGTCTCCTCGTCTACTTCTTCTTCCTTCTCCTCCTTCCCCTCAACCTGTCGCTTCGTCGTTGTACATCTCCTCTGCCTCACTATCTCCCGATCTTCCCACTTCTTCCCCTCAGACATCATGGCAAGCGCAACTGTTATCGATAAGCCCAACATTGGTGTCTTCACCAACACCAAGCACGACCTGTGGATCGCTGAGTCCACGCCCTCTCTCGAACAAGTCAAGAGTGGTCAAGGGTTGAAGCCCGGTGAGGTGACGGTCGAGGTCCGGAGCACTGGAATTTGCGGGTACGTCGTCTTTGGTGTCTGGAAGAATCCAGAAAAGAAAAGGGACAAAAAAGAAGAAAAAACCGATAAGTTGCTAATAATTTGTCGCTGTTCCGCAGATCCGACGTTCATTTCTGGCATGAAGGCTGCATTGGACCCATGATTGTCACCGGCGACCACATCTTGGGCCACGAGTCCGCCGGTCAAGTCATTGCGGTCGCGTCGGATGTCACCCACTTGAAGCCCGGCGATCGCGTCGCCGTCGAACCCAACATTATCTGCAATGCCTGCGAGCCCTGTCTGACCGGTCGTTACAACGGTTGTGAAAACGTCGCGTTCCTTTCCACTCCTCCTGTCGACGGACTGCTGCGACGCTATGTCAACCACCCTGCCATCTGGTGCCACAAGATTGGTGACATGAGCTACGAGGACGGTGCTCTCCTGGAACCTCTTAGTGTGTCGCTGGCCGCGATCGAGCGTAGCGGTCTTCGTCTGGGTGACCCCTGCTTGGTCACCGGTGCTGGTCCCATCGGTCTGATCACCCTGCTCAGCGCTCGCGCTGCCGGCGCAAGCCCCATCGTCATCACCGACATTGACGAGGGCCGATTGGCCTTTGCCAAATCGCTGGTTCCCGATGTCCTCACCTACAAGGTGCAAATCGGCCTGTCAGCGGAGGAAAACGCAGAGGGTATCGTGAAGACCTTCAACAACGGACAGAGCTCGGGCCCCGATATCTTGCGCCCCCGACTGGCTCTCGAGTGCACGGGTGTGGAGAGCAGTGTCGCATCCGCCATTTGGAGTGTGAAGTTCGGAGGCAAGGTCTTCGTGATTGGTGTGGGCAAGAACGAGATGAAGATCCCCTTCATGCGTCTGAGTACTCAGGAGATCGACCTGCAGTACCAGTACCGTTACTCGAACACCTGGCCCCGTGCCATCCGTCTAGTGAGAAACGGTGTCATCAACCTGAACAAGCTGATCACTCACCGTTACGCCCTGGAAGATGCCCTCAAGGCGTTCGAAACGGCCGCAAACCCCAAGACGGGAGCCATCAAGGTTCAGATCATGAGCTCCGAAGAAGACGTCAAAGCTGCTTCGGCCGGCCAGAAGATCTAATATTCGGCGATCTCACCAAAATAAGAAGAAGAAAAAAAGGCCAAACCCATATAACTGTTTCGGGCGTTGTTGAGAAGGTGACTGGTCACCTTGGTATACCTTTTCTTTCCCCTTTTCGTGATGTTGGACCTAGCATTGTGTCATGACCCTGCCATGTAAATTTTATGACAACCTGTTTTAGAGATGCATACCGGTTGAGAGCTATAGAGATTCCGGTAGAAATCTATTTGTTTGAGAATTTGTTTTGACAGTTGATTAATAGGGACATGTCTCAATTTTGTAAGCCTGCAGGATTGTAGGTCAGGACTTTATCCTCTCGACTTAAATATCTGGGTAGATGAGGACCGTGGAGCCTAGCACGAAATAGGGAACATTATTTTCCCTAAATGATTCTTATGGCATATATCGAGCAACTCACATGTAGTCATCAGAACAGTTCTTTTGTCCACTTGACATTCGAATCACCTGACAGGGCGTTTAATGCCATGTGCTACCAAAGTCGCCCGGCTTGACGTCGACACAGAGTTGTCAGCCTTGGATTTAGCTGCAGATATCGGCCATCGGCCTAGAAAAGCTCCTTGGGCAACAGGGCAGTCCGGACAGAGATGGAGGAATTCTTATTGGAGACACGGCAGCAGTTGTGTTTAAAACCTATGGTCTCCAGGTCGCGGCTGGCTCATATGAAGTTATCTTTTCGTCTACAGTGAGCACACCGCTGAGAAACCAACGCAGCCATCATTGTCCGTCTCGTTTCTTTTTGTATTGACGACAGCGTTCTCCGAAGCCTACCTAACTTGGCGAACAGGTGGAGCATCGCCATTATCTGCTTTACAATGACGTATCAGATTATATAGCAGGAGTTAGTCACAAAACGATCGCTTTTCGGCCAGCTGGTCAGCTAGCATAACCTTATGGCCCAAAGCTGGCTACAGACACACTAACTACTGGGCTCCTGTGCCCCTTTTGGGTCCCGCATGAAAGACAGATTAGAAATACGTCGACACCGGCTGTGGATGGAATCAGTAAGATTTCCATGAGCTTGGTTGATAATTGCTGACTGTGATGTTGTCAAGGTGGACAGACAAAATGAACCCCATCGAATGATCCCCTCCGGTCAACTCGCATTAATGGCAATGCCGACTCGGCATCCCACGCAATGCCATGCCACTACCAAGTCGCTTCGGCTGGTCAACCCCTCCTTGCCGATTGTCATTGAACCCTCGCCCGGAGAAAGCGAAAGCAATAGTTGTGGGGCATTGGGTTTAAGTTGCATCATTTGGGACCGATGCATAAGCTCAAAAGGGGCAAGATTCTCGATGATGCTCTTGGAAGAGACAGGGGACTGGGACGACCCCCGATATTTGACCGAGATGACTTATCCATCAGACCCTGCGAGTCCCCGCTATTTGGCCTGGCGGCGCCGTCTAGTGATCTAACCCCAATATTGTCCCGCTAGTGCAACCCTAGGGACTCCACACAGTAGCTGCTGGCCATCCTTTGTCGGCCCCCGATCCGACCAATGTCCGCGTTATGGCTTTCCGGCCTATTTTTCGTGATACTGCGGGGACCGGTCATACCACGGCGCGCCACTCAATGGCCCTGTGCTCCTTCCAAATGTACCATGTGTCTACTATGTATGCATGTACAACGTATCCGATGCATAAATAGCGGTCGTCGCCCCGGTCTAAAATCATCAGGTCAGATTCCATCGTCCCTCGACGCACCCTCGGTTTAGAATCCAACATGCTGGGATCCCTCTTACTCCTGGCACCCCTTGCAGGGGCTGCAGTCATTGGGTCCCGCGCGGACAGCCAAGACTGTCCCGGGTACAAGGCATCCAATGTCCGCGAGAAGGGTAACTCCTTGACTGCCGACTTGACTCTTGCGGGCAAACCCTGCAACAGTTACGGCACCGACTTGAAGCACTTGAAGCTGCTAGTTGAGTACCAGACTGGTACGAAATTTCTTGGAGGAGGTCGCACCGTGCAACTGGAAGTTCGACTAATCACATTGCTTTCCAGATGAACGTCTCCATGTTATGATTTATGATGCCGACGAACAAGTTTATCAAGTCCCGGAGTCGGTGGTACCTCGTGTAGGTGGCCGTCATAGCTCTGAAGATGACTCCGTCTTGAGCTTCGATTATGAAGAAGAACCCTTCTCTTTCACCGTCTCCAGAGGAGACGAGGTGCTTTTCGACACTTCTGCATCAAACCTCGTCTTTCAGTCGCAGTACTTAAACCTTCGGACCTACCTCCCCGAAGACCCTTATTTGTATGGTCTCGGAGAGCATAGTGATCCTTTACGTTTGCCTACGGAGAATTACACCCGCACGCTCTGGAACCGTGACGCCTACGGTACCCCTGAAAACACCAACTTATACGGCAGCCACCCCGTATACTATGACCACCGTGGCGAGTCTGGAACTCATGGCGTTTTCCTGTTGAACTCCAATGGTATGGACATCCGCGTCAGCAAGGACGAGGATGGAGAACAGTATCTTGAGTACAATACTCTGGGAGGTATCTTTGACTTCTACTTCTTTACCGGAAACACTCCCAAGGAGGCTAGCATCGAGTACTCGAAGGTGGTCGGTCTTCCGGCTATGCAAAGCTACTGGTCTTTCGGTGTAAGTTGTTGCTGCTGCCAGCCATCTGAATGCTTTTCTGGAGATGTTTATTCTTGTCCATAAATGATGCTTCGCTAACCATACCCAGTTCCATCAATGCAAATACGGCTACCGTGATGTCTACCAGGTTGCCGAGGTTGTTTACAACTACAGTCAAGCTAAGATCCCATTGGAGACTATGTGGACCGATATCGACTACATGGACCGTCGGAAGGTCTTTACTCTCGACCAAGAGAGGTTTCCCATGAATAGAACGCGTGAGCTTGTGACTTATTTGCATGAGCACGATCAGCATTATATTGTCATGGTTGATCCCGCCGTCAGCACAGCTGGTAAGTGTTCCAATCTTTACAGTTGCTATGTGGCTGGGAGAGTTTATGATTGACACTTTCTTCCCGCAGGAAACGCGGCTTTCGAGAGAGGTCTAGAGCAGGGGATCTTCCTCCAGACCCAAAACGATAGTCTCTACAAGGGTCAGTTGAACATCCCTGAGAGATCCTTATAAAACCCACTAAAATTATTATTCAGGTGCTGTGTGGCCTGGCGTGACTGCATTCCCAGACTGGTTCCACCCGGACACCCAAGACTATTGGAACGATGAGTTCGCAAGATTCTTCGATGCAGATACTGGTGTCGATATCGATGGACTGTGGATTGACATGAACGAGGCCTCCAATTTCTGTCCTTGGCCCTGCACAAACCCAGAACAGTATGCTGCTGAGAATGACTTGCCACCCTTGCCGCCACCCGTTCGTCCAGGCAGCCCACGGCCCCTGCCCGGGTTACCTCCATCATTCCAGCCTTCTTCGGCCAAGCGATCGTCTAAAAGAGCATTGTCGGGCAAAGGACATAAGATCGGCTTGCCTGGACGTGACCTTATCAACCCTGCCTACAAGATCCAAAACGCCGCCGGGTCTCTCAGCAACAAGACAATCAACACTGACATCATTCATGCTGGCGAAGGATATGCCGACTATGACACCCATAACCTATACGGAACAAGTGAGTCTTCGGCCCTGTTTGGATCAGAAACCGCCCGTCTAACCCGATCCAGTGATGAGCTCTGCATCGCGAGTTGCCATGGAGCAGCGCCGGCCTGATGTGAGGCCTCTGATCATCACTCGCAGTACATTCGCGGGTGCCGGTGCGCATGTTGGTCACTGGTATGTTGGATTTGTATACATTGCTTCAGTGAAAATCATTGCTAATTAGTTCCAGGCTTGGAGACAACCTGAGTCAATGGAGCCAGTACCGCTTCTCCATCTCCCAGATCGTCGCATTCGCGTCCATGTTCCAGGTTCCCATGGTCGGTGCAGACGTGTGCGGATTTGGAAGCAACACAACCGAGGAGCTTTGCGCGCGTTGGGCCTCCCTGGGAGCTTTCTATACGTTCTTCCGGAACCACAACGAGATCGGTAGCATCTCTCAGGAATTTTACCTCTGGCCCACCGTGGCCGAATCCGCTCGCAAGGCCATTGAGATCCGATACAAACTCTTGGATTACATCTATACCCAGTTTTACCGACAAAGCAAGACCGGCGAGCCTTTCCTGCAGCCCATGTTTTACCTGTACCCTGAGGACAAGAACACCTTCTCCAACGGTCTGCAATTCTTCTACGGCGATTCTATCCTCATTAGTCCCGTGACTGAGGAGAACCAGACATCGGTCACCGCATACTTCCCCAAGGATATTTTCTACGACTGGTACACCGGTGCTCCCCTGCGTGGCAAGGGCACCAACGTGACGCTCTCTAACATTGACATCACGCATATCCCCATCCACATCCGCGGAGGTAGCATCGTCCCCGTCCGGTCCAGTGGTGCCATGACCACGACGGAGTTGCGCCAGAAGAGCTTCGAGCTGATCGTTGCCCCCGGTCTGGATGGTACTGCTTCGGGAAGTCTATATCTAGACGACGGAGACTCACTGAGGCAGAATGGCACGTTGGAAGTGCAGTTCCAATACCGTCGAGGCACGCTATTCATCAAGGGCAAGTTCGATCGCAAGACAGACGTGAAGATCGAAGGAGTCACGGTCTTGGGACAGTCGCGCGTGTCTACTACCAGCTCGGCCTCCGAGGAAACTGGAAGCCAGAGAGTCACCATCCCGACACAAGTGGAGCTGGCTGGGCCGACTGAGGTGCCGTTGAACTAGGGTTGGAAGATTCGTACATGGTGTTTAGCCTCTTTAAAGCAGAACAGCTACTATAATCCAATCCTACTGTCTTTGCAACAAATTCACAAAAACCCACCTATTGATCTCCACCATCATGGTTAAACCCAAAACTTACGTAAATGAAAGGACAGTCCAGTAGTAGATCAAGGGATAAAGAAAGGGATACACTCTCGAAGATCGATGGATTCCACCACGTCACCCAACAACGAGGCCCTCGATCTTTTACCCATCTGCCACGCCAGGGTCAATCTACAATGATAGAAAGCCATGGTTGAGCACCCGTCCATTCGCCTCTTCATAAACCCTACTTCCAGGAGCTGCAAGGTACCTGCTATCCGAACCAGCTAAGCCAGGCACCAGCAACAACCGCGTGCATACCAGCCACATATCGTGCTGTCATCAACCAGCAAGGGATGACAGAACAAACATCAAGTCTATCACCCCGTCAACTCACAGCCAAATGACTGAGTATTCATCCTCCCCCTTTCGTCCCAATCTCCTCGTGTCCCTGTCTCAAATATCCCTCCATTCCCCCCCCCCCCCCCCCCTCTCTTCTCGTCTTTATACTTCTTCATCACGCAATATACCCATATCTTCTAATTAATCTCTTATCCACCTACCCTATCTATATTTTATATACTACAAAAGGGTTCTCCCACATTGACAACTAAGAGAAAAATCAAAAACAATGCATCTCCCCACCGTCCTTCTCACCCTCACCACGGCCTTCGGCCTCGCCGCCGCAGACTCCTACTTCTGCCGCCCGGCACAGGATAAATCGGGCTTCCTGCAGAAGGCCTACTGCTGTACTACGTTCATCGATGTACCCGGAAATGACGTTGGGAAGGTCTCAGAAGGATGTAAGTTTTTGTTGTTGTTGTTCCTTTCTAGGCGTGGTGTTCTTCTGTTATTTTTCTCCCTTTTGTTTTCCGGTTTTACTTTGGTTGTTGGAGTATCCTTGTCTTGTGGTTTAGGGTACAGGAGTTCATAGCTTAAATACTCAATACCTTGGAATGATGGGAATCGATTGACTAACTGAGTTAGGTACGAAAATGGGCGAGGATGTTCGAGAGCTCTGTGACGACGGAAATACGCCGAAGTGCTGCTACACCATTGTGAGTGTCCTTTTTCTGCTATGCATTCTCGGTTATGTTTCGGTTTCCTCGATTTATGCATTATTTGTTTCGACGAGGTGGTTTTGGTGTCATTGATGGGCTAATGGGAATATAATTATCAATCTATAGGGACCGAAGATAATCTGCACTGCGGAGGCCACGCCCCAGTTTGGCCTGGACGGATGAGCATGGATCAGACCAAAGGGGTAATCGGTCGGCAACAGGCCATTGGAGCGGGATTATGCATAGGTAATGGAAAAGGGACTGGGTGGTTTGTATAATAATTATCAATTATCCAAGTCATTATCAAATATCAACAAATGTGTGATGGAGCACGGAGGGTTCCCGAAGGTCTTGGCCCCAAATTCGAATGGCGTAACCTTAACCTCTCTGCTCCGGTGCTATACTCTATAGCTTATAGCCAACATGAAAAAGCAAGGACGGGCTGCATGGGATCGACCCGACCTCGGGGTTCGGCGGACTGATAGGCCTGTCGGCATTGATAGCGAGCTCGGACTTTGATCGAGACGAACCATGACTACGCTCGAAACGACAAGGAGCCACGGCCTGAGTCAAGTATCAGGAGCAGGTTATCAACGGTAATAATCTGATTTCTGTCCACTGACCAGGCCCGAGGATCCACTTTTGCCGACCATCGGAAATCCCGTCAACTTCGACAACGTTGTGCAACCGGTGGCCCTCGGCCACATTCCGAGACGGCTGGCGGGATGAAATCCTTTGTTTCCCGCGGGTTACGAGCTGCCTCTCGCTGGTGTCCTTTCTCCGTAGATACTCCGTAAGATGCTCAATCAGGGTAATATTATCGTAAAGTCGTAAATCTGTCTAAATGCATTTTGCGTGGGTTCCGGTGTGATCATCAACTGTGCTTCCCATCCATCAATTCCTCGGCGTTTTGTCGGAAGATTCGCTCGGCCAGTCCTGGCTCATCGCTGCATAGTCGTAAACATAGTTCCGTAAATGGTTCGATATCAACTCCTGAGTGTCGAGTGTGAGGCCAGTCGGTGGCGTAAATCACTCGGCTGGGCGCCTCTTGTAGAAATTCCCGGATCATCATCTCGAGGTCGCGCATTTCCTTATCCTTGCTCAGCCGGTAGGGGGCAGAGATTTTGATATAAGTGGTGCCCGTGCGGAGAAGAGAGATCAAGGAAGAAAATCCCGGAAGAGAGTACGGGTCAAACGGCTTTTCGTCCGCCAGACTCAGCGACAAAAGATCGGGGGCCCCAAAGTGGTCGATACAGACTTTGACCCCTAGCTGCGGTGCAATGCGTTCCAGCATAGGCACCATGTCCAGGGCAATGTAGACCTGGATGATCCAACCCAGGGGGCGCACAATTGCAGCATGCTGCAACAGAGTCTCAGCTAGCTCATGTTCGCTCAACACCTTGCCTACCGATTTAAGATTCACCCGCACACCTCGTACCCCCAAGGCGTGCCATTCAAGCAATGTCTTTGCCTCCATGTTGGCCGGGTCGATTACCACCACCCCTCGGCCACGAGAAGGGCCGATTTGCTTTAGTGCGTCTAGAAGACAGGAGTTGTCGGTTCCGTATATGGAGGGCTGAACAAGAACGATGTTTTCGATTCCAAGTGATGACTCAAAGGAGACGGCCTCGTCGAGCGTGTGTGCTGAGGGTTGGTAGACGGCTGACGCAGACACTGGATATTGCTGCGGTTCGACGACATGCATATGGGTATCCCATGTCCGAGGGGGGATCCTCTGCCTCAGAGGAAGAGGGTGCACAGGTCTTCGAACATCTTTGCAGTAGCTGGTCTGCTCGCGCTTTTGAATAGATGTACCGAAGGAAAGGCGAAGAGGGTTGTCCAGGAGGGTGGTAGTTCTGGGCTTCACAGACGTAAGTACGCCGGATAGAGAGGGTTGAACCATCGCTGCAACGCAATCAATAATCAAACATAGGCAGAGGCGGATGCTGAGAATCTCAAAAGAAGACGGCGATGCAAATAAAAGAGAGAAGATAAAGAGATCAAGGCTCGGGACTTCTCCAGCAAGGGGGAGTATGGATATACTCCGTGGCTAGACCCCGGGGCGGGCCCCGGTCGAAAGTACGACTTACAAGAATCGATGCAAGTGGTCTGAGGGTAGCTCCTCTCCACAGACTGGGCCGTATCGATATCATGGTTGCGAGTTCTCCAGGCAATCGGCACCGAACAATGATCAAATTACTAGTAGAGATTTGTCCACACATACGCCTTCCTGATTCCCTGACCGGAAGGAAGATACGTCGGCCAAGGGAGGCCGAGGAAAAAAAATATGCTACGAATTAGCAGCCGGTGACCCACTAGACCACCAACGATCGTTGTATTTGAGGCCGGAAGATGGCCATGATGGAGGGCGGACGTTGTCCGGTAGGGGAGGGTGAGTGTGCCGGGAGACGGGATGGCCCTGTCAAGGTATCTCAAGGAGTATGCAATCCAAACGGGCAACCGAAGACCAATGACAGTGGCGTGTGGCAGGCAACATTCTAATTTAATTATAAAAAAAATAAAAAATAAAATAAAACGAATAAAATCTCGGTCAGGAATAAGCGAGGCAATTTAGAGTGGATTGGCAGCGGAACCAACCGCCGGATCTGCCGCGACAAGCCACTCGGTCGGATTGGGTTACTGTGATGATTGATTGGAATCGCATCGGTCGTATCCTCCGAAAAGTCGATGGATGGTGATGCTCCCACCCAGGCAAGATGCGTGCCACAGACTCACGGTGGTGTGCAGCCCTAAACGGGGGGGTCGAGCGAGCAAAAGAGAGTTTGACGGAGGAAAAGGAAAGAGAGGGAAAAGGAGGAGAAGCGACGGAAGTTGACCGAGCAGGTCACGCCCCCTTCTCGCTTCGACTCCTTCGTTCGTCTCCATCGCGGAATTCCTTTGCCCACCCGATATGCTCACGCTGATTCAGTGATTTCCTCATCCATTGCTCGTCAGATTTCCCCGGATTCTTGTTCTATTTTCGTTAGATCCATCCTCCGGTGGATTCATCGCTCCTCTCCGCATTCTTGCTCCCCCATCTTTCACCATCATGCCTGGAGGGGCAAGTTGGGATCGGTCACGATGGACCACCAATCCGTTCTATGCCCTCGTTGTCTTCATCATTGCCTGTGGCAGTATCCCTAAAGGTAAGAAACACTCGGAATCCTGCAGACACCCAAGGGGGAAATGAGAATTAAAAAAAAAAAAAAAAAAAAAAAAAAAAAAAAAAAAAAAAAAAAAAAAAAAAAAAAAAAAAAAAAAAAAAAAAAAA